AATATGCATTAATAAGTGGATAACGAATATATTATCCGCAGCTTGAAATTGTTTCCTAAATCCCGACTGCTGCCGAAGGATATTATTTGCATCTAGAAATTTCGTCACTCGTTCATTTAGGATAATGTTTATTTTTTTCCGAAACAGCTTTATATCGTCATACATGTATATGGATGAACAACTTGCTTATTACAATTAGGAACGACTTTTCGGGGTAGGTTCTGGCACCGTTATCAAGCAAGTGATGTACAGAGTAGTGTTGCCAAGCATATATACAGGTATGAGGTAGTGTTTATACAGTTGAGTAGATTGTGGTTTTGTAACAACAGAGTGGAGAAGCATGTTATATACAGTAAACTACGGTTATAACGAACACGCTTATAACGAACTGACGGATATAACGAACTTACTTTTTGGTACCGACTTTTTGTGTAATTCTGCTGTATACATGCTTATAACGAACTACGGTTATAACGTACTCAAATTAGTAGTCCCCATGATCATGAGTTCGTTATAACCGCAGTCTACTGTACACAATGCGGGTGACATAAGTTAAAATTCTTAAGAGCTGTCTAGGGATTGGTGGATTACATGAAAACGTGTTCTCGTCACGGGGTACATTGGCGCACAGGTCGACAACATCATAACTGGTTGAGGGATGTCGTGGATCTTCTTGCAAATTCAAATGAATCCGACACAAATGTTTTCACAGTCTTTCAAAAAGGTGCAAGGAGGCGGGCTAGCTACTTGTCTGTATTGTAGTGGACAGTGTCTCTGAAACAGACTAGGATATAGGCTTTGACACGGTCTTGGTGACTTCTTATGGTAATACGGGCATAGGGTTGCTTTGGGTGAGGGACGATGAGCTTTTTGAGTGGGGCCGACTTTGTTGTCACGAAGTTGATTGTGTAATGTCTTCTGCTCTTTCTGTTGGCTGTTGGTAAGGTCTTTCTTGAGCTGCTTGTAGGTCGATGGATCAGTGAGGTGTTGATGGCTAAGACATTCAAGTGGGTGGTATCCATGACCCTTTACTTCTAAAGCGGTGAAGGGTTCTGGAATTACATAGATCCTGTATCTGCTTTCATATCTAAGAAGGAACACATAAACTATTATACAAAATAGTGGTGCACGTAGCTGTAGTCTGTTTCACGCTGATGTGTGTACACAGACGAGTATCCTTTCACCAAATACCATTCACATAGCAATACAACGCCCAAATAAAATTTGAAACCGTTTACACTCACAGGCAAAGCTAATGAAGCCCATCTGTTCTGACCAAATAAAAGTCAAGAATCGACATTTAAATCATGCGTATATGTAACTGGAAAGAGTGAAGACCCACCTTAGTTCATTGGTATATAGCCCGGTGTAAGAGCATAATGTGTCGTGTATCGTGAGCATAACTTCGTTTCATACTATGAATCTTAACTTCTTTTCCATTTGTATAAAGTGTCTGTCACGTGACACAATGTCAGTGTCCTGTTGACATTTTATTACTGGTGGGAAAGAAGTGTACGTCATTCCCGGTGTGGCAATAGAAAAATATAATATAACTGTTTATAAAAGCGACAACCCACCCAGGTGTTCGCGAAAAGATGAGCTTGTCCTGCCCCACCAGTGACATCTGTCACAAACACATGCTGGGGCTTCACCTGAAAAAATACACGGGACCGTATGATACTAGTCAAAATAAGGAATAGCATCAGACATCATTTTTGTCACTGATGCGTCAAATTCGGAAATGTCCTCCACACCTGCATAAACGGCCCGGGTTGTTTGTTCTTGGCCTCGTTACATGTGTCAATTCAAGGTGTGGCAGTTAATTACATTGTGGTTAATGAGTGAGTGATCATGGTTTTACGCCACTTTCAGCAATATTCAGAGTGAGGGGCACACGAAATGGGTTTCACACATTGTACCCATGTGGGAATCTAACCCGGGTCATTGACTCGTGGACCGAACCAACTGTGGAGAATGGACATCTTGTGATTAAGAAGAAGGTTTTCAGCTACATAGAATGTTGCACTGATCTGAGTTTGCGACTAACGCATGTGACTGAAGATCAATGTTCTCCTGCCACCTTTCCTCACGGAAACTTAATACCAACGTCTCAGAGACTCTCAATATATAACATCCGGTATCTGTATCTGTAAGATATGCATATGGAATATAGAATATAGAACAACCCTTATCCATGTACTCCGTGCATGATTGATAACATACGGTATTTTGGAGCAGTTGATGTTGTAACTTTGTTTCCGATTGTAGAGGTCGTATAACGGTAAGATTTGATAGTTACCTTGCTTAGAGTTATCTCCCTTGGGTGTACTCCAACCTCCGTCTCAGCGCTTGACACCTTCGTTACCCTCCGGGGATAGAGTGCGTCGGAAACACCAACTTTTCTGCCTGTTTCCAACACTGATTAATGAATTCAAGATCAGAGCTCGTTCCTTATTCATTACTTTCAACTGTGACAAAAACTGGACATGAGTGCACTGTAATAGACTCTGATATAGATATAGATATAGGTAAAGATATAAATATATAGATAAATATTGCACAACTCTAATTAGACCCGACCGCCTAAGTGGTCTAGTGGTAGAGCGTCCGCCCGGACAGCGGAAGGTCCGGGGTTCGATCCCCGGCCGCGTCATACCAAGAGACGTTAAAAGATGGTACTTGTTGTTACCCAGTCTGGCGCTCGGCATTAAGGGGACTGGTCGGCTCGGAGTCAGTATACTGTGTCTGAGTGGGATATTCATGTTAAACTGCGGCATGGTATCTATCTAGCACTATAAATCGTCATCAGTCCGGACTAGTACAAGCAGCCACACAAACACACACACGTACATGCATGTATATATGAGAAATAATCTTGGACGCGACGTTAAACCCCATTTCACCTCACCTCTAATTAGACCCGTGAAGATCGGGGTAAGAATAGGTCTTCAGCAACCAATGCTTGCCGTAAGAGGTGACTATGCTTGTCGTAAGAGGCGACTAACGGGATGGGGTGGTCAGACTCGCTGACTTGGTTGATGCATGTCATCGTGTCCCGATTGCGTTGATCGATGCTGATGATGTCAATCACTGGATTGTCAGGTCCAGACTCGATTATTTACAAACCGCCGTCATATATCTAGAATATTGCTGAGTGCGGCGTTAAAACAACAAACAAACACCTCGATCACCGCATTTATACGAATATTGTAAAACGCAGCATCAGCGATCTCTATTTTGTGAACACTTTTGATACCATTCATATGTTGAATTCTTTATTCAGTACTATACAGGCTACAGGCCCTTTGTACAAAATGTATGTCATATTTATGGCAAAAGTCACAATGATAAAATACGTGTTCTTACTTCTTTACTGTGATACAGATATTTAGCGATATTAATAATGAGCTTTGTGTTAGTTGTAGATACAAGAATATTAAACTTAGGGATATTTGTAGATAATATTTCGAAGGAATATAGAGATGGCGTAGGTGAGTATATGCATATGCAGGGCACACTAGCAGGAAATGAGACTCGGCCAAATTGACATAGTTTGCAAAATTTTCCTACGCGAGGGATGTTAAGTTTTCTACTAGTTTCTACCATGTAAAGCCAGTGTGCACTGCATCTAAACCTAATATAATATACTCAACCGCAAAAGAAACGTCACCATGGATAGATATATGAGAAACCTTATTTGTCCAAACACTGTAAACATACTTTGAGACATATTAAAAAGCTGAAACTTGGCAAAACTGATCATCAAGGTTGAAATTAAAGTGTCAAATGTTTTTAAAGTGAAACACATCACTAGTCCCTGAGAAAATGGCATCATAAGTTAGTATTTCGTGTGTCCGCCATGTGCATTGATGACTGTCGTGCAACGTCGATACCTGGAATGGATGAGGATAATGAAGGCATAGGCACTTGAGCCCACACTCTAAGGAACGCCTGACGGAGTTCAGCTGCAGTTGTCGGCCTTGGTCGGACGTCATTCAACCGTCTTTGAATCTCGTCCCACATGTGCTCAATGGGATTTAAATCGGGGCTGAGGGCAGGCCACTGCATGGTTCTGATGCCATTCTGCTGGAGGAAGTCTCTTGTTGCTCTCGCAGTGTGGGCACGGGCGTTATCATGCTAAAGTCGTGGTTGCGGCGACTTGCCAAATGATGTATGGCGTGTGGCCTCAAGACTTGATCAATGTGGCGAGCTGCTGTGACACCATTGCCTCTCCCTGGACCGATGTTCGGGAAGACCACAGTGCCGACCCTCTGTGCAAGACTAATTCCACCCCACACAATGATGCTCGGACAACACAACGAGTCTCTCTCAACAGCACAAGCATCCGAATAACGTTCCCCACGGCGTCGCCAGACTCTCTCTCTCTCTCTCTCTCTCCCATCTGCTATTGAGGTACAGTAACGACTCTCATCTGAGAAGAGGACTCTTCTCCACTGCTGGTGGCGCCAATGCTGGTGCTGTGTTGCCCACTGCAAACGGTCCCGGCGATGACGTAGTGTCAGAATCGGTCCTCGGTGTGGCCTGTGACAGTGGAGGTGTCTGTTCGTCAATCATCGACGGACAGTGTCCTCACTAATGTGTCGCTGGTGTGTCCCCATGGTCTCTCGAGCAGTTTCCGCGGTCGTAACAAAGCGATCTTGAAGATGCTGTCGCACAATCTGACGATCCTGACGTCGGGTGGTGACCTTTGGTCTTCCACTACATGGTCGGTCATCTGTAGTGTTGGTGGTCTCGTACCGTTGCTGGAGTCTGTATATGGTCCTCACGTGGATTTGAAATGCATTGGCTTCTTGCCGGGCGATTTATGCAGCTTGCAATCGTCCAAGGACTTGGCGTCGCTGATTTCTTGTCAATAGTGGCATGTGGTAGCAATTCCGGACAAGATAATGTTAAATTTTAGAAACTTTGACAAAAAATACCCAAATATTCAAATGACAACTTTTCATGCAATGTTACTTTGGGTGACGCGTCTTTTGCGGTTCTGCATATAATACTAACATGCATTCGAAATATCAACTAAGTCATTCACAACAAGTATTCAGAATATATATGTTGGATGATAGCTGTTTCCATATGGTAGATTGATGGTATGTGAACGTCTTCAGTCCACCTGTATCCACCCATCCTACAGTTACTATGTACATGAAACAATAAGCACCACGATGCCCACAAGCACGGCCATTCTTCTTATGTCTCCGTCCTGTCGAAACCCACCCGATGGACATGCTGCAACCGTCGGGGACTCGGTACTCGGACCTGGCTCTCTCGGATCATAAACCTCGCACGTTCCTTTCGAACATTCAGTTACCTTAGTAGCCGTGTGGATTCCGCTTTCAACAGCACCAGTAACATAACAAGACACATTCCAACTAAACGCTTCCCCAGCGAAGTAGATCCTCCCGACTGGTGCTCTTATAGCATCAAATACTTTGGGACTAAGAGTTCCTGTTTCCATGTTGCAGAAGCATCCCTTGTACAATGGATTGTTCTTCAAGTCCGGAATGAAAACATCCTCAGGTTCGGCTACATTACCGTAGACTCTCCGCAATATCGCCATCACCTCGTCCTTAACATCACTGTCAGTGAGTTGACTTATCCTGTTCTCCTCTTCTCCCTGGGTCACCATCTGGAGAATGTTGGTTCCAACCGGGAACAGTCCTTCAGCTTCCAAGTTCTGCCAAACAGGATACACGCCACGTTTTTTGTCTGCGTAGAGGATGAATTCAGTGTTATCCCAGAATCTTGCCGATGTCTCAGGAAACTTAAGGTACACGCTGACGTAGTTCTCCAGTCTGATTCGGAACAGGTTGTCCATCTTCCAGTCAGGTAGTGGAGGAATGAAAGTCACAGAACCGCTCTTCAATACTCCGATACTGAAAGTAACAATCACGAAGTCAGCCGTGAAGATCTTCCCGCTTGCGGTAGTTACAGACACATTGGTGTCAGTGTAGTTGATCGTTTTAACGGTTTCGTTCAGACGAATACGTTGGTCGTTCTCTTGAAGTACGTTCTCCACGTATTTCTTAAGTATGAACTCATACCCTCTGTCATCACGGACATAGAAACTGCTATCGACTCGGTCTGAAATGCCCCTAAAATAACACGAAGTAACGTCAGGGCTAATTCCATATTTATAGTCGAAGTCAAAAATGTCCACAGCTTTTTCCACTGGCGTTTTAGAATGCCAGTTTCCGATATCAAGGCATGTGCGAAGGGACATGTCATCTGTCTTTTGGTCTCGAATTCTCCTGAAGACGCTTACTGATTTGATCTTAGCTTTTGCCAGTTTATTCCAAGCCAACTCACCGTCGGAGTCCGTGACGTCAACGCTGTCATATGTTTTTATGACTACACTATCATAGTCTGACGATTTCCCAGACACATTGAACTTCTGGATGACATCCTATAACGGATTGCCTTCCCGGATAGCCATCCAGTTTGCCCCAGCTTCTACAGTGGTTCTTGTGGAAAATATCTGTCCCCGAAATTTCTTGAAAAAAGATAACTATGCTTCAGACTGTTTAAACATTACATTGATGCAAGTTGTTTTTCTTCTGGCTTATTTTATAAATAGAACATATATCTGAGTTTTCAGCTTAAGCCGAAAAAAGTATCTAATCTAGATACAAAATCCTAGGGCCCAGTTTTGAACCAATATACATGTATAATGTTAAATTGTTTTCTGTATCATTTTGAAATGATTTTATGAATACTTCTCAGCTACTGACAACACATTTAAGACATCAATATTCCCGTCATTATACTCAACATGTACATTTATTACCAAAAGGAATGAAACGAAATTGAACATGACTATAAAACAATTATATAAGATATAGAGATTACTACACGAGTAAAGATGTGTTTTGTAACAACGAGTTGTGAGATCAATGGTATCTGACAGGCAAGAGTATAGTAATCTGTTTCTTACACACCCTAAAATCGCACCTTTTTAGCATCGGGTCGATGCATTTTGTATATTCTCATGATCGCAGTGGCGCATTAATACATATCACCACTATCATAAGTGATGTCATCCTAAGTACTGCTTACTACTCATACATAATGTGACCCTACACAAAAAGGTTTCCGCCATATCTGTGGATTATCAAGGTGATGATGATAATGCAAACTAGACAACAACAAAACAAAGAACACGCTGGATGCCGAGTTAAAAGTTAAAAGTTGGCCCTCACTCTATGAAGGTTCATACTCCAATGAACTCACACAAAGTGAAAAAAATGTATCACAATTTCTTACATCAAAGGATGGCAGCCAAGATTTAAACACAATTTTATTAAGTACGTGTGACTTCATGTTTACACTGACAGAGAGGTGACATGAGCGTATGGATGTACAACTTGCTCTTCAGAAACATCTTACGCAGAGCAAGTTATGAGGAAGTTCTGTAAAGAACTACCCCAGTAAGTCAGTCACAATGACAGCGCGTCGTAATACATTTACATCAAGTACAAGACGTCAAAATAGCCGACACGATAAATGTGACGAGAGAGATTTCCGAAGTTGTTAATGAACCTGTGGCGGTTACATGTGTTAGTCATCATTGATCAACTGGCCAATCATTGAAAGGTGAATAAAGATGCGACAAACAGACACTGAGGTAAATTCATAGATTGCTGGAGACGGTCAGTGTCAGCCTAGACACGAATCGAGTCGATACGACGATAGTTTAGATGTGCATTTCTTCGTTTGTTCATTAGGATAGGCCGTAGCGAGCATATTCGTGAACAATCATGCAGTCACGCTTTCTGACATTTCTCAATGTATACTGAAACGCTGAGACCAAGAATAAAGGTTCTAAATGATCAGAAAGAACGCTAATGTATGTTTTCGTGTTAGGGAATTCCCAGGGGTTTCCCCAGGAATGTGGAAGTAGTCCGTCAGTGTTTACGTCTTTTTAAGAACACGGTCTCGTGAAAAACGTATGAACGTCAAATTGTGTCGTTCATACACTTATGAACGTCAATTTCGCGGTCATGTGACCTACCTCTCGTCCACTGGAAAAGCCGTATATCGTGTAAACTTCAAATTAAAAAATTATTTCCGGTAATGACATCACTACCGGTGACTGACTTTTGCAAAATGGTGTGTACACTGACAACAGTACGCGGGATTTCCAGAGGAGGATTTTCGTTGATTGAGGGATCGTATGTAAATAAATGTGTCACGTAAGTAATCAGAAACATTCTGATAATCTGCATACTGTTAATTTTTTACCATTTTTTTTAAATGAAACAAAGAGAATTAGTCAGATATGCAGACAACTACCGTCGTCGTTGTGCGTGATTAAGCGTCAGTCATGGCGTCATACTTGTACGGTTTCTAGTGAATTTACCACATCATGGTAATGTTTATATTTGGAATTCCATTATCAGAGCAACGATACTCTTCCCGTGAATATTCTCAAACGCGTGATCGAGCCAATGCAAGCAACAATTAGACGAAAGTACCTCCAAACATGCAACACAGTGTAAAATCTTAATATTTTGCTTTGTTTACATTTCAGCAAGTACAGTTTTCCGAGCAGTGTTCGTTTCCACACCTAATTTCTTTCGCATGATTTCATCTAGATAATTGCATTGGTGTCATTTGTTTCTAAAATATATGAGGAATTCAGGGATGCATGTATAGCATCTGAGTTTGAAATATACCTGATCGAAAATGCGCCTCATAACCGGCATTTTGTAAACACAATCCAATATAGCGGAACGTACACTTCAACGTTCGTGAATGCGTATTTTCCAAAACATTCTAAACGATACTAGGCTTATCATCGACGTTTCGGAATTATCATTAGTGATTTGATATTCGTGATCACTAATATGCTATTTTTCTACTTTAATTATTCAAGTAAATATCCAATATTTAGATTTCTAAACACACGATAAATAACGCCGTGAATTGTGATTTGGCTAGATTTACAATGTACCTAATTTTAAGAAGTCACTTTCAGTAATTTTGCTTTGCCAAAATTGACAGCCAATGATAAACAGAAGAGTGAATTCAAAACTGCGAAGTGTATTAATTTGCGTGATGTATTTTGAATTTTATTCGACTTCAAAGTGAGGGACATATGTGTCGCTGTGGCATCCAGGGGGTGCATTACATTCTAAAAAATGATAACGTTGACATAACAGCAGATAATGTAACTGATAATAATAACAAACTCGCAGACGAGGACGAGTTTGTTTATTATTATTATTATTATTATTATTATTATTATTATTATTATTATTATTATTATTATTATCAATTATTACACGGTCCCGTGGTTTATTAAGGTGTAGGTGAACATTCGGCTGAAGCACGAGCAATTTATCAATGACTTACAATCAGAAAAGTAGTCCGACATCATCTCACCTCAGGTCATCAACATGAAGTAGCCAATTACAGGCCTCCAATTCGATCTCACACATATGTTTGATACCAGTTATCTCAAATGGGTTTCTCACCCACAGGTATGTAAGTAAGCTACGCGATAAATCGCAAAGAACAATGAAGAACGAAGCGTGGTTTATTTCACGATAAAACATTGTTCTATCATGACGTCATTTCTGGAGATTCGAACATGCGCTCGTAACTTGATGACGTCATATGTTTGACGATGTTATGTTTTAGAGGGGAGTGTCTAGTGAGTTGTTCCTCATTGATGTAACTGGGCAACGCAGATAAACGCGATGGCCGAACGATCGGATCCAAAACCGGGAGAGATCATGTGACACTCGGTATTGGGAGAAAACGTACAGGTAATCCACGTGAGGATTGTGAGAATATGCGGGAAATACCCACCTGTGCATAAAATGGACTTGTCCGACATTACCGAGGTCGGAATCTATATAGGGTTTCATCATTATTTAAATACGGGTAAATAATTTTAAAGCTTGTACATTTTACAATCATCATCAAAGAAACTGTACATAATGTTGATATCTCATATAAGAAATAAACGACTCGTGGTCGTTGTGTATCGTACAATAAAACACTGAAGGGAGAATAAACCACGAGAAGCGCAGCCCCTGCAGTGTTTTATTGTACGATAACCAACTCCTACTCGTCGTTTATTTCTTCACTAGACCTACATAATAAGGCTTTATTAAGGCGTTTTATGAAACAGACAGATGACAATACATGTGGATGATTCGATCCATACTTATATTTGATTTGGGTTGAGCTTGCAGTCCTTCCACGGTATATAGAAGAAGCACCATGATTGCCAAAGACACTTTAGGAATGCCTCGATACTGCATCTGAAAAATCATTTAAAAAGCGATGCGTGAATGTGTGAGTGAGTATGGTTTTGCAAATTTTAGAATTATTCCAGCAATATCAAAATAGGGGAAACCAGAAATGGTCCTCTCACAATGCACTCAAGTGGGGAATTGAACCCGGGCCTTCGTCATTAAGAGTGAATGCTTTAACTACTAGACTACCCCATAGATGAGGTGAACAATTCGTTCCTGCAATACACGTAAGGTTCAAATCATTCAATTGTAGAATGTAGAATGAGACACAATTTATGAGCGGTAAATGCAGTAAATCTAGATACATTGGTGCATGTGAATGCCAAATGGCATAACAGGGTAACAACATCAACATGTGCCAAATGCGTATGTGGTACCTCAGTCTACGGAGCTCTAAGAAATATACCAACTCACGTTACATTTTGAGGTGAGGAGGAATGAGGTTTAACGTCGCGTTCAAAATTATGGCACTAATAAGCGACGTGCATGCTTGTTGATTTTTGTGGGTGTGTGTGTGAGTGTGTAGTGCTGGCACACCACATACCATGCCACATGAATTTATAAACCTCCAGTGACGTCATCCTATTGTTCTCTGGTCGGGTTAAATCTCATAAACAGGGACGCTGTAATGTCCCTGGGATTTTATAGGATATTCAAGTCATATTTGCTATATATATATATAATGTGTTATAATATCCGATGGATTTTATATAATGTTCTGGGTATTTTATTTATACAAGTTCGGTTCAGATTGTAATATGTAATGAAATGTAAAATCAAATGACAAATATTGTTTATATTCCCGAGTATCGAACATGCAACCTTCGTATTTGTAGCGTAGTGAGTGTTCTACAAGGCTACAGAGGCGCTGATCAATCCTAATGTTTTTAGGATGTCCTTTCCAAGATCCGTATGCCAGCAACAGATATTTTATGCCCGTTTCCTAATGTTCATGGAAAGTATGTTCAAAACATAAAAATGTTGATAAATGTTGTTTTAAGTTTCTTTTTTCGGTTCATAAGTTAGATAAAACACTCCCCCTCGGGTTGTTAGTGATATTTAAAACCCTTTCCCTCGGAAAATCCCTCGGCTGCGGGTTTTAAATATCATAACAACCCTCGGACGTGTTTTATCCTATACACATAACTCAGACACAGTATACTGACTCCGAGCCGACCAGTCCCTGTTTTAGCCCCTTAATGCCAAGCGCCAGACAGGGTAGCAACAAGTACCATCTTTTAACGTCTCTTGGTATGATGCGGTCGGGTATCGAGCCCCTACCCTCCGCTACCCTTTGAACGAAAATGCTTTAGTCATGGCGAACAAATTGAAATAGGATTCGTTCCTCTTGAACACTAGATTCATTCGTGGGGCAAGCATGTGTAGTACAGCTTCAATGGTCCAGTGGTTTCCTCGGGAAATATTCACAGACGGCGGTGGACAAGTAGGACATGACATAAACTCACTTGATTTTCAGTCAGGTAAGCTAAAACCGTTGACAAAAACAGCCACAATGAAATATACCCATACCTCTGTTCGTGTACTTGCACAACATCCGAATAATGTTTTCTTCTAAAGTGGTGAAGGGTTATGAAAAACATAGATCCTTATGACAATAGTATCTGCTTTAATGTCGCGAGAAGGAACACGAACCCATCACAAATCTGTGTTGCAGGTAGCTGTAGTCGGGTGTATAACAATACGTTACACTTGTTTCACACTGTTGAATGTACGTGAACGATTATCCATTCAACACATAACATTACAACACCCTTCTAAAATCTGAAACCATTTACATCCACAGGTATATTTAATGATTAATAAGTACGCGTCGTCCGTCTATGGCTATGAAAAAAAATACAATACCACCGCATAGAATTTCACACCTGATCAAATAGGGCTGTTCGTCCTTGGTATCTTTACATGTGTTGAGGTATATTTACATGTGTTAGCAGAGTCCCTTAGATTCACAGGGTGGCAGTTTATTCAATTGTGTTGGATGAGTGGATGAGTGAGCATGCTTTTACGCCACGACTACAATATTCCAGCAATAATATCACGGTGAGGGACACTAGAAATAGGCTTCACACATTGTACCCATGTGCCCTTTCCTCGCGGTGTCGTTTTAGCCATTTCTTTGACTTCAAGCTTGGCGAAGTAACTGGTAATTTTATTTAAAGACACCTGTGCCATACGGACAATGTGTGCACGGCTGCTTAGTTAATTTCTTTTTCGACAGTACTGATTGCTTTAATTCTTACTTTAACCGTCGCACGTCCTGTCTACACCCCCGTGACCTACTCCGTGCACACCGAGTGGGGAAAGGCCAGGAGCCACAAAGAAGTGCCAGTAAGCGTGAACCCAGGGGACAGTTAGGTTACATAGACTGGCGGCAATGCTCCCTCGCCAGATCCCGTATTACAGGGCTGTGTAAATACCGGACGCCCGCAGCTCACCATCTGTCTCCAGAACTCTCACGCCGACTTCTTGAGATTTTTTCAATGTTCTGTACTTTTTAATATCAAAATACATTTAGTGTTTGTCAGAAGAGTTAGTTACATACTTAATCAATTTTAAGTCGATTAAATTGTTTGTTTACGGTAGACGAAATTATATGACCATAGTGTCATTGCCAAACCCTTTAGTTCAATTCTAATTGATCCAGACTGCACAATATAGGGGGAAATCATTATTACATTTCTGGTTTTTTTTGGTACCATTAACTAAGGCGAAAATATTGCATTAGTGTGTCACATCATGTATGACGAACAATACACAATACATTACTAAAAATACAACATCTGGCCGATTCAAATGACGGGGATTGCTAATTGTAACAACCTGTAAATACCTCCCATGGTCGATGAGACGCCGTTTGTGCATTTCAGATCAAAGTGCGGCGAGGGGGTTAAGAAAAGTAGAACTTGACATTAAATTAATGTACAAGCTTTTCAACTACTGCGTATATAAAATAAGATCTAGGGAAGATACATCTTTCCCAAAATCTAAGATCAGAGTAAGATTGAAAATGAACTCCATCTTCAACAGTATCACAATAACAGAATTTACAAAATCGTTCTTTAAGTGGACTTTTTAATGACATTTTTGTTTAAATATTTTTAACAATCCTATTTCGTAAAAATGATTTCTTAGTTATGCTCGTTAATCTACATTTGTAGGTATGTGGGTAGGTAGGCTGTCTGATGAAGACAGTGCCTTCTCACGTGAGCAAATTTCGACCCTCTTTGATGTTATTGTTAGACGTCGGGGAATTCGTAATTCGAATTGACAACACATTCACGCGGCATACGGACGTTCATTGGGAAATGAAGGACTATTGGCTTGGTGGTGTTCATCCAGGCGTGGTCACCCGCTACTAACAATATTAACCCGTGAAACTCCGTGTTAAAATTGGTCGTCAGCAACCAATGCATGTCGTAAAAGGCGACTAACGGGATGTATGTCATCGTATCCCAATTGTGTAGATCGATGCTCATGATGTTAATCACAGGATTGTCTGGTGCAGGTTCGATTATTTACAGACGCCGTCATATAGCTAGAATACTGCTGAGTGTGGCGTTAAACAACAAACAAACAAATGTAGATCTCCAATCATCATTTATCACCATGCATTTGGTGTAGTCTACCGTGAGGACGAGCGCAGAATTCTCTGGAATGCTGAGAACACCGCAATCTATGTGTACAAAGCTTTGAAATTCCTTTTGCCTCCAACATTTGAGAGAATTACCCTATCGCATCCGCATCACGCATTCATGCAAGGGGCTTGACGTTCAATGTGTATTGTGTAGTACAGTGGAATATCTGCTTTGGACTTCATTGGACTATATAGCTTCTCTTTAAGACGGGGGCTCTCCATGCAAACGTCCCGATGGAAATAGCCTGAAAACTTAGTGGCACATCTGGGAGCCTGGCATTTTCCGCATGGAAATAGTTTAAATACGGGTTTGAAATATTATTTTCTCCTTCCTTAACTATTTAGGTATACACAAACGTAAACGGAATCGTTCTGTACCCCGTATGGAAAACTATATAGCTTCCCTTTAACACGGGGGGCTGTCTATGCAAACGTCCATATTGAAATAGCCTGAAAACTTAGTGGCACACCTGGCATTATTTGCATGGAAATAGTTTTAAATACGGGTTTGAAATACTATGTTCACCTTCTTAACTATTTAGGTATAAAATGACGTAAAAAGAGTCGCTCAATACCCCCTTTGGAAAACTATATAGCTTCCCTTTAAGACGGGGGGCTGTCTGTGCAAACGACCCTATTGGGAGCGTCGCATTATAGTGAGACATATATGGTATTGGGGGGGGGGGGGGAATAGTTCGAATTCCAAAAGGGTGAAAAGCTACATCATACCAAGTCCGAATTAGGTGCTGGTTATTAGATAAGAGTGGGTTAGAATGATCTAGTGTAGGGGGGGGGAGGGGGGGGGGGGGGGTGAGGTGGTTGACCAATGATAGATGGAAAAATGGGTATAGCTGTGACGTAGGTACCGGTTTAAAAAGGGGCAAAAGCCCCAAATCGAGACAACGGCTAGAGAACGGCTAGACAGCGGCTAGGTAGCAGCTAGGGAGCGGACTGGACTGGGTCTCCACTCTCGACTTGTTGTCATGATCTTTCGAACCGAAGTCTCATAATTAAGTGACAAATAGAGTGGGTTGACCGGCAACACAGAGTGGGAATAAAAGCCGTTAAACGAAGATCACTCTTTGTGCTTGTTGGAGGATCTACGGTAAAATGTACAAGGCCCTCGGGTACTGACACTGTACCTCTCTCTCATCCCTGATAGTCAGCACCAAGAACGAGGGGATTACCGTAGTTCAGAAGAAGAGGTAAACGACGGCTACACCCTGGTAATTAACAACAATTACCGCCGGTCTTTAAGGCGTTAAAATTACCTTGGATAAAAGCGACAAACACTGGCCACTTTGCCCTGAAGGTTCGGGCAACATGACCAGTGCCTGGCCACTTTACCCCACTTTCACAAATAACAGCTCGATGATGATATATTTTCCAATTTCTTTAATAACTGCAAATAATATTACTGACAGTAAATTCAGTCAGTTCACAAGAATGCAAAGACGGTAACGCCAAAACAAAGTGTCTACAATAACTCACTCAATCAACTGCTCCTGGACATATTCAAATATAACTAGATCTTAGTTTAAACAAAACAATACACATGAAAACACAAACTGGGAAAGACAACATTTGTCTTAACTTGTTCTTAAAAATTACGGTTCAGAAAGGTATATGTACTTCAACGACAGAGATCGTAAATATCCTTCTCATCTCCACACTCTACATGGAACCATTGTCTACACTTATTGCACTGAAGCCAGTCCTAGGTAGGTGGCTCTGTTTACAACTCGTTGCAGTACAAACTGTGCCATAACTCCGACTCATCAGCAACTTTCTTGTTTGCCTTGCTGCTGGTTTTCTTTGATCTCTGGGGCGGTCGGGTAGCCTAGTGGTTAAAGCGTTCGCTTGTCACGCCGAAGACCCGGGTTCGATTCCCGTGAAGCCCATTTCTGGTGTCCCCCGCCGTGATATTGCTGGAATATTGCTAAAAGCGGCGTAAAACCATACTCACTCACTCTTTGATCTCTTCTGTCCTTTCTCCTCCATCATTTTCTTGAAAGGTGTGGATGTAACTACCATAGAAGAGTCAGATTTTCTCTTTCGGCTCCGTATCTTGCGTTTCACTGGCAGTGGTGAAAGTGCTTCAATCTGTCTTCTAACATCTGGTTGGGGTTCGTCTGAAGAACCTGCAGTCAGTTCTGAAAGAGTTGGTTGCATGTAACCCTGGCAATACTGCATCAGATGTTCCGGGCTCTGAATCTGGCTTGTCTGGTGGCAATACAGCATCGGATGTTCCAGGCCCTGAATCTGGTTTGTCTGGTGGCAATACAGCATCGGATGTTCCAGGCCCTGAATCTGGCTTGTCTGGTGGCAATACAGCATCGGATGTTCCAGGCCCTGAATCTGGTGTGTCTGGTGGCAATTCTGCATCGGATGTTCCAGGCCCTGAATCTGGTTTGTCTGGTGGCAATACAGCATCGGATGTTCCAGGCCCTGAATCTGGTTTGTCTCGTGGCAATTCTGCATCGGATGTTCCAGGCCCTGAATCTGGTTTGTCTGGTGGCAATTCTGCATCGGATGTCCCAGGCCCTGAATCTGGTTTGTCTGGTGGCAATACAGCATCGGATGTTCCAGGCTCTGAATCTGGTTTGTCTGGTGGCAATTCTGCATCGGATGTTCCAGGCCCTGAATCTGGTTTGTCTGGTGGCAATACTGCATCAGATGTCCCAGGCCCTGAATCTGGTTTGTCTGGTGGCAATACGGCATCGGATGTTCCAGGCTCTGAATCTGGTTTGTCTGGTGGCAATTCTGCATCGGATGTCCCAGGCCCTGAATCTGGCTTGTCTCGTGGCAATACAGCATCGGATGTCCCAGGCTCTGAATCTGGCTTGTCTCGTGGCAATACGGCATCGGATGGTCCAGGCTCTGAATCTGGCTTGTCTGGTGGCAATATGGGATCTGATGTTGCCCTAGGTCCTGACCCAGGATTGTCTGGTGGCAAGGCTGTTTGGGCCAGTTGTGTTTCAGGCTCGGGGTCATCCGTAATAGCGGAGCCTGCAAAATCGTCATCAGTGAAAACATCCGGGTTAAAGGGCCATATCCCAGTGCAGGTAAAGCCATTGGTTGCTTTCAGCATTGTTGCCGTCACCGTGTAGGCAGCGCCGAACAGTTGCCATGTCAAAGAATGCAACTCTACTGCCTGGGTTCATTAGCATCCACTTGTCAGATGCTTTGTTGTAGTTAGCCTTGAGAGGCCCAAAGAATCTCCTGTCTAGGAGTTGCAGCTTGTGAGTTTTGTGGCTAATGTGAACAAAATGCTCAAGCCAACAGAGGAACAGATCATGGTTTATCCATCCATTATCATCAAAGCAGGCGACATTCTCTTTCGGGGGAATATAAGCATAGGTGGTATGTAGGTGCCAGATGACTTCATGCAACAGATCGCAGTCATAGTTCTTCCCCTTTCAACACTTGTGACCTTTCCCACTTGTTCTTCGCGCCGTTTTGCCAAAATGTTCCGTGGACGATGGACATTGGTAACACCACTTTCTTCCATATCCAGATTGAATCTGGATGAAATGAATGCTTCTCCATCTCGGCCTTGAGGAGGTGGAAAAAAATGTTCACAGATGGTCTATTAAAAGCAACAGCTCTGGATATACTGGTAGCTTCTAGCTTTCGGATGGATAAATCTGGATGTCGCTGCATAAAGCCCTTCAACCAATCTTCCCCTGCCTTCCGTGTTGCTTTGTTAAAAGGGTGATCAAGGCCATTTTGTTCTGCAAGTGTAAAGGCTCATGTACGAATGTCAGTGGAGGTCAATCCGTAAAACATCCGTTGCATACGCATAATGTGAGAAACTATACTCAACAACAAAAGTTCCTATGGCGCCAATATTTTAGTGTATTTTTCAAACAAGTAAAGTTTGGTTTTCAATATTGTAGTACATGTATGGAATCAAGTCACAAAAACTCAACTGCTACAGAAAAAGCATGCATTCCATGCAAAAGTTGACTTTTATGCAAGCCCCATGCATTTCACTACCAAAGAATGGGTATAAAAACATGTGCGTTAACGGGATTCCATATGCATTGTTTAGCATCGTGCTGACAACAACCACTCAGAAAAACAACAAAATTACGCAATTATTCAACATTACGAAATGCCACGCCTGTCCGAAAATGAGGGTCTGCGTGCCATTGGTATGCTTGAACCAGGATCGAGATAACGTGATGTTGCAAGACAATTTAACGTCCACAGAAACACCATTTGGTGTTTATGGCAACAGACATATGCAGTCAGAAACCATCCTCGGAGTGGCAGGCCACGCGTAACCAATAATCGACAAGACAACTGGATTCGAACAACACACCTACGAAATCGATTCCAGCCAGCAACAGTGCCTGCAAGAAGCATCCCTGGCCTTCGACGAATATCTTCACAAACCGTACTTCGGTGCAGGGATTGTCGCCAGAAGACCCGCCAGACGTCCCATTTTGACAGGAGACCACCGTCAAGCACAGTGGTGCAGACAGCGTCTACGCTGGACGGCCATGCAGTGGGGACAAGTTCTATTCACTGACGAGTCTCGTTTTCACCTCAGCCACAGCGATGGACGGATTCGAGTGTACCGACGTCGAGATGAACGTTACGTCAATCACTGTCATGGAAGAAGATAGGTTCGGGGGCGGCAGCGTTATGGTATGGGGTGGGATTACAGCAAGACAGAGGACCCGTTTGATAGTGGTAGAGGGAAATCTCAATGGACAGCGCTACCACGACGAGATCATCGGCCTTGTTGTTCTACCGTTTTTGCGTCGTCATGGCCCTGGCATTACATGACAACGCCCGGACACATATTGCTCGACTTGTTCAGGATTCACTTCAACAAAACAACGTGAATGTCATCCCTAGCCGGCTCGCTCCCCTGATCTCTCACCAATCGAGCACATGTGGGATGAGATGGATTCTAAGTCAACCATGTGTTCCACAGACACTCCAGGAACTTCGAAACATGCTCCAGCAGATATGGACAGATATTCCACATGACTTTGTGCGACGCCTGGTCCATTCCATGAGACGAAGATGTGTTGGTTGCAACCAGAGATGGACACACACGCTATTGATTTGTAAATTGACATTTTGGCATGTTCATGGCTTTTCATATAAAATCACGCATTGGCAATTAAACCATATTTTATCTGTTGCAAACCGAAATTGTCCTGATTTGATATCATCCAGTGCACGCTTTAAGGCTTCACAGCCATAGATGCCTTGCTTAGTTTTTCTGATATGGTTTCTCACTATTTTCTTCTGTAAAGTCTACATTCGCAAGTCATCAACATAGGCCTCGATAAGGTAGTAGTCTTGGCAAATATAGATGTACTGGCAATCTATGAGCGGAGAAACATTTCTAAGGTACTTCCGTGCACATTCAATAACTGACAAGGCCTCAGGCTCGAAGCTGTGTTGCGAAAAATCTCTCAGTGCCTCAGTTGACTTCTCACCAAAGTAAGTATGGCTTCTAGTCAGATTAATCAGCAGAAAAACAATGTTCATCTGAGAGTCGTCGTCGGGTTCGGACAAAAAGAGTTTCGTTAACAATATACATAGATAATTGTTTGAAATTCCCCTAGATGAAGCTTTTGTTTGTCCAACTTCTCTTCTTGTAAGTTGATATATATAATGTTTCCCCCGCTGACACATTTGTCTAGACATCTACCAACATCCTGAAAAACAAGCAAAATCAATCAGATCATACGGGGGGCAAACCGCAAAAACTTACCCCAGTGACAGTATCACTGGATAATTAAATAACACGTAATTACTTGGTCTCGAACTGTCGCATGTTAACTCCCAAAATATACTTGATGCCAACATGGTTTGCAAATGCACAAATATTTTGGATATCATGTTACGTTTTCTCACAATAAACGCATTAAGATATGTACATTCCTTACAGCAAAATCACCTTTTTTCATATTTTTATAAACGTTCCTTAACTCGTACATTTGGCGTCAGCGTGGTTTTTGGCGCTTCTTAACGTCTGCCATCTGACGGCAGATAAGGCGCGCTCTGCCCTGGTCTCCCCTATGCCCAAATATGGACATTGTTGACATTTTTATGCATACGCATTAACAACATGGGCCTACATTTGTGTTTGCAAACATAACAGCACCGACGCTCAAGATCCTTTTGGAAGAATTTCTTCAACTTAGGGTAATTCAAGCGCCATGTCGTTAGTACGCATGACACCTATAAGGAAATTTGAAAAATCACATTAGCGCCCCGCTTTGAATATCGGACGAACAGTCGGTCACTCGCCCTGCCGGGGCCCCGAATATTTTATGAATGAAAGTAGTCCCGGTATGACAGAGGTCACGGTTATCCAATCAAAACGAATCAAACGAGGTCAACCTTTTTCGACACACGTGTGACGTACGGATTTAGTATCTTACCACCTGTATCCTCACAACGTGGATAATAAAACAAAATACTGCCAATAATGTCGTCACTTATGTCCAAGTACACGAGATCTATAGTCGGGAACAGTAATTGAAGGTAAATCAACAATGTCCGCACGTTAGCGCTAATATCGCAAAATATTGAAAGCGAACGCAGACATGGCGAACATAATATAATTGAAATTTAATATGCATATCATTAATTGACTTCCATGTTCCTCCATTCAATACACTGTAATGGGTAAAGGTTGTAGTTGACGAATAGTAAACATATGTATACTCTGCAACAACAAAACAGAAACGCACAAGTTGTAAAATCGTAAATATCTGACAAGAGTGTTGCCGACATCCATACAAAAAATCGTAAATATCTGACAAGAGTGTTGCCGACATCCATACAAAAAAGCGTAAATATCTGACAAGAGTGTTGCCGACATCCATACAAAAAAGCGTAAATATCTGTAAAGAGTGTTGCCGACATCAATACAAAAAAGCGTAAATATCTGACAAGAGTGTTCCCAACATCCATACAAAAAAGCGTAAATATCTGTCAAGAGAGTTGCCGACATCCATACAAAATAGCGTAAATATCTGTCAAGAGTGTTGCCGACATCTATACAAAAAAATCGTAAATATCTGTCAAGAGAGTTGCCGACATCCACACAAAAAAGCGTAAATATCTGTCAAGAGAGTTGCCGACATCTATACAAAATAGCGTAAATATCTGTCAAGAGTGTTGCCGACATCCATACAAAAAAGCGTAAATATCTGTCAAGAGTGTTGCCGACATCCATACAAAAAAGCGTAAATATCTGTCAAGAGTGTTGCCGACATCCATACAAAAAATCGTAAATATCTGTCAAGAGTGTTGCCGACATCCACACAAAAAAGCGTAAATATCTGTCAAGAGAGTTGCCGACATCTATACAAAAAAGCGTAAATATCTGTCAAGAGAGTTGCCGAGATCCACACAAAAAAGCGTAAATATCTGTCAAGAGAGTTGCCGACATCTATACAAAATAGCGTAAATATCTGTCAAGAGTGTTGCCGACATCCATACAAAAAAGCGTAAATATCTGACAAGAGTGTTGCCGACATCCATACAAAAAAGCGTAAATATATGTCAAGAGAGTTGCCGACATCTATACAAAATAGCGTAAATATCTGTCAAGAGTGTTGCCGACATCCATACAAAAAAGCGTAAATATCTGTCAAGAGTGTTGCCGACATCCATACAAAAAAGCGTAAATATCTGTCAAGAGAGTTGCCGACATCCACACAAAAAAGCGTAAATATCTGTCAAGAGAGTTGCCGACATCTATACAAAAAAGCGTAAATATCTGTCAAGAGTGTTGCCGACATCTATACAAAAAAGCGTAAATATCTGTCAAGAGTGTTGCCGACATCCACACAAAAAAGCGTAAATATCTGTCAAGAGAGTTGCCGACATCTATACAAAAAATCGTAAATATCTGTCAAGAGAGTTGCCGAGATCCACACAAAAAAGCGTAAATATCTGTCAAGAGAGTTGCCGACATCTATACAAAATAGCGTAAATATCTGTCAAGAGTGTTGCCGACATCCATACAAAAAAGCGTAAATATCTGTCAAGAGTGTTGCCGACATCCATACAAAAAAGCGTAAATATCTGTCAAGAGTGTTGCCGACATCCATACAAAAAAGCGTAAATATCTGTCAAGAGTGTTGCCGACATCCATACAAAATTAAGAAATCGCAAAAACACAACCACGTGAGAGTCTGACGCCGAAATACACCAACATGACGTGCACGTGCAACATTACTTGTTGGGCTGTAAAATCGTTGGGTTTTCATTTGCATACCATCTCACAGCAAGTGAACAGAGAAAACATGCCACGACTGACGGAATCCAAACGCAACACCGCCATCGGCTGCCTGGAAACACGAGAACCGAGCTGTGGAACCATTATCAGACACATGGGGCAACACGGGACCTTCCCAGATTCGGCCGACCACGTATCACTACTCGAACTCAGGACAGATGCATATGGCTACGTAACGTACTTGAAAGAATCACCAAGTCTACTTCCACATCCTACGGAAATACCAGGATTGCTTGGGATATCAGCCCAGACAGCGATGAACCGTTTACGCGCTGAAGGTATGCAAGCTAAACGACCAATACGATGTTTCATTTTGACGGACCTGCATCATCGGCTGCGATGTCATTGGTGTCAAGGTCACAGGGTATGGACACAACTACGATGGAGACAACTTTGGTTCAGTGACGAGTCACGTTTTACGTTCGTTATGCACGAAACTGCATACAGGAAGTGAACAGTTTTTGCATACTAACACACAACCATTATAGATAGTGTTGTTGCATACTCATACTCATACATGCCCAGTCAAGCGGTATCTCCAACACATAACATTTCACAAAGCGTTTTCAACAAAATCAGAAGAAAACACCCATTCAACCCAAACATAAAATGTACTGAAATATGTACATGAATTGGAAGAGGTGTAATGTAAGGGTTGGTTGGTTGGTTGGTTGGTTGGTTGTTTAACGCCGCACTCAGCAATATTCCAGCTTTATAACGGCGGTCTGTAAATAATCGAATCTGGACCAGATAATCCAGTGATTGATATCATGAGCATCAATCCACGCATTTTGGATCGATGACATGCATCGACCCGTTAGTCGCCTTTTACGACAAGCATAATCACCTTTTACGGCAAGCATGGGTAGCTGAAGACCTATTCTACCCCGGAATCTTCACGGGTCTGACAGCAATGTCATTTAGGCCATCGCCTTGGGGGTAAAGACACTGAGATGTGGCTAGAGTAACCGTGTGTTGACAGTCCTCGGTGTTTGCCCTTCCCTGTGGTTTTCACATTTTACAGAATACAACAAAGAAGTTCACGACTAAGACTGACCTTGTCCATATGTAAGTCCATGGTGAAGAAAATCTTAGAAATACTTAGAGGAGAAATGGAGTATGTGTATTCACGAATTCGCCCTGATTGTGTTTCTTGGTTTGTGAGTGAGTGAGTTGGGTTTAACGCCGCTTTTAACATTATTCCACTGGCAGTTATTTCACGGCGTCTCAGGTTAATGTGGGAGGAAAGCCCGAAATGATGCAGGTCTCAGACGTTTACCACTTTGGTGAAACCCACGAGCACGGGTATGGTACTGACAAACCTAGAAACATAATTGGGGCGAACCGGGATTCGAAACCACTATAATAGGTTTCTGGAGTGCCAAGGGACGCAACTCTGCACAGCGAATCGCGGCGCGTTAGACGACTGGTCCACCCGTGCCCTCGTATAATACCATAAATTAGAATTACTACCATTTGGGTACATGATACTGACATCGACTATGGCTGTAATCTGAAAAAAAATGTTTCAAATACAAGCCAGTAGATAAGAAACTTGTCAAACAAAACAAGTGTCACGACTGTCATGTGTTATCTGAACGTAAGGGGGAGGGGGGTAATTAAGGGACGTTCACATTGTATACAATGACACAAAATAATGAAAACTGCATTGATACAGAGTGAGTGAGTTAAAACTTCAATTCACATCGGCAATACTTCAGCCATATTGTGATTATAAAGGGTTAAACATTATAAATACATTGAAACTTGCCAATGGAGATCAGTAAAATAACTGGATTTATCACAGAAAAAAATATAAAACTAGTATGGAATCATAAAAAAGGAAAGCACAATACATTATAAATTAAGAGCTCTAGATCGCCAGCAACTGAAGGGAGATCACCATACTAGGGACCTAGGGGGCACTGATACAGAAAAAGCATCGATAATCATTCGGTAGTTCATAATTGAACGTACATCCCTGTGCTTTAACTTGTGTATGTCCTTCGTCTTTAGCTGAAGGCATACATACACACTTTTATATAAATCTCCACAACACTTCTAACCATTTCGCTTCGAGGTAGAGGTCCCTGGCACCCACCACATTACCTCTACGATGGAAGGCAGTAAGGTCTCGTGTCTCGCTATTGCATTCTGGTGAAGTTTTGAGGTGGATATAGTCGGTTATGATGCGTGCATTATGGGCGCGAGCGTTGTCGTCTTGGAAGACAAAACGTGGACCAACATGGCCCCCAAATGGATAAACTAGTGGCGTCAGTATTCTGTTTCCTTATTACTGACCAATGCCCCTTCCATGGACAATATGTGCAGTGGCGGTCTCGCAGTCATAGATATCCCGTCCCATATCATTGCATATCCACTCCGAAATACGTTGACGTTCGCTCGACGTTCGTTAGGACGCCTCCAGACACGTCCACGCCTATACAGAAAGTCCAGAGCGCATCTGAACTCAACTGTAAACATCACAAGAGACGCTCTGAACATCAATGGCATCTGGCTAGAATGCGTGGGTTTGACACGGTGGTTCTAACACGCGGCGCCGAACATACAGATTAGCTGCATGCAGACGATTTCTAATCGTTTGGTCAGTACCTTATCACGTTGGCACTCCCAATCTAATTATACTAAGGGATCGGCCATCCGACATTTGCTGGAGGTGGGGGGGGGGGGGGGGGGGGGGGGGGGGGGGGTGGAGAGATTTTGTATTGAGACTCGATGTTTTCAGCTACAGCTACAAAACCAGCTATTTTTGTAATTAGAACTATGAGCCTCAATTAAAAAAAACTAACAACTTGCAAGAATGTATTTTTTGTGACATACAATTTCCTTTTTTAACAGTCTCAAGCAGAATTAATTTATTGAGCATTTTCATTTTCTCAATAACACGTTTGGTCCACGTGATGATTTCGGGTGTGTTGGGGCGTTAGGTCCACCGTCATTATTCAAAGCTGATCTTTCTTCTGACGAACTTTCAAAACATTTATACTTCCTGATCCCCTATATTTTGAAAAGTATATAAAACACTTGATAATCGAGGGTGTTAGGACTTAGGATTAATTTGGCTAAACAGTGTGATATCTTCTTTTATTGCGTGGCTAGCATAAGGAAGCTTCAGAGTACGTAACACATTCTTTCAAACAGTTATTCATAAAACTGTTGCAAGTATCAAGTATGAATGCAATTGCCACCGAATCTGAAAGAGATGTTTCCCTTCTGTTAAGGCCAATGAATGAAAGCATTTTAGTCATATCATTTATTTGCGGTTTTTAAAAAATGACAATACTGGTAGAAAATACTCCCTAAACTCAAATGATAATCAAGCTGTTGTATTGGAGGTAAAACACAAATGGAACGCAATCTTTTCCTCAGTTGCGAGGGTAACTCCTTACCTATTATTGAAAACCACAAAATCTAAGTATCTTGGTTTTTTTCACTATTTCTATTTATGAAAGAGCATTCGATACGGTGAGCGGAATTTGTAGTTCATTTCTTTTTGAAACATTTCTGGTTTCGGTGAGGACACCTTTGGGTGAAGTGTACCTTTAATCGTACATACATGTAAAGATGCAATTCTGGGAAATATTGATGGATGCGCCCAAAATGTGTAGGATGAAAATCGTCAAAGCTATAAATTAGGGATCTCCATACTCACATATTTACCAATCAATACAATGTATTACCAATCAAATATAACAGCCAGTCCTTGTTTTAGCCCCTTAATGCCGAGCGCCAGGCAGGGTAACAACAAATGCCATCCTTTAACGTCTTTAGGTATGACGCGGTCGGGGATCAACCCGTACCTTCTGCTCTCCGGTGGACGCTCAATCACTAGACCACGGAGGCGGTCCAAACTTGTACAGACACGCACACTTAGTCCCTCCCTTGTTTATTCACTCATTTACTCCAATAAGCGAAACCGTAAAACAAGACAGGAGTCAGCATAACCAACCCACAGTTGGGGGTAAAGCAATACCGAAAACACACAAAGTGCACAGAAGGTAATTGATGATAACTTTCTTTCAGCCACGAACGTTTATGTGTTCTCGAGTATAAGATGTGATATGAGACCATTTTCAGTCTTATTTAATCCCGATTTAGAAACTGAAATGCGACAAGAGCCAGCAAAGACTTCACTCAAAAGTGAGCTGCCTTGTGTGACCGTTTCACCTGATGCCATTGTAATGTGTATTCGATACCTTTCACATCTTTCAAGAATAAATGGTTGGTTAAGGTGTAATTTCACACAAGCTCCAAATCCTGACTTGCCGGATAACTTGGCTTGCTTTGCATCTTGAAATGACGCTCCAATCTCATGTTCTAATTTTATGTCATACGAGCAGTCACCAGATCCATAAACAACAAACCCCAAAAGACGAAGATCATCGTAACACTTAATAATAATGACGGAAGTCTGGGCTTTTCCTTTGCTGTACACAGAAGATTTATACAATGAAACCTTTGAATGTGATACCAACTGCTTTGGTTTTATCTTAAAAGGCGCAACGTCCCCTTCCGACATGGTGAAGAAACACAGCAACTTTATGTATTCCTCATTCGATAGTACCCCAGAGGGTACAACAAATCTCACAAACTCTTTTGCATCCATGGCAGTGAAGTCGATGTCGTAAACAGAATCTCCCAACACGAGTCGTTTGTTATCCCGTGTTATTTCCCTTCCATGTCGTTTACACTCATCTTCACACCACGACATGGCAGCACTGAAAACAGTTTCTGGTTTGGCTACAAAATCAGCTGCACTGACAATTTTATGAAAACATGTATGACAGAGAGCTGTGAAGGCAGAACTCTGAATAGCGACATCTCCATTCTGGACAATGACCTTCAGAGCCCTGTCAAGGAGTTTTTCCTCATCAAACACGTGGGCTTGTTCCAGGATGACACAGGCGTTCTCTGCTGTCAGGGAGGATTCCAGGTAAGTCAGACACAGGCGCTCCAGACCCCCCACGGCGTACTTCTTTGCAAGGTACAACACACCTGTCACATTCTCAGCAGTCGGCGTTGACGTATCTGTGTACAGGTACCTGCAAATGGGATGACTTGTTGAAAACCTCACGAAGATATGTTATTATTCCTACCCTTCCTAAACATCACTTAGGATCACTTAGGATCACAAACCATTTCGACACTTCATTCATAATCAGTTCTAAAAATGGTTCCTCTTGAATGTATAGTCTCTTTCATGCATAAGTGGGGGTGATGGCGTTAAATTACTGAAAAACACCTAATGCACTGGCAGTGTGTCTGTGCATATCTTTTGTACTTGATTATAAATTCTTTAATCAGAGACCATATACCACATTTTATTCCCTAGCACGAATACATGAGAAACGTGGTTTCTGATAATTCAGACACTTTAATCTTCAATTCGGGGATTGGAAAATGTTAGAGTGTTCGGAAATCCTCGCTATGACAAATCCTAGTGAACAAAACAAAGAGATGCACACCCGTGCCTAGACTGACGGTGTCATAGACAGGAAAGAGCATTCTACGGCAATTTTCGAATTTTCCTCAGTACCTATTCGTCACATCGTTATGATAAACTAATGGCTACAGCTATATATACCTCAACATTTCAGAAAATATTTCACCCTCCACGTCAGGTATTTTAATTTCTTCTTTCTCCGCCAGGGGACCACACAGCATGGCGTGGAACACACAACTCCGACTCATCAGCACATATCGGTGAGCTCGGACCAGCTTCTCTTCTTTCCCAACCCGGAAGTTAACGTCACAAGAGTCCTCGGAGGTCAACATGTGCGAATTACATTCCGCCAGAGATTTCCCACTCTGCCAGTTGTCAACAAACCCGGAGTTGTCTCCTCTTACTTCCTTCGAGGCCATTGCTTATTGAGTTGTTATCTGAAAATGATAAAGTTTTATACATGGCAATACATATTCCAAGAACTGTCCAAAAGTCTTTCTATTATACATTTTTACAAGGATTGACGCTATGTCAATGTTAAACAGGCATTGGAGAATGTAACAACGTGTCTTATTCTAAGAGAGCATCCAATCATCATTTTACTAAGCGTGAGTAAATGCGTTTGGTTTAACGATGTCTTGAAAGTATTTCAGTATGTCACGGTGTCAGCTTAATGGGTGAGGTAAATTCGAAGTGGTGCATGTCAAAGATATTTACCACTTTGGTCGGATATGCAACCGAGGATCTTCACAAGTTTGTTTGCTGTTTAACGCCACAGTGTTCAACTGAAATTGAAAGGTTTTAACTATATCATGGATTCAATAAGAAACTAATTACACGCCCCGATACAGAAATGAAAGAACTGCCCACAACAGACCAGATCACTGAAGATCTATAAAATACCAAACTTGGTAAGCATGCCTCACAATTATCTCCCTTGCGTAGTACTCACTTCCGCGTGTGACTGACACACACTTTAAGAGATCCTGTGTTCGGATAGTCAGGTGATAGAAAGGGTGTTTTACCTGTTCAATATGACTGATGTAATATCTACTAGTTCCTGTTCGCGTAGAATGCCTGAAGGTACCTCAGCCGCATTGCTTTACACATCGTTAGCAAAACAGAAAGTAAGATTGTTGTTTTCATTAATATATGTCATGAGGACCCGATATCTCATTCAAATACATACATAACTGATAGCAACATTATATATTATATATAGCAAGATATTGTACTCAACTAATGCCACACTTTCGACATTGCATAGGACCTGTCAATGTATTCAAGGTATTTCTATTCGCGTCTCTGTCACATTGAGGGTGGGGAGCACATCGCTGCACATACCTTTCACTGGCTACGTGGAGGAATATTCATTCAAATTCCCCTACAAACGTGTACTAGAACCCCTCTTTGAAGTTTATCAATATTATTCAATCCAACTACAGCTATGTGTAGACACCTCTTACCTGTCGTGTTGAGCACAGTTTTGATGTTGAACTCTGCCCGTGTGTTGTCACGTGATTGAGCGTATGCAGCGAGGCAAGCGATCACTTTGTTCGAATATGTTTTCTGGTAACGCAGGAAAGGGAGGTAAGTGAATATGTTCATGGATAAGCAATTCTAATAATTTAACTGACATAAAAACGTTGTTGATTGAACCACAATGTGTTTTGGTTTACCATTTACCATCGTGAAATAGGTGTTAGGATGTCAATAAGTATCATTATTCTTAAAATCACCTGCAAGTTATGTTTATATTACGTTATGGCAAATTGAGTGATATTTAAATCCCAACACGGAACACTGAATACTGTTTCTAATCCATCACGGACAATTGAGTAATGTTTTTATCCCAACATGGAACACTGAGTAATGTTTATATACCAACACGGAAAACTGAGTAATGTGTAGATACCAACACACAGAATTAAGTAATGTTTATATACCAACACGGCAAAATGATGAATGTTTATAGACCGACACGGAAATTTGAGTCATGTTTATATACCAACACAGAAAATTGAGTAATGTTTAATACCATCATGGAAAATTGAGTAATGTTTGCATAACAACACGGAAAAAAGATTAATGTTTATAGACCAACACGGAAAATTGACTAATGTTTATAGACCAACACGGAAAATTGAGTAATGTTTATATACTAACACGGAAAATTGAGTAATGTTTATATACCAATACGGAAAATTGAGTAATGTTTATATACCAATACGGAAAATTGAGTAATGTGTATGTACCATCACGGAAAATTGACTCATGTGTATATACCATCACGGAAAATAGAATATTGTTTATATACCAACACGGAAAATTGAGTAATGTGTGTAAACCATCACGGATAGATAGTTATAATACAAACTATCTACGAATTATTTTGTATCCTGGGCGAATTCATTTTGTTTAACCCGAGCCTTGAATTTTAACATTAATTCACCAGAGAATTGTAAATATGTAATAAAGAGAATATCTATATTCAGAGGTTCCAAAAAGGTTGTCCAAAGAGGAAAGCAACTGCCATTTGAAGTTTACTGAGAAAAATATAGGTGAAATGCTTGACTTAATCATTGATAACATGTATGAATGTAAAATTTCCTCAAATTTTGAGGGCAAGAAGTAGGCATCCTCATGGGCACCAATATGCTGAAATGTTTAATTATGCATAAGAATCGGAATTTCTGCTTGGATTGCGTGGGGCGGTCGGGTAGCCCAGTGGTTAAAGCGTTCGCTCGTCACGCCGAAGACACGGGTTCGAATACCGACATTGGTACAATGTGTGAAGCCCATTTCTGGTGTCCCCCGCCGTGATATTGCTGGAATATTGCTAAAAGCGGCGTAAAACCATACTGAGTCAGTCAGTCGGTCAGTGCTTGGATTGGCAAAGTCAAAGCAAAGGAATTTAGCCAAGAAGCTTAACTTCAGCTTCAGGTATATCGATAATATGAAATCGTTTAATAACCATCCAATAGCCAATTCCCTTCCGCTGATTTACCTACCTGTACTAGAAATAAAGGAGACCAGTGAGACCGCTTCATCTGTTTCATATTTAAATCTATGCGTATCGATTCAGAGTGACAAAACACTCCCCACAAGACTGTATGACAAGAGGGACAACTTAAACTTCAAATAGTCAGTTTCCCCTTTATGTCGAGCAATCTTCCTGCAGCTGCAGCCTTTGGTGTCCACATTTCACAACTTTTGGGGTACAATCTACCACAATACCACAATCTATCTACCATGATGTCAAAGAGCGTCACACGACTCTTGCTCAGACGTTTTTTCATCAAGGTTACAACATTCATGGTAACGCTTTCAAAACGTTTAATGGTAGACATGTGGACGACATTTCCAACTTTGACCCATCACTGACAAAAATGGTTTCTGATGCTATTACCTATTTTGACGGACACCTGCGGACACCTGCTCAGAAACTGTTTCATCAAGGTTACAAGATTCAAGGCCTCAGTTAGGCTTTCAGTAGTCGTGGACGTAATTTGTTGAGTAATGTTAAGAATAATAATGCCAGGAAAGCCACGGGGCAGAATCTGATGACTTATATAATGTTTATAACATGACTATCATCACCGGTATAAGTAGTGAGCGAGTTGCCTTCAGTTTTTCACGGCCCGGGAGGAAAGTCTGAAGTGATGTAGACATTGGCCACTTTTCTGAAGCCGTTAGTGTAAACCTTTGCTCGATTTATAAAACCTTGTGTTTGTGCCCTTGTGGTAACTGATAAGTTATGAGGCTCGCGTCGAAGGAATTACATAACAGTGAACCATTCAGGTGTGGACATTACATGATCAAAACCGCAACAGGTACACCATGTCTCTCTTGTAATCTAGCTCTGTTTGAAGCTGATCCAGAAATGCTCTTGCAGCATGGGTTCACCACTTTCACTGTTAAGTCCAAACAACGATCAAAACAGTTGCAGCATTTGACATCACCACCTCAGCAGGAAATGCTACGGACTCGATATTCTGGGCTGCCAAGGGCGTCACCATGACAGACTATCTTCCAAAAAGCCAGCAAATTATGCTGCACCTTTCAGGCATTTTCGGGATGATTTGAAGACTAAGAGACGTGGAGGCTGAGAAAAGGGGTGCTCTTCTATCAGGACAAAGCCAGTTCACAAAGGAGCCTTTGCCATGACTACAATCCACGGGACTACAACTCCTTCAGGTTACACACAACCAGATGTTTTCCCATAGACTTCTATAGTAACGTTATAAAAAAAATTTAAATAACTAAGCATTCAACAGCTATTACCTGTACGTGTGTGCACAATTTGGCCTTAGAGCAGCAATAAAAACAAAATCAATGACAAACTTAGACTTCTCCTTTTCCGAGTACAGGAAGTTAAACACATCACCCCCAGTCCCGCACCAAATGTCAATAGCTTGAAAATATCTGTGGTCACATTCAGCATTAATCATCATGTTGAAAAAGACAGTACTAAATGTAGAAAAAACATGGTCAGTTTTAATAACTGGATGGATATACATATAAAAGACATAAAAAATCACAGTATCCTCCAATCACAGCCTGCAGATATCTCTCGATCTGCACAGTCCCAACTGGTTCTGCTTTGGTGTAGTAGAACCTTCAGCACCACCTTATGTTCCTGATCAAGGGGATAATGTTGAAAAATAAATCATTTTCATGTCTTTAGGCCAAGTTTTACTATGTGAGGCTCAGAACATACACATATATCAATCACCCCTCCAGACTCATTCGGTGGCCGATTCGTCAAGGGCGACGGGATTCGCTGTGCAGAGTTGCGTCCCTTGGGCACCTGATTGTTGGTTCGAATCCCGGTTCACCCCGATTATGTTTCTAGGTTTGTCAGCACAATACCCGTGCTCAAACCAACTCACTCACTCATTCCTGACTCATTTCATAATAACTTATAAGAAGCGAAGCATTTACACAAACACGGAATGTTTTGTTGCACTGAATCCGTAATAATCCAGCTGTATAATGGCGAACTGTAAATTCTTAAGTCTGCGCCAGACACACCTGTGCTGGTGGTTGACAACATGAACGATGCTCCACGTCGTCGTGGCATGATGAGTGAGTGAGTGAGTGAGTGAGTGAATGGGTGGGTGGGTGGGTGGGTGGATGGATGGGTGGGTGGGTGGGTGGGTGTTTGAGTGAGTGAGTGAGTGAGTGAGTATGGTTTTACGCCGCTTTTAGCAATATTCCAGCAATATCACGGCGGGGGACACCAGAAATGGGCTTCACATATTGTACCCGTGTCCGGAATCGACCGCTCCCGTGGCATGATGACAAACAATGAGGCACGTCATACATCGTACCTGCGCCGATCCTCATTTTCGGAATCTGAAATTTATCTTAAATGCTGCGGTATATCTCGCGCAGTTTAAAAATAATTTTGACCAGTTTGGCGTGTCAAAGACTGTTGATGCGTTACAACGTTAACTCAACTCGCATATCCGCAACATTAGCCTCGAGATGACACCATCCTCGTACATCTGTGAAACGGCTATCTGACATTTGCCAACAGTGATGCTTTTCCTGATTTGAGTGCCTAACCACCCTCCTGTACCAGTGCTAATGTGAGTCCGGAATCTGTAATAAACGTTAGCCTCTAAAGTAGTTTGTTCTGACAGCTCCAGTTTCACTTCTTTCCCAGCTCTTCTACTTGGTTTGGCTGATATCCTCATTTGCTCGATCCAACGTTTGGGCTTTCCAAGCTTCCTATCTATTACTATATTATACCTACTGGTTTCAGTACCAAATGCCCACAGACCGATCAAACGCATGTTATGGCTACACGAGATGGTGATGTAAGATTCCAACTCACTGAGATCAGTGCTAATGGTGTTTGCGTACAAAGCGATTGCTGGCGCTGGTCTCACTTTGAATGGTGAGGCATCGGTCTCAGATATGCTTAAGAAACAGAATAACTTGGTACATTCATCTCCCGATAATATCCCAGACGGAACAACCGTTTTGGCAAACTCCTGTATGCCCATGGCTGTGAAGCCAAGCTCATACACAGACTCCCCCAGAACGAGTCGCTTGTTTTCTGGAGTGCTCTCCCATTCCCTTCGCTTGACTTCCTCCTCGGCCCACAAGATGGCAGCAGTAAACACTATTTCCGGTTTGATAACAAAATCTTCTGCACTGACAATTTTATGAAAACATGTATGACACAGATCTTTGAAGCCATGGCTTTCAAATGCAATATCTCCATTCTGGACAATGACCTCCAGAGCCCTGTCAAAGAGTTCCGCCTCATCAAACACGTGGGCTTGTTCCAGGATGGCACAGGCGTTCTCTGCTGTCAGGGAGGATTCCAGGTAAGTGAGACAGAGACGCTCAAGACTCCCCACGGCGTACTTCTTTGCCAGGTACAACACACCTGTCACATTCTCAGCAGTCATCGATGACGTATCTGTGTACAGGTACCTGCAAATGATATTATTTCAGAGAGATTTCAGTTTAAACTATCTAAGGCTAATGAACACAACTAATTGACGAAAAAGCATATTTGCACAAAAGTATTATTTTTCGGGAAATTTATAACAAGGGGACGGGTTGCCAATGCATCCTAAGCACTGCAGTTCTCCGTGCAGAGGTACGGCGCATAGTAATAACAGGATAATATATCGATGGTTCGAATCCAAGTTTCGTACAAATAATGATCATATGGTTGACAGGCTCACAACCCTGTTGTTACATTCCCCCATACTGATAAACGTCTACGACATGAGAAAACTTGGAGTTTTCAAGCTGACACACCTTGATGTAATTGGAATACTGTTTAAAGGGACGTAATACCAACCACTCTTTCACTTACTCACTCACTATTCATAATATAACGAGGAAATTAATGCAGGCTTCGAAATTCACGCTACTCCGCTATCCCGAGACTACTTAATTGTCCTGAGGACAAGTAAAATTCAAAGGATGATAGTCCCCAATGACAAGAAGCATATGAGGGATATACTCAGGGAGCAGCTCTCAGTGCCTTATTATTGCTACAAATTGGAACTGAATAAACTGACAGAACATGTAGGAGGACTAGCAACAAGCCCTGAAGACAAGTGAAATAGGTTTCTGCTACTCCTCTAGACTAGTCTTAAAGGCTGTGAATGAGTGTGTGTTTGGTGTTGAACGCCGCACTCAGCCATATTCCAGCTATATCCAGGTCTGTAAGTAATCGATTCTGCACCAGACAATCCAGTGATTGACAGCATGATCATCGATCCGCGCAATTGAGATCGATGACATGCATCAACCAAGTAAGCCATCCTGACCACCCGATCCCGTTAATCGCCCCCTACGACAAGCATAGTCGCCTTTTAGGGCAAGCATGGGTTGCTGAAGACCTATTCTACCCCGGATCTTCACGGACCCTGTGAATGAGTGAATGTATACAACAGTATTTCATTTACATTATTAGGTGTCAGTGAAGGGGAAACTCAAACCCTGGCACAAGTCGTAGATTTCGTTTACTAGATGGACGAGCAAAGGCACAATACTGACCAAATATAAGAGGATCAGGTGGTATGGTGACTTGCCCAGATGGCAGATGCCGTCTAACTTTGTTTATGATCAGTCACTGGGTCACCTACCATGACTGGTAGATTGTTTACATTGTTTCTTGTTTAACGCCACACTCAGCAATATCCCAGCTATATTACGGTGGTCTGTAAATAATAGTCTGGACCAGACAATCCAGTGATTTACATCATGAGCATCGATCCACACAATTGTGATACGATGACATGCATCAGCCATGTCAGCGAGCCTGACCGGCCGATGCCGTTAGTCGCCTCTTGCGACAAGCATGGTTGCTGAAGACCTATGTATGGTGTTGATAACGTAATCAGGGAGAACCTGGATTCGAATCCACAACTATAATTGTCTCGAGCGCCCGAAGGACGCAATTCTGCAAGCGAATTTAAGTGCGTTATACGACAGGGCCACCAGAATCCTTATCAATAAAGTAGGCATATAAGTATAAGCGATAAACTTATAACCACCAATAACAATAGCAACTGACAACACGATTGACACCAAACACGTATATAAGTCAATATTTACTCCAGAAATCCTGTTTCGGAGATCAGATTATAACTGTCACCAACCTCAACATTTCAGAAAATGTTTCTTCCTCCACGTCAGGTATTTTAATTTCCTCTTTCTCCGCCAGGGGGCCACACAGCATGGCGTGGAACACACTACTCCGACTCATCAGCACATATCGGTGAGCTCGGACCAGCTTCTCTTCTTTCCCAACCCGGAAGCTGACGTCACAAGAGTCCTCAGAGCTCAACATGTGGAGGTTACACTCCGCCAGGGACTTCCCACTTTGCCAGTTGTCAACAAACCCGGAGTTGTCTTCTCTTACCTCCACAGACGCCATCTTTGTTTGGTGTTGTTATCTGAAGAATGGCAAACCTTTGACACACATAGCAGTACAAATTCCCGTAAGAGATGTTCTACCATTCTTGTTGACGCTAGCTGAACAATAGAATGAACGTTCCTTAAAGCCAAGATCAGCAATATAACGGCTATTTCACGGCAATCTGATTAATCGAATCTTGGCAACGTTGTTGAAACCTGTGAGTGTTGTGAAACATTTCCATGATCATAAGAAATCTCGACTGTACGATTCCGATTTTATCATAAACATGTGCTTATGAGATCACAAACCAAGGATCATTGTCAGGGCGAATCTAGGATTCAAACCCATGATCACAGGATCCTGGCTCACCTAAAGCGTTAGTCCAGCGAATAGACAATATTGTACCATAAAATTACTTCGATCACAGGGTAAGTAATTTGATTGGTCATACAATTCGGACACAATTTTCCTTTGAAGAGATATCATGTATTCTTTATTTTAAATATACACTGTTAGCAGTTGATGGTGAACTTGCATAATGCCTAGTAACGTACGCACCTCGATCTAATTCAGTTACAACGTAACATATTTTAGCTGGTATTTATATCATGTGACGTGATTTTTATATCATGATAATCTATATCATACGTAAAGGTATGTAAACAAAATTAATTGCTTAACAAAAATGAAAATTATTCTACAAAGTCATTGTTTTAGTTTTTATCCTTTTTACAGATAACTTAATATGGTATTTCGTGTTTTAACCGTTCAATGGTTTACTCCACTGTAGGCGAATGTGTCGAACACAAGTATAAGTCGAACTATCTCAGGTCCCTTCAAGGTCGACACAGTGGCGTTCAACTTTAATTTGAAATCATCCACGGGCTTTGCTATATGATTGACTCAATACAACTTTAGATATATGTTCCAATACAGTAATGAAAGAACTGTCGCCAGAGGTCTGATCACTGAAGCTGTATAAAATACCCAGCCAAGTCAGCGTGCCACTATATTATCTCCCTTGTGTGTTGTTGTTTACTTCCGCGTTTACAAACGTGCATTATGATTATTTTGATTGTAATTATTAATACAATTTGAAACGTGTTTAATCTACATCTATATCTGTATGTATTTCCATATCATGGACTTAATATCTACATGTTTCCATTCGCAGTAAAACCATGACAACACCATATATATGTATTACAAACCAAACCGACTGTACGCTCGTCAGTGTCATTCATGTATATTATGAGGATATCACATCCAAATACACCAGTGACAGAACTTCAGACATTGATACGAGTGTGTCGACTTATCCGACATCCACGACACTGAATTGAACCTGACATTGTATTCGTGGCATTCACCTCGTGTCGCATTACAAGGTGAGAACTTGTCGGGTTTGGGCAGGTAGCTCTCACTGGTTACAGTCTCCTCACGGCGGCTCATGGGGAGGAATAACCATTCACAGTCCTCCACACACGTGTACTAGAATCCCTCGTCAGGTTGTGAGGTGTTCAATCCAGCTATAGTTGTGTGTACCACAAGGAACATGACAAGCCGTCTTACCTGTCGTATTGAGCGCAGTGCTGAGCTCCGGCAAGTGTGTCACGTGACTCAGCTCAAGCGGGGAGGCGAGATCTGCGATCAAGTTCAATATGTTTATCAGGTTACGCGGTTCTCGCTGGTATTGTACTTATTGAGATGTACTGTGTTGATACAAAACGAAAGGGGAGATCTATACGTGAATAGACGATATTGACCATAATTAAATTAAGCCACCAGTGAAAGGTTTCCTCATTGAAACAAAGTTCAGTTTAGTATGTTCAGCAATGCGTGAGACGTCTGGAGGTACCATTCTAAGAATGCCCGCCTAGTTGTTTATATCCCAACACGGAATATTAAATGATGTTTATATCCCAACAGCGAAAACTGAGTGATATCTATATCCCAACACGGAATATTGAATGATATTTATATCCCAACACGCAATACTGAGTGATTATTATGTCCCAGCATGGAATATTGAGTGATATTTGTATCTCAACACGGAATACTGAGTGATGTTTATGTCCAGACACGGAATAATGAATGATATTTATATCCCAAAACCGAATACTGAGTGATATTTATATCCCAACACGGAAAACTGGGTGATATTTATATCCCAACACGGAAACCAGAGTGATGTTTATATCCCAACACGGAATACTGAGTGATGTTTATATCCCAACACGGAATACTGAGTGATTATTATGTCCCAACATGGAATATTGAGAGATGTATATATCCCACCTCGAAATACATATGTTACGCGCCCTGGAATACGATTTGCTCAGCCTGGAAAAATGATTTTCCATTTGCTTTTATGTTCTAGATGGATATGTGGCGAATGATTAATTAATTCAAATACATATTTTTATCAGGAAACTGACCCTCGTCACTAGATGGCAAAGTATCCTGCTTAACAGAGGGACGATATGTGACATATAACTATGATAAGTGTTAAGGTTATCATAACTGAGATTGTGGAAAGCTAGTACTGTTTATTACACAGAGTTATAATCCAGGGGATCTGTGGATTTTCTATCCTGGGTGAACCATTTTGTTTGTCTCGAGCCTTGACTTTCAACATTAATTTACCAGAGATTTGTAAATTGATAATGTAGAGAAATGGGGGTTTGCCAATCTCTTAAACAGACATCGATTCACTCGGTATGTTGTTTTAATGTCAAAACCGATTCTGTAACACCCTGAACAAGTGATGACACACTGGCAAGTCACCACTTCCTAAACAATCACAATAATGGCAGGTGACGCTTTGAGGTAGACAACCTGCCTGAAGGAAAAACATATTTCTCAGCGAGACGTACCGAAAATTAATCTTCCGATATCCATTTTGGCAGGTATAAACAAATGGCTCAATGAGGTCGGTTAGACAAAACCTCCAACAACAATGTCAACTCACATGTTTCAGATGAGGGTCACAACACACAACTAGGAGCAATATGCCTGTATTGCCAGCCCTCTACTTACTCGAGTAAGTAATTCTGTGAGTGGAGTTTTAAGACAACAAAGTTAGGAAAGTCATGTGCCAGTATGCCTTGATGTACATTATTTTCAAAAGATGATCATTCATGATCGCGAGAGTTGGTTTTAACGCTTATTTTGCCCGTATTTATATCACGACTTGTCAACATAATTAATGTGAAAGGAAAGACCGAAGTGGAGAACTCGACGGGCACGGGTATAGCGCTGGTACGTATTACTGGATGTGATGTAACAATACATCAAGATAAAGAGTCGTCATCCAACTCCTTGCGTGCAGCGACAGAAAGTATCTCCACACCGTGAATATCAGCCGCTCGATGCGTTCTGTCACGTTATTACAAACATGTATTTTCGACTGTCATCCAACGTTAACAATAAACAAGGCTGCTGTCCTCTTAGACTCCACCCCTGAGATTTATCTTCCATCGTCCGCCAGCGAAACTAAAACCCCTAAGCCAAATCACTTTTAATCAAAATATGTCACTTTAAATTTCTGATGTGATTTCTTGAAAGGGTTTTTGGTAGGGTAATATATATATATTCCTTCCTTCCTTTCAATCCTCCAAAGATTTTACATGTATGCATTGAGGTCAACCGGTTAAGGGTAGTAACTGATTTACTTGAGGTTTATGTTTACATAACATTACCGGTATATATATATTGATTCAAGTAAAACAGTTACTACCCTTAACAGGTTATGTTATGTAAAATCGTTGGAGCATTGAAAGGAAGGTCACTTAATTCACTTTGAACGATGACCAGGTATAACCATGTAACGTGTGGGTACCAAAACACACTATGTCATTTAGAAAGAGGTCAAATGTGACAAATGTATAATTTGGGATAACACTTCCTTAGTAATGTACAAATTCTAGTACTTTGTTTTGTATGAGTCCCATGCGGGATTCAAACTCACACTCTCAGAATGAGGTACCAAATCGCCAAATGCCCCGCTCTTAAGTGTAAATGGCACGGCTTCCATGGCCGAAAGCTATGAATATACAATGCTATGTAGAATTTTGTTTACATATGGGTACATAACGCTGGACGTATGAAGCTGTTTTTAACCGTCAATTCTTAATTAAACTTGTCGTTGTTATAAAATTGCGCATTAGTCATGCAAAAGAAATGTCCCATTTTCATACCATCTTGTCACCCATGGTAGTATTGATATATGTAGAATTCCAGTTCACATACACAGTTTCTTTCCTGGAGGCATATCGATTCATCACAGAGTGTTTTATGTTTCTCACATTTATTTTATATAGCAATTAAGCATGTATTCATATTTTGTTTATTGCGGTGATTCCTTCATCTACTATATGGTGTATAACCGACTTAAAGTTCATTCACGCACTGTTGATTCATTGTGATTCAACAGATAGATACCTCCTTTGTAATAATGATGATTTGTTTTCAAGAAAACATCAATCAGTCTAAAACTAATAAAATTAATTCTGCAATTTGCTTTTAAATAATCATAATATCTTTTTTTAACTTTAACCTATACCTGGCATCATCACGATCAGTGATTCATAAACACATGCTTGTTATATAGTCGGAATCGTACAACAAACTCATACAATGTCCAAATGGATTTAAAGGGGAAGAATCCTACTGGAAATTTGAAGTCACCTCTCTTATCATACAGACTTGTGGATATTTTTGTCAAACAGCCACTTAGCAACGTTACAGAGCTATAAGGTTTGACTTTATCTTGAATGGCATGATATCAGTACCAGTTGAGATAAGTAAACACATTAACTATCGCATCTGCCTTATCATCCTGGCTCTCATGATTTCCATTTAAGGACGTTCGCTTGCCACAAAGTATGTCAAGGAGGCTAAGCAGGGAGTCATACAATACACCTACATCTGTCACAAAAGTTCCACAGCAACCTATGCTGGTTGTAAATATCAAAACGTCACAGCCACAGAATAATCAGTCTCAAATATCTGCCGAAACAGATTATAGGCAAGACAAGACAGTAATAATAATTATGAGAATGGATCACTGAATATGGGGTCGGACATTTTCATTGATTAGTATTGAACAAGAGCGACTCGTATGCAAAGAGAAACACCGAGTAGGAGAGAGTCATAGTTGATACCTACTACTTGTCTAAATGTTCTCTAGTCAAGAGGGGACTCATTCGATCGATTGGTCAGACTCGATGACTTGGCTGACGGAGTGTCATCGTATCCTGACCATCCTCCTAGTTTAGATCTTCTATCCATGATCGCTCTCTCGTCCGACCTTCATGAATTCATCCAGTACCGTGTTCACCCCCACAGCGGCAGTTCTTCCATGGACTACACCCTACAGCGTCGGTGGAAAATCATGCTTCCACTGTGCTAACGGTCATGGACTGATGTTCAGCAAACTCATATGTGTGTATGATTGCGTTAGTTAATGTGTGCCTGAGTTTCTGTACATCAATGTCTGTAGGCAGCAAGGAGCTGTGGTCTTCGAATCCACGCTTCTGGACTAAGACAACATCTTACTGCTGTGCATGTTACAGAGTGGCGTCAGACTGGCAACAAGGAATTGCAATGCGTTGGAAGCTGTAGAAGGGGACTTTGGGAGCCCTGAAGTTAGTTACCTTTCAGACGGGATCATCATCAGTAAAGACACCATTTGGTTAGAGTAACAAGGAAGAGGTACGGGAAGCTGCACACAAAATGATGAATCATGTTTATAGAAGACGTGACATATTCTCGCTGAAGTATTTATTTATAATTAATGCAAAACGAAAATAATTTCCATTGAAGCACTATGATGAAAGGAAGAAGGTTGAATATGTATCAAAAGGCCTTAGACAACAACACTAAATAACATTTTGTAAATAGCAATCAATATAGAATAGATATATTCTTCATAGACCAATACCGTCTAACGATGTAGCAAGCAGTTAAACCTTAGCTTTACACATTATAACGATACAGTAGGCAAGTGCAGGCATATTCTATATAGAGATAAAGCTGCATGTAATCCAGACTCATTACAGATAAGATATTGTATGCATTCCAACAATACCTAATGAAACCGCCGTTCAGCGTCACCCTACACGTTTCATAAATACAGCAATTAGTTCACATCTGATAAACATATCTGATAAATAATATAATGTAGACTATACTAATAGTGTGTATGTATATATATAACATACACATTTAAAAATACAAAGTAACAAAGCAAAGGAAGTATGAAATATAGACACGGCGACCAAAGATGAGTCTGACAGATGTCACGCCTTACTGAAGGAGATATATGTTTTAACTCATCTAAAAACTGAAATGTATTCTTTCAGTACTTGAAGAACACATGCTGGTGTGTAATCTCCCACATTTATATCTGCATCTTTTATTAAGGACACTTTGAAATACGTGTGCACAGTGTTTTCATTTTCGACCAGTTGTTGATAATTCATATATCACTGTTTCACGTGAGGAACTGGACCGTGGTGCAGATGTATTGTTGCACTGTTTGAAGAACACGTATGCGTGCTAGTTTTCTATCTCACACTTCCTCTAAAATGAGTCTCGAGATGAGACTTGGGCCACTTTCTTCTGAAACCGATATCTGGCATGTGCCAAAGGTGATACTGTTTAGTATTGGAGCGCCGGACAATCCCATTCCACTTGCTGCCCTTTTAATTGTAATTTTATGTCGGATATATCTGTTGAGAGCCACTGCCTTTGACAGTTCCAGTTGGACTTCATTGCGAATACTTCTCCCCAACACGGTCGATACTTCTCTTTGAACCCACGTTCGTTTCTCTTCATCTAGATGGGAACAGAAATATGTGTTGGGTCTATTTTCTAGTTCGCCATACGGATATGTACGTGGACTCCTGGTCGTACGTTCTTGATATAGTGAAATATCATAAATGCAGCTGTCATTGCCAAATGCCCAGAGACCAGTCAGACGCATGTCCTGGCTGCACGAGATGATGGTGCTGCTGGAGTCCTCCTGACTGTGTCCTACGTGAATGGGGCCTGCATACAGAGCGACCCCCATGTCACGTTTTGACTTTATTTTAAAGGGTGCCACATCAGTATCAGGTGAGACGAGGTAAGAAAACAACTTGGTACATTCATCGCCCGATAATATTCCAGACGGTACAACTGTTTTTGCAAACAATTCCATTTCCATTGAGGTAAAGCCAAGCTCGAACACTGTATCTCCAAGAACAAGACGTTTGTTTTCCGGAGTTGTCTCCCTTCCTTGACGTTTACATTCTGCCTCAGTCCACGAGAGGACAGCATTGAAACCTGTATCATCTGATGTTACAAATTTCTCTGCACTTATAACTTTATGAAAACACGAGCCACAAAGACAAGTAAGGCCAGGGCTCCGAACAGTGACGCTACCATTCTTGACAACAACCTTCAGGGCCCTGTCAAATAGCTTCTCCTCATCAAACACGTGGGCTTGTTCCAGGATGACACAGGCGTTCTTTGCTGTCAGGGAGGAGTTCAGATAAGTGAGACAGAGACGCTCCAGACCCCCCACGGCGTACTTCTTCGCCAGGTACAACAAACCTGTCACATTCTCGGCAGTGGGCCTTGTGGTGTCTGTGTACAGGTATCTGCAAAGTAGTGAATATAAGTTAATAACCCAACTATTATCCTGGCTACGGGTATAAGCATATACCTAAGAATATAAATGATTATCACATAACAACTGTCATACGTATAATACTACAGTTTATCTTTATATTATGTCCTATCCTCGATTATTAACAGTTTGTCAGAGTAATATTTTACAATATGTGTCGATATAATAGAGAGACATAGACCTTTCAATTGCGTTTGGAATTTAATAGAATGATTTCCTGATTCGGTGGTTTTAAACATGATATCTATACTATACTGAGGTTTACTTATACCTGTTCATATCAGTTTGCTGAAGTTACTCATTTGTTATTGGTGAAATGTTAACAGTCAAGATTTGTTTGCTCCCTGATATTATCTCAGTTAAGTTGTGTATTCCAGATGGGCATATGCTTGACGCAGATAAACGAATAGGAAAATATCCATTCCTTACCTCAACATTTCAGTGAATATTATTTCCTCGACGTCAGGTACCTTGATGTCACCTTTCTCCGCCAGGGGACCACACAACATGGCGTGGAATACACAACTCCGACTCATCAGCACATATCGGTGAGCTCGGACTAGCTTCTCTTCCTTCCCAACCCGGAAGTCGACGTCACAAGAGTCCTCGGAGGTCAACATGTGGAGGTTACACTGCGCCAAGGACTTCCCACTTTGCCAGTTTTCAACAAACCCGGAGTTGTCTCCCCCTACTTCTACAGTGGCCATGGTGTATTTCCTGATTGGTATCTGTTGGGACGATAAATGCTCATCGGGTTATATGGTAACATATAAGTGACAATTCTATTTTGGTAAGAAATACACTTCCACAAAATATTTTCATGAATTTCCATAAATAATCAGCATAATAAGAACAATTCTTGGAAATGAGGTAAACCTTGCCTTGGACGTCTTGGACACAAAAACGTATAACTGAGAGAACATTGGTCTAGAAAACAGAGAAACCCACTAAAACTTTATGACTAGACAGTCCCAAAGACACTCTTCAACAGCACACGTGTATTCCATTTACCTGAACTTCATGTAGAGAGTAATTATGTTTACCATCATGAAACTCAACACATCTCAGTTTGATTATATCTTTTTTTAAATATATCCATAGCTGTGACAGTTTAATAGTAAAACAATCTGAATAGTTATACTTATCACACTCAACAGTATGGATTAATAAGATAATAATCAAGAATTCTCCACCACTTAGTGCGAGTTCATTGGCGTGAGAACCTTCTGCACCGCCGTTGTAAGTGAGCGATAGAGTGAATCTTCATTTATTATGTACTTCAGTGTGAAAGATTGAGTTTTCTGAAGTTTAGAAAAGTGATATTTTCATTGCAGTGAACATAAGACTTGATATTTCACTGCAGTGAACACACTACTTTGACGGAACTATTGACATACAAGAGTTAACCCCCTCCCTCCCCCTTAAATTGTTCCACATTAGCAAGGCAAGACAATGACAGATTAAAGTCACTTCTTGCCGTTTGTAATCCTCTCGAAAATGTTTCTTTATAAGCTGTAAATGTCTCATTTAACTCGTCAACCGAGACTCTTCGTTTCGAAAAGCGCCATTTTTGGGATTGCCTAAAAGTCGGGCCAAGAAAAGTCGGGCCGGGCCGGGCCAGCGGGTAATACTAAAAATGGATTGCAGAATAATAAAACGAAACGCGCATATCTAGGCAGATCTCAAATGTCCACAAACGTATAGTTTTGCTCATTTAATTGAGTTTGAATAAAAATGCACCTTCAACAATGTAATTAACTGATGATTATGACTACATACCGTGAGTCTCGTAGAAAAGTCAGCGTCTTGACTGTGTATTCTTTGATTAGAATGCTTCTCACCGACCTTAGCGTGTAGGGGTGTGATGACCTGGTCAGGAAACGACAGTGTTTTGACTACTCTTCTTTCATTAATTAACGTGTTAAGGTAATTAACCTTTACTAATTCGTGTTAAACCAACACAGGATGTTTTCTGGAAGTGGATATTCGCGAATGTCAAAAGACTGACACGACACGTGTTAATAACTGTCCAAGCACTTCTAAAGTTCCTAACATTATTTATATCTAAAGACTAGTATTTTATCTAGTTATTTACCACTTTATTGTCTCATATTTCAGTAGTTAAAGAAAACACAGAGCTCAAAGTGAAGCCCTTTTCCCTCTACATTCTCAACATAGTCTCTATCAGAAGTGTTTGGCTTGTGTTGGGTCCGACTTGGCCCGGGCGGTCAAAATCAACTTTAAACGCACAGATGTATCTTCAAATGTGACTAAATCTATAGATTAGTGTTATATCTACCTATACACCAATTTATAATGTCCAGGTGTATCGCATTTAAAGAAATCTGCGCCCTTAAAGTGAAGCATTTTTACTGTATTTTCTTTAAAAAATCCAAGTCAAAATGTTCGGTCCGACCTGGCCCGGGCTGTTAAAATCAACTTAAACCTCACAGATGTATCATCAAATGGATTCACATCTATAGATTAGTATTACATCTACCTATACACCACTTTATAATGTCACAGATCGCAGTATTTATAGACAACAAGGGGCTCAAAGGGAAGCCCTTTTCCCTCTACATTCTCAACATAGTCTCTATCAGAAGTGTTTGGCTTGTGTTGGGTCCTACTTGGCCCGGGCGGTCAAAATCAACTTTAAACACACAGATGTATCTTCAAATGTGATTAAATCTATAGATTAGTGTTATATCTACCTATACACCATTTTTTAATGTCCAGGTGTATTGCATTTAAAGAAATCTGCGCCCTTAAAGTGAAGCATTTTTACTGTATTTTCTTTAAAAAATCCAAGTTTTACATTTGTAATGAAATAATTTAATTTTCCGGTAGACCTAGACAACTACACATAAAGTATATAATAAATAGGATATTCAATGTGTTGAGTGAAATATCATGTTTCTCTCATCTCGTGACGGAGGAAAAGGAGATATTGACACGTGTATATCTCCTTTCCCGTTTGGGAGGAGGGTGCTAAAAGCTTATTCCATTAGAAGCATTAGATTCGATTCATCCTGATTATGATGGTTTGTTAATGTGTGAGTCTGGATTTGACAAATCGGGGTCTGACAGGGTAGCTAACTCCCCCTGACAACGAAATCATGCAATAAAAAACCAGGCGATAACATGCGACAAACCCCCGAGACTGACCACTCGATCCGTACCCCCGGTATCATAAAAAGAAAAGAGCCTCTGTATTGTAGCTAACCTGGATATGAAGTCAACAGTTTAAAATGTTGATAGTAAACTATTTTCTGCATTTATACTGAAACATACACCATAACTGCCAAAAGCGTTTTGGGAGAATGTAAGAGCAACAAAAGAAACACACGATAAGTGAAAACATGGTAAAGCTATAAAATATCGAGAAATGTGAAGCACATGCGCTGAGTACCACTACCATTTGAAACAAAACTGACTGAGCAATGGCCATAAAATATAGTTTCTCGGTATGACTGTCGTGACCACCGTATTGAATGAAATTCGGACTCGTACCTCTTAGGTCGTAGTGACTGCGGAGTCTAGAATAGTATCCACTTGTTGTCGTGACTGCGATGTAAACTTTTGCATTCGTTCACTTACTGAAACTATCCCCTAGCCATACCTGCAAGTGTAGGTTATATTTTACCATAAACGTTCAGTCGAGATTTCCCCTTTAAACTTAACCCCGATGCATATAATAAATATAACGTACACATCTAATTTGTATGTATCAACATTCTACGCACCTTATCGAGCTAGTGTAGTAGCTTCCAAGCTATTTTGCCTTCGTGCAAAATAATAATATTTCTTAATTATTGTTACTATTAATATATTCGTTAAGGTTTTATGGTGTATAAAATCCCTATTCCTGTCACAAAGTCCGCCAACTATCTCCCTTGAAGACACGTTTAACTTCCCTATCTCACAAATATCACGTATCAACTGATACCTCAGTCAAGGTGATCGTGATGACGTTGTCGGCCTCTGTAATTTCCCTGTATCAGAAATGAAAGTAGACTTCTTGGTATTTCATTGCATATAGCGAAACCGAAAGTAAAATGTTGATACGTTAAAACGTTTGTTTTCTAAAATTCAAACGTTCAACAAAAATATGTTTGTAACGTAAAACAAATGAGCAAAGTCAGAATCGTGTAAGATATGTTGATTTGACTGGTGATATGTAACTCACACCTCCCACTGTGACACTACACACTGTGACACTACCCGCTTTTTCTGTTTCCTTCACATGCTACCATTACAACTTATATTTGAGAAATATGTTTACATATGCGTATGTCACACATGCTGGACGTATCAGTCGGCTGTCGTGTTTGCTGCAACCTGTGTCATTTACATCGCAAACACATCTCGGAGACGTTTTGTCCTACTCACCTTTCTCAGCTTGTTGAACGTGTCGCAAGTCGTCGCATTTGAAATATGAACGCGTCACGTGACTGTCATAACGCAGCGAGGCAAGACCGACAGGTTCACCCATGAAAGGGTGTGATTGCTGAGCTTAGAATCATGTTGCTCGTTTTCTGTGTTTTGGCTGATGTTTGTTTTGTGGTTGAGTTTCTGCTGTTTTTTTTGGTAGACATGCATTATCGTCAAATGTATAATACACGCTATATAACGTCAGCTGCGAAAATAGAAATTAACTGAAATCTATGAGGCGCCGTTTTACACCATTCCCTATTATATCAATACTTCATTTATTGATATCACAAATTCGATTGTTTAGCCGATGTAACTTTAGATATCACTAAATCTAATTATTGATATAAAGTTTTTGATATCACTAAATTAATTTCAGGCACCACATATTCGGAATGTATTATTGTTATCAAAACATCGAATTTGTGAAATCAATAATTCACGTTTAGGCTCATGAGAAAAATGAATTCTCCCTTAAAGTCATACCGCAGTAAATAATTGAGATACTTGTCAAAATATTGTCTGTCTCGCTTATCACGCATAAAGTACATTGGCTATATTGATTTGGGGGGGGGGGGGGGGGTGAATTAACATCCGTATTAAAGACTTGGCCAGAGTGAACGGATACAAACACATCAACACAAGCCTATTTTGACGGGAGTCTAATGGAAAATTAGACGAACATCTAGTCTCTGAAATGAACATATTTTACAAACAAAAGCAGTTGTTCAATTATAGTTAAGAAATCAAATAAAAAGGAGCCTAATATTATAGAATTGGATATATTTGTTTCAGGGTATGTATGACAGGGTAATTGAAGATGTGAGCTCTTCAATCAGACTTTCAGGAACGTGCAGAACAAATGTGTGAATGAAGAACGAAACAAGTCTATATCTTTCCCAAACATAAAACTTTGGAGACCCACAACACATTATTTTTTATACATCCAGCGTGTCCAGTGAACATTTATCATTTTGTGTAAAACCTGAGAACAAATGCAATTTGAGGATCAGATCGACCCCCGAATTCCAAGTGGCCGCGCCTCAATACCGATGATTAGTACTGGTAGCAAAATAATGCTTGAAAAGTACCTAGTAACAAAAATGTACTATATCCATTCCATGGTACATAACAGTGTCGGTAATGAAACTCTGGTTAATATGTTTAACATCTGTAAGTATATATTAATTTTAAAAAAACTTTTCTCTCGTGCAGTGTTTACATGGCTGTTCATGTAACGGGGTCTAGGGTATTTCACAAAACAATCTCAGCGATTCAGCCCTCATAACTCCCATACTCCAACATAAACTTATGACAGTGTAGTGCAAGGATATACATCTCTGGTTCCACAACTATGTCTTTGAGCTGTTGAAACCAATGGTCACTGATTTGCCACTTTGTTTATTCCAACTATACGAGAACACTTCACACTGGAATGAATAACCTGGCATCTACGGCGCCGCGATTCGCTTTGCAGAGTCGCGTCCTTTGGACGCGCCCAAAAACCTATGATTGTGGGTTCGAATCCCGGTTCTCCCCCAATTATGTTTCTAGGTTTGTCAGCACCATACCCGTGCTCCTGAGTTTCACCGAAATGGTAAACGCCTGAGTCCTGCATCACTTCGGGCTTTCCTCCCACATTAAGCTGACACGCCGCGATATAACTGTAATACTGTTAAAAGCGGTGTTAAACCCAAATGACTCACTCACTCACACCTTCAACATGTAAATTAGTATAGTTCTGAAATGCTTGTTATTTCCCATCACTTTTGAGTGAGACATTGCATTAACTGCTCTGGAAGTACAAACAAGGAATCTAGATAAGGAAATGAACTTTTTTATAAACATCTGAACTGACTACACGATAAAAGCAAAGCAAAAGACAAATATTTTACTATTATTTATCTTGATCTCTGACATTGGCATGACCTGCAAGAGTTCACATTACAATAACCAAGCGATACATTATAATATTGTAACATGAATAATAAGCGTGAAGATTAAATAAAGAATACACGTGAGAAATACATATATTTACTTAAAATCAAATCTGTTATAAAGCACATGTATTTTTCCCCTATATTCATAAGCTGACGAAAGCTTGTCCTTTTAGATAGTACGTGTAATATAATACTGAAGGATTTGACGTTGTGGGGATCTTTTTTATAATTCATGAATTGACAATTGAAATGTCAAACCCATGTACATGTTAATGAGTGATTTCTAATAAAGACACGGTGTCATCACAAGTAATCACAAAAAATGATTGTGTCCATAAAACAACACGCCCAAGCTGGGGCTACATTGTATCGCATATGAGTGAATAAATACATGCAAATTCCACATAAAAAATCTGTTGCCCAAAACCTTCCTCCTTCATGCAAATAAACACATTATTGTCTTTACGGCAAAACATGCATCCCCGACTTCCCCTTCTTCCCCCAGTCTCTCCCCTATGTCTATTTCCCCACATGCTCTGTTCATGCACTTCACATATAAATGTCCCCAATATCCATATAGGTTAAAGGAAAAGGACCCATTCTGCAGTACTTGCAGGCTACGAGATTTGAAAGAATTTACCGGAACTCGACGACCCTTCGTCCTTCCTTCCACCCGTCACTGTTTTATCCGAGTTTTATATGCGAAAAAGAGGACAGTCGTCCTTGCAAACGCCAAAGCAAACATGGACAACTGGGTAATTATGATCAATTATCAAGTATTCTGTTTGTCTTTGTCTTTTTTAATCGGCCACATCGGTCTTTGTCAGCAGCCAGTTTGTTTACAATATGGGGGATAACTCTTACTTCGTAGTACGTCACCCGAACATTGCCGACGTCGGAAATATCGGGATATGCGTAGTTTGGGCGAAATGTTTCTTTATACATGTGTTTTCATATATGTAGATGTCACCGAGTATTGAATTTGGAAGAGTTGAAAGATTAAATCACTAACCCTTCCTGATCTGAAAACAAATGTTTATCGACATTGTATAAAAACAAGTTATCAGTACGTTTCTGTAGGACTATCTCTCTTCGTGAAGTCTCACCGACAGACATGAAATGCCATGACTTATGATAGGATGGATGACGCTATGATACCATGGATGATGTCTTATGTTTCTGTGATAACAGAACCAGCTTGGTTAGGAGAATGTTGGAAAAACCAACTTAAAGAATTTTCTTCTGACAGATATTGACCATGTAGATCAAATTCGATAATTGATACTTGTGGATTTCTTTTCACCAAGCTCAATGGCACATTATTGTTTGAAGGGAGATAATATTATTCAGTATTAATTCAACGAATAGTAGCCCGCCTCCGTGGTCTAGTGGTAGAGCGCCCGCCCGGAGAGCGAAATATCCGAGGTTTGATCCCCGGCCACGTCATTCCAAACGACGTTAAAATATGGTACTTTTTGTTACCCTGTCTGGCGCTCGGCATAAAGGGGCTAAAATAAAAGGTTTTTTTCCTTTCAGCCCGGGACCCGCACTCTCTAATATTCCAGCTATATTAGTGCGGTCTGTAAATAATCGAGTCTGGACCAGACAAGCAAGTGAGTGTGCACCATGAGTATCAATCAACGTAGTTGGGATAGTTTACGATGACATGCATCAACCAAGTCAGCGAACCTCACCACCTGATCCCGTTAGTCGCCTCTTACGACAAGCATAGTCGACTTTTACGGCAAGCATGACTTGCTAAAGACCTATTCCATGTTCGGATTTACTTCATTGTAGCAGGGGCGGTCGGGTAGCCTAGTGGTTAAAGCGTTCGCTCGTCACGCCGAAGACCCGGGTTCGAATCCCGACATAGGTACAATGGATGAAGCCCATTTCTGGTGTCCCCCGCCGTGATATTGCTCGAATATTGCTAAAAGCGGCGTAAAACCAAACTCACTCACTCACTCACTCACCCACTTCATTGTAGCTATTACTTTGAATAGATATCAATGCCAACAGTATCATGTATGCCACTATGATTGTGTCAACTAAATATCCCATGTTTCTTGAAAACAATAACAAATGTTTCGGGGAGTCATTGTTGTGAAAACATATTACTGGATTTATTTTCATAATATGTTTTCTACTTTTATATTACGTAGATATCAAAACTGAAATGTGCCATATTCCAATTCCTCATTCTGAAGGTACCACATGCAAATTACAATTTGTTTTATCTACTAGGTTACACACGTGCGCTTTATGACAGTAATGATCTTTTCAAAACAATGCTGTTTAAACATTTTAGGTGCTATGGTGCTTTGAATGATTGTTAGCCATGGTTTAAACAGGCTAGACCACTCGCGCTCCGATCCTAGGGGTTTAACTGACCATGCCAATCATTAAACATTGGATCCGACTGGTTCTCGTCTTGAAATGCCGCTGCAAATCATTATATGTTATCTTCACCTGTAATGTCATGTGTTACTAACTTGTTTTTTTGATGCAATTTGCATTCAGCAGCTGTCAACAGGGAGCACAGAATGACCAAGAAACGAGCATTATTAAAGTATTGTACAACTTACTACAAGCTCAGTAAATATGTTATTGCAGTTATGAGAAGCAGATTAGTAAATATAACTTATTAAATTCGTATAATTAACAACTTAAACCAGTAGTTTTTTGAAAGGGGGGATAGTAATCTCTACTGATAATAGTACACTTTACATATCTACGATAGGCCACCTACTTATCTGACCCTTGAAGATTTCGGGGTAGAATAGGTCTTCAGCAACCCATGCTTGCCGCAAAAAGTTACTCTGCTTGTCGGCGTTAAACAACCAACTAACCAACCAACCTACTTATTTTGTTTGCATTATTCCAGCTATGTGACGGCGGTCTGTAAATAATCGAGTCTGGACCAGACACACCAGTGATTCACATCACAAGCATCAATCGACGCAATTGGGATCGATGACATGCTTCAACCAAGTCAGCGAGCCTCACCATCCGATACCGTTAGTCGCCTCTTACGACAAGCATATTCATATAACCCGTATATGTTACCATATGTCTCTGCACTTGGCAAGACTTTCGTGTGGGTTCTCACAGAGCGCCTCAGTTCCACGGCATAGGGGAATGCTTGGCTGAATGACACCTTGGTCAGTGAGATCCAGCCTAGAGATGCCTGGTCAAGATGGGTATGTGTTAGGATGTACAGTTGTCTTCACATTCTTTGACCCTGACCACTCAGACATCATCATCTTCCGAAAGGAGATCATTTGAGTTACAAAGGTACAGGAAGCTGTACACAAAATAATAAATAAAATCACATAAAGAGAAGACATGGTGTATTCTAGCTTAGGTAGTTTTTCACAATTAATGCTGAACGAAAATATTATCCACTGAAGCAGTGTGATGAAAAGAAACGTATCCAAACACATTATAGGTTGACACCAATCATAATTTCTGAAATAGCAATCAATATAGAAGAGAAATATTCTACATAGACTAATACATTCTAGAGATATGGAAAGCAATTAAAGTTTATCTACACATTGTAGAGATACAACAGGTATACATATTATATAGAGTTGTATGTAAACTGTCGTTCAAAAGAAAGCACACCAAGTAGCAATTAGTCAAATTACTTCATAAAGTAACACATAGAATAGAAATCGTGGTGAAAAATGTTGCACAAGTACAACCAATTGCATTCGATGAAATAAAGTTTTCCGAAAGTGTTAATTGTAATGAACACGTGCATTTTCAGAAAACGTCGTAACGAACACAGTAAACCAAAGCACACAAAAGATATGCTTCGTTTAACAGCAATCCACAGATATGGTATGGTTTGTCCAGTGATTGATATCATAAGCATCGATCCACGCAATTAGGATACGATGACATGCATCAACCAAGTCATCGAGCCTGACCACCCGATCCCGTTAGTCGCCTCTTACGACAAGCATAGTCGCCTTTTACGTTAAGCATGGGTTGCTGAAGACCTATTCTATCGCGGATCTTCACAGGATCCGTTGGTATGGCCCAGGAGGCCACACATGGCCGCATGGCAAGTACATTAGGATGTACCCGTGTTTATATGACCAGGTTGATGCGACGTTAACGGCAGAAAGGTCAGACAACTGGCAGGCCTAGAAGTGGACCACGTGTGACCACGCCCATAGAAGACATCCGGAACCGCTTCATCACACATCTCACATTTCTTCCAACATGAGTCTCGAGATGAGACCAGGTCCACTTTGTTCTGCAACTGATATCTGACATTTACCAAGTGAGATGTTGTTGAATACAGAAGAACCTGACCATCCATTTTTAATTGACGTTCTTGTCATTTCAATTTTATATCTGAAATCATTGTATAGAGAGAATTGCTTTCGCAGTTGCAGTTGGACTTCATTGGAAATACTTCTCTCTAACACAGTTGATACTTCTCTTGGAACCCACCTCTTAACAGAAGTAAAACCTCCGTCACTGGCATTTGTCTGCTGTTCTTCATACAGAGAAATGTTGTATGTGCAGCTGGCATTACCAAATGCCCAGAGACCAGTCAGACGAATGTCCTCGCTGCACGAGAAAATGATGCTGGAATCCTCCTGACAGTGTCCTGTGTGAATTCGGTCTGCATACAGAGCCACCCCCATGTTAAGTTTTGACTTCATTTTGAATGGCGCCACATCAGTATCAGGTGAGATGAGGTAACACAACAACTTGGTACATTCATCGCCCGATAATATCCCAGACGGTACAACTGTTTTAGCAAACAATTTCATGTCCATTAAGGTAAAGTCAACTTCATACACTGTATCCCCAAGGACAAGACGTTTGTTTTCCGGAGTGATCTCCCTTCCTTGACGTTTACATTCTGCCTCAGCCCACGAGAGGGCAGCACTGAAAGCTGTATCATCTGTTGCTATAAATTCCTCTGCACTTACAACTCTATGAAAACACGAACCACAAAGACCGGTAAAGCCAGCGACATCTCCATTCTGTACAATGAACTTCAGAGCCCTGTCAAAGAGTTCCTCCTCATCAAACACGTGGGCTTGTTCCAGGATGACACAGGCGTTCTCTGCTGTCAGGGAGGATACCAGGTATGTCACACACAGACGCTCCAGGACCCCCACGGCGTACTTCTTGGCCAGGTACAACACACCTGTCACATTCTCAGCAGTCAGCGATGACGTGTCTGTGTACAGGTACCTGCAAATCGGTGCAAAAAAAAGACTCACTATTGTTCAGGCTACGTGTTTGTGCATGTACCTTAACAACGCAGAATTGCCAAACGTTTACATACATATTTTGATATCAATCATGTCATAGCTCCACTTCTAAACAGTCGGTTAATGTTATACTTACAATATGTCTTCATGTTAAAATTCACATCCCTTCCAAATAAAATCCAAAATTTCAAGATCCTGAGCCTGTTATAGTGTTAAATATAAAGAGTAAAGAATATTGAAGTAACTCACTTGCTGCTTATTGTTACATGTTTGTTTAACGGCCAGTATGTCATTTAAGTTGGCAAGTTATTCCAGATGGTCATATACATCAGGCAGATTAGCAAATAAGATAATACCCATTCCTTACCTTAACATTTCAGTGAATGTTTCTTCCTCCACGTCAGGTACCTTGATGTCTTCTTTCTCCGCCAGGGGGCCACACAGCATGGCGTGGAACACACAACTCCGACTCATCAGCACATATCGGTGAGCTCGGACTAGCTTCTCTTCTTTCCCAACCAGGAAGCTGACGTCATAGGAGTCCTCAGAGGTCAACATGTAAAGATTACACTCCGCCAAGGACTTCCCACCCTGCCAGTTATTAACAAACCCGGAGTTGTCTCCCCTTATTTCTTCAGTGTCCATGGTGTTTCTGACTGTTATCTGCTGGAACGACAAGAGGGGGGATTATATCCATAGTGGCCATGGTGTTTCTGACTGTTATCTGCTGGGACGACAAGAGGGGGGATTATATCCATAGTGGCCATGGTGTTTCTGACTGTTATCTGCTGGGACGACAAGAGGGGGGATTATATCCATAGTGGCCATGGTGTTTCTGACTGTTTTCTGCTGGGACGACAAGAGGGGGGATTATATCCATAGTGGCCATGGTGTTTCTGACTGTTATCTGCTGGGACGACAAGAGGGAGGATTATATCCATAGTGGCCATGGTGTTTCTGACTGTTATCTGCTGGGACGACAAGAGGGAGGATTATATCCATAGTGGCAATGGTGTTTCTGACTGTTATCTGCTGGGACGACAAGAGGGGGGATTATATCCATAGTGGCCATGGTGTTTCTGACTGTTATCTGCTGGGACGACAAGAGGGGGGATTATATCCATAGTGGCCATGGTGTTTCTGACTGTTATCTGCTGGGACGACAAGAGGGGGGATTATATCCATAGTGTCCATGGTGTTTCTGACTGTTATCTGCTGGGACGACAAGAGGGGGGATTATATCCATAGTGGCCATGGTGTTTCTGACTGTTATCTGCTGGGACGACAAGAGGGGGGATTATATCCATAGTGGCCATGGTGTTTCTGACTGTTATCTGCTGGGACGACAAGAGGGGGGATTATATCCATAGTGGCCATGGTGTTTCTGACTGTTATCTGCTGGGACGACAAGAGGGGGGATTATATCCATAGTGGCCATGGTGTTTCTGACTGTTATCTGCTGGGACGACAAGAGGGGGGATTATATCCATAGTGTCCATGGTGTTTCTGACTGTTATCTGCTGGGACGACAAGAGGGGGGATTATATCCATAGTGGCCATGGTGTTTCTGACTGTTATCTGCTGGGACGACAAGAGGGGGGATTATATCCATAGTGGCCATGGTGTTTCTGACTGTTTTCTGCTGGGACGACAAGAGGGGGGATTATACCCATAGTGTCCATGGTGTTTCTGACTGTTATCTGCTGGGACGACAAGAGGGGGGATTATATCCATAGTGGCCATGGTGCACAGAAAAGTGTCCCTGATTGGTACCTGGTCAAACCATGACAATCATTCTTGACATGGACAGTCACGAAGACAGTCTTCAACTATACACGAGTATCCCCGTTCCCGTAACTTCCTTAAGGTTTACGATCATGAGTGAGTGAGTTACGTTTTCAGAAATGTTCCAACAATATCACGACGGTGGACACCAGAAATGAGTTTCACACACTGTACCAATGTGGGGAATCAAACAAGCCTGTAGTATCGTCGCGACGAGCGGACGCTTTAACCACGAGGCTACCCCACTACCTCTTACGATCATGAAGGGTTTACCCCAAAGTCTAGACATGGCAAACTCATTTCTTTTGATGGTACTTTTCAATATGTTTTTCTTTTGAAGTTTACACGATAAACGGTTTTTCAATTGGACGAGAGGTCGGTCACCTGAACGCGTAATTGATGTTCATAAGTGTATGAACGACACAATTTGACGTCCATACGTTTTTCACGAGACCGTGTTCTTGAAATGACGTAAACACTGACGGACTACTTCCACATTCCTGGGGAAACCCATGGGAATTCCCAACCACGAATACATACAAAACCATTGGGTCCCTTTAGACCCTTTATTCTGGAACTCGGCGTTTTAATATACATTGAGAATCGTCAGTGCAGTTTGACTGCAAGATAGTTCACTAATACCCTTGCTACGATCCATCCTAGTGAAGAAAACGAAGAAATGCACACCCAACTATCGTTGTATCGACTCAATGTGTGTCAAGGTCAACAGTGACAGTCTCCAGCAATCTATGTATTTACCTTAGTGTCTATTTGACACATCTTTAACCACTCTATGATCGGCCAATCGATCCATGATGACTAAAGCATGTAACCGCCACAGGTTCATTTACAACTTCCGAAATCTCTCCCGTCACATTTATCGTGTCGGCCATTTTGACGTCTTGTACTGGATGTAAATGTATTACGACGCGCTGTCATTGTGACTGTCTTACTATGGTAGTTCTTAATAGACCTTCCTCATCTAATGAACGCATGTGTTCTGTCAGATGTCAACTCTCTCTTTGAGGAACTATTTTATTCCGCGATACAGCTGCAAGCTCCGACGTTCATACAGTTTGGCCCTCACTCTATGAAGGTTCATACTCCAATGAAGTCACACAAAGTGAAAGTCAATTCTTAATTAAACTACTTGGCTGTAAATCTTTAGATGTGTCAACACTTGCATATTCATGTCATACACGCCCCATGGTATGGGTACATTAGGTAATATTGAAGAACCATTCTTTCACTTTGTGCGAGTTCATTGGATTATGAACAGTCGTAGCGAGGGTATAACCACTGAGGAAGTGAGTGTGGGTACGTTATTTCATGCAACAGTCAGCAACAGTCCAACACCATTACGGAGACCCGTAAACATTCCATTCTTGGTCAGGAAACCAGTGGTTGATAGCATGAGCAACGACCATCGGTACAATGTAACACGATCATTAAATCGCCCATTATTACCACCCACTAATCGGCTGTTACGACAAGCATGGGGTTTTCGGTGGACCTATTTTTCTCAAGAATACGCTCATAGAATACGATACCGCAAGTAGAATGTGTAATGTGGACAAATTTACCATTTTCGCGAACACCTGGTGTCATCATTGATTTTCATGAATTCATAAATTTGTTATCACTGTTTTGTGACCAATGAAATCCGTTTCGGCGAATAATCGAGACTCTTTTCTTTTGGTGATGACGTTTGGAATTTAGGAATTACAATACGTTTATTCCGAAATAATCATTCATATTTTATCAAGTTACCCATATGAGAAGCGTTTCTCGAGCTATAGCAGATTTTGTGACAAGTTAAAAGAATGTGTATACAGTGATGTAATTGACGGACAACATTATATATGCCAATACAGCTTTATCAACGTAAATCTTGAAAATATCTCACGGTGGCTGAGTGAGTGAGAGTGAGTATGGTTTTACGCCGGCTTTTAGCAATATTCCAGCAATATCACGGCGGGGGACACCAGAAATGGGCTTCACATGTACCAATGTCGGGAATCGAACCCGGGTCTTCGGCGTGAAGAGCGAACGCTTTAACCACTAGGCTTCCCGACCGCCCGTCACGGTGGCTGAATGGTTTCAGACGATGACACTCGTTATCCGATCATTTGGGGCAGTGAGTTAACTGAAATACTGTTCAAAGGAGCAGGACTTCTTGTTAACTCACAAATTATTTCAAAATAACAATAAATTACCGTACAACACTAATCTTCATGATAAAAGCAATATCATAGTTCTGAAAGCTTAATCGGTCCTGAGTCAAAATGTCGTTTTATAGAGATGAATATCAATGAACAGGTAGGCAAGACCTGTCTTTTCCCTCGACCCTGTGGAGTCAAATTAAATGTATAGTACTCATTACCAATCTCGAACCTTATTCACTCATCTGCGAGGAATGGTCTATACAAACAAGTAGTTACAATCATTTTCCAATTTTATCTGCATCCATCGTAAAGTGTACAGAATGCCCACGTTTGCCACCAAGTCCGTCATTTATCGCCCTTGAATCCAATTGTTTACTTACTCGCCCTACATAACACATACATGATAGTATCTGTACATTTTGACTGCCTACAGGTCAAGGTTACGAATCAACCTAGTCAGTCTGTGTAATTTCTTATCAGGCATGAACATAGATTTTCTTGTTTTGCATCGCAGATATCAAAACCCTAATTAATCACTATTTTTCATGTTGACACACATGTGGTTGGAGTTCCGATATCAAAACGTTTATGTATTTTACACAAGAATAGTATTATTACTAAAGTGACTGATCTGAGACCTAATTAGGGGCGTGTACGACATGTTGTTTTGATAGATCTGTAACTATCACACTGTGACACCTCCCACTTATTGTTCAGGAAATGCTACTTCTAACTGAGAAATGTCTTTACATACGCATATTTTACACATACTGGACAGCCTGTTGTCATATTTACTGCCATCTGTTTCGTACTGATTCAATAAAACACCTACTCACCTGGATCACCGTGTGCTAGGCAATGATGTCACATTTGTACTGTGAACTTGCCTCTGCATCACATGATTTTGATAACGCAACAAGGCAGAGCCGATTGTCAGGTTGTCTGAAAGGGTATGCACGTCTCACTGGTTGATAGAGATGGGTTGAGATTCGCTGAGACAAATTTGGGGAAAGTGGACGCCACGCATGCTCTGACGATGCTTGGCATCTTTGCCACGTAGTTTTCTTTTGTACATGTGCTGTATGTACCGCCGGCAGTCATGTGTACATATGTTACTGTTACAGCGCCACCCCCACATCTATCATGGACCGTGCCACTCATTGATATTGATGAGGAGAAGATGAGTTTATCTTTAGGACCCGGCCAATGCTGTTTGTCTACTGACCCCCTTTTGAAAATAACATAACCATCATAATGAACCACAATTTACTAAACCCAAATACCGTTTTATTGAATCGCTCCAGTATTTTGCGAACCAACATTTAAATGAACCCCTGGATCTGCCACTTCTCATGGCGTGTCCAAGTAAAAACTGTGGTTGAAATGTAATACAAAACAATATGGCGGTAGTGCGCATATCCAAGTAAACCGATCTAGCGAGCTATGAGGGTTTTTTTTTTATCTCCCCGGGTGATTCAGAAGCATGTGCACTATATGTGTGTTTCTAGTTGCATAAGGTAAAGTGGATACGTTTTAGCTTTAGTCTTTCAGTCTTTCGGTTTGCATTTGGTGTAAGTCACTGACTTCCATTCTGTGTGAGTCCATTGGCGTATGTGAACGTTACGCCACGATCAGCAATAGTACAAATACATCACGGCGTATTATAAATAATCGAGGCATTGCAAACCAGTGGTTGATAGCTTGAGCAACTATCAACGACACGGTGACAAACTGTCAGCAAGATCACTCATTGTAATTAAAGCGACACAACCCTTTCCATATCCAAAACAAATCTCTGCATAAAGCAGAGTCGATTGTGCGATCCTGACTATATAATGAGCATGTGTTTATGAATCATTATCAAATAGTAATGATACCATCCTGCTCCACCGGTGTCACTCGTAACAAACACATGCAAAGGCAAGTCAATTGTATACATGAGAAAATAGGGAGTTGCATCAAACATCATTTTTGTCACTGATGCGTCAATTTTAGAAATGTCTACTTTACCATGAAACTTACTGATGCCTTGAATACTGTAACCGTGATCAAACAACTTCTGAGCAAGAGTTGTATGACGCTCTTTAAAATCAAGCATGCTAAAAATGTGAAATGCAGACACCAAGGGGCGGAACTGCAGGAATATTGCTCTCGAAATCAAGGGAAATTGGAACTATAGGAAAGTTGAAGTCATCCCTCTTGGCATACAGTCCTGTGGAGAGTGTTTCATCACTCTGGGTCTAAAAATATGCTGTCTCACTGGTCTCCTTTATTTCTAGTGCAGGGGGATAAATCAGCGGAAGGTAACTGGCTATTTGATGGTTATTGAACATCAGAGCATCGATATACCAGAAGTATACTTTACCCTGTTTTGACTTTGCCAATCCAAGCATAAGGAAACAGGTCAGCAAGAAGAGAAGTGCAATTGGTGTCTATGGGGATGCCTACCTTTTGCCTATGTCTTACCCCAAACCGTTATCAATAGAGAAGTTGAGCATTTCACTTATTGTTTTCTCATTAAACTTGGCAGATGGCAATTTGACCCGAACCTGTGAAGATAAATATGTAATATATCTCTCTCTTTGTAAGAATGTTCGTGGAGCTTTGGGAGTCCAGTAAAAAAGAGGAATGGACATGTCTTCACGTTTTAAAGTCAAGAAAAAAATTGATAGTACGGATGCATGGTTTTGGCGTCGCGATTCGCGATGCAGAGTTGCGTCCCTTGGGCATGCCAGAAACCTATGATTGTGAGTTCGAATCCCGGTTCGCCCTGATTATGTTTCTAGGTTTGTCAGCAACATACCCATGCTCGTGGGTTTAACCGAAGTGGTAAACGTCTGAGACCTGCATCACTTCGGGCTTTCCTCCCACATTAAGCTGACACGCCGTGATATAACTGGAATACTGTTCAAAGCGGCGTTAAACCCAACTCACTCACTCCCACGTGGCCTTATTTTATGTGTCGCTTATATCACGCTCTTTGATCAAACATTTAGTGATGCTTACATATAATGGTTATGCTATTTGAGGCCTTGTCAGTTGGAACAACTACCAACTTTTCATATTGGCCAGCCAGACTTTGGATGACAGCTGGCTGGGACAGAATGGGTTAGTTTTCAGTTTATGCATTCTACCAATGACAACATCAAGGCACCCACTCTGATTGACACTCAACACGTTCTTCGTCTCTTTTTGTCCATTTATTGGTACATGCTTCGACAACATCCATTATGAATTTAACGTTGTGATTCCAATTGGTAGAAGGCTGCTCACGATGTTTTTGTCCTTATTTGAATAACCGAGAAAGGATGTTATTGTCAATAATGGGGAAGTCACCTGTGATCATATGACCTGCAGGTTGGCAGATGCATGATGAGTCTTGGTAGTCACAAGAAGTGGAATTCACATCGTGTGCTGCCAAGTCCACGTTCTACAACACTCTCCTATAATTGAACAACCTGAATGAAATGGTGTTCGTATAGAAAAATGTAATTGGTGGTGGTTCCAGAAATATTGTGGCACATTTTGGGAAATTTTGAGAATGTTACTTTAATTCAAGGCCAAAATTCCATGCAGATTTCAAATTCAAGAACATGCGGTCTTTGTCAGAGCGGAGTCTGTTTCTGGTTTGACCAAACGTGATATCAAGAACTATACTCGTCGATACTGTGGGTTCTTACTCTTTGTAGACCCACACATCAGCAAAGGTTGCTGGAGTTGTTTAATTTCTATCAGTGACACAGAGTATAGTCTCGTTCTTACTTTGTCCCAATGATTCCTGAAGGGGAGGCAACAAATCTTCTAAATGAATGGTATTATTTGGCATTCGGCTTTTTTTGCGTCCATGGCTTGCACCGACGTCTTTGGGGTGCCCGAAACAGACTCAACACGTTGACGTTGGCTGTTCGGTTTAGAAAGACTGCCAACATTTTTGTTTCATTTTGACCAATAATTTTCTCTGGTCGGTGTATAAGGTCAACTGCATTGAAGGCTATTAGATGGGTGGTAACCTTTCTCTAATATCCTGACTTTGATGCAAAGGATGGAGTGATTGTCAGAATTGAAATTTTGGTAGACACAATTGGAAACATTTCTGTTGATGCCTTAACTATGCTGGCTGACTATTGTCGATAATTTCTGTTGTGTCTCCCCAACATAAATCAACCCACAATGGGTACATTCAGTGCCATATATGAAGATTTAGTCTGTAAAACCACCCAATGAAGATATTAATTAGTACATATAGATACAGAGAAATTGACAAAATCAATTAAATATAATTGTAATGTCTTGCCACAGTTGTCTCCCTTATTTTGGTTTTATTTGGGGATTTTTTTAAATAGTTTCAATATGAAAGATAAAGTCAGGAACGACAAACCCGTTGCATATCATACATATAGCTAGCATATTTATTCAAAGATTTCTAGCATGTGTAGGCTTACAAAACATATGAAGGAACACCCTTGTGTTTACAAAACCTTTTCAGAGTTCTGCTTGGCATTAAATATTAATATTTCAAATTGCGATTATTATCCTGTCAGGGGCCCACGGGTCGGTTGAATCCGTATCAGTACATACTAGATATGACGCAACTTAAATACAGTCACGAACCGGTCTGTAAAGGGCTTCAAAATACCTAGATAAGGTATGGTGTGTTTGACGTTGAATTTTATGTCAATACAACTTCATGGAAAATGTAACCATATGCCAGCTTATTCAATATACTTCGGCGTATGTGAGAATGTTTGATTGGGAAATACTGAGGACTAACGGGTGAATACAGAACATGTCTTACTATGCTACGAAGCTCACTAGGTGTCTACATGCTGTATGAAGGATTACTGTTTTACCAGTTTAAGTCATGTAAGTCTCACAATGGACCACGGACACTTTCCTCTGAAACAGACATCTGGCATTTATCAAAGGTGATACTGTCGAATAAGAAACTGTCATTAGACGCCATTGAAATTGCTTGTTGGACTACATTGTGAAATCTTCCCACTGGCATTGTTGATGCCTTTATTTCAATAACTAATACTGAAACAATCCCTCCAGAATTCGATTTATCAATTTTGCTGATAAAGTGAAAAAACTCACATGCGGTTCTTTTCAGTATACAAGTACCCTGATATCGATAAATACCTTAAATAGTGATATAACCTCACATAACAGCGACCAGGAATAATATATCTGTCCAATCATCTCTAATTACTTGACTGGTCAACGAGGCTAAGCAAATACAGATCATACACTGATCTATATGTATCACAATAGCTCTCTAGCAACCTAAGTTTCTTGCAAGAGGCGATTCAATCGGTCGGAGGGTAAGGTTCGGTGACCGAGTACCATCGTACCATGAGGGCGTGCGACGTTCCTCATAATATCAATCATTGGTTTGTCTTGGTCCAGACGCGGTTATTTTCAAACAATATTTAGCGATCACCATTCCCATAGTTTAGATCGTCCATCTATCTCTATCATGTTAGACCTACATGGACAGTGCGGTATTGCAACATAGCTGTTCTTCTATCCTTCATACCCACCAGAGGCGGAGGGAAGCTCATCGTCCTCTGTGCTAAACATAACGCAACGACATAGGGAAGCTTGGTTGGGCTTTTGAAACCTGGCCTAGGGGTACTCGGGGGACGTGTCAGGGCAAGTTCTGGCAGCGTGGTGGGTAATGATCAAGGCTAGTAAAAAGCGTTAAAATACTAGGCACATTATGGGAATTAGCTGGTCCACGATGGCGAGCAAAGGAAAACATGTCTAAGTTAACGACCGAAGGAAAATCTGAAGGAAAAATATAACCATGCTTTTGTCGGTTTTCAGTCCTTATTAAGAGAGACAAAACCCTTTCCATAATCAAAAGAAATATGCGCCGAACGGAGAGTCCATTGTACAATTCCGACTATATAATAAGCATGTGTTTATGAATCACTATCAAATAGTCACGAAACTAACTGAAAAAAGTGAGCGTTCCCTGTCCAACCGGTTGCACCCATCACAAATACCTGCAAGGGTCGGTTAAACAAATCTAAGAAGTGCCACTTCATCCTTAAACTATTCCATGTAACTACACGCCAGATTATTCCATCCTATTGAACGTAGCCCAAGTATAAATTCTCACGAAGGGAATATGTAGTGGCACATGGTCCTAGGAACATCGCAAATCAGGCGAAGTTGAGCCAGTGATTTTGTTCGAAATCGTGTGAGAAGGTAATGTGACTGTTAAGATTGTAGCGCCTCACAGACAGCTTTGGTTGTTTAATCTCCAGTAGCTGACAATGAGATTCGAGTGCACACTGATCCATTGACCGGGATAATTATTGTTTTTCATAGGTGCATATATATGTTCTCTGCTTCTTAGACATGTATTCACCTGATGAAGGAGTAAGTATATACTCCGAAACGTTGTGTTCCTCAAAATATTGACGTCGATATCCATAAAGTATCTTTCTCATACATATAAGTGTTTTTTTTACGTAAGTGAATGGAGTGAGTAGTTGTTGATAGTTATACATCACTGTTATATATATATATATATATATATATATATATATATATATATATATATATATATATATAAAAGTACACAAGTACTGTATCGTTGTTTGAAGAACACAAAGCATGCTAGTGTGTTATCTCACACGTCCTCCAAAATGAGTCTCGATATGAGACCAGGGCCACTTTCTTCTGAAACGGATACATGGCATTCAACAAATGTGATAATGCTGACTAAGCTTAATAAGGAAGAGTGTGACAATTCTTTTGACGTTCTTTCAATTTTAATAATATTATATCAATGCTCGTGTCAATGTATCTCCATGCGGCTGTGATTCTTTTCTAATTATATAACTTTTATGTTATGTCCAAGTTGATTGGTTTTCAAGGAAAATATCAGTCATCTTATACTAAAAAGCATTTAGATTCGGTAATTCACTAAACCACAAGACAATAACTAAAGTAATATTCTTCACCTTTTCGGGAACTCCTGGTATCATCACTATATGAGAGTGATTCATAAACACAAGCTTATTATATGGTCGGAATTGTACAGTAGACTCGTTCAAAGTCCAAAATTAATGGATTCAAACAGTCTTGTGGATACTTTTTGGTCATTCAGACAACGGACGTAACAGCGTTACGGATCTATAAGGTTTGATTTTATCTAAAATGGGATGATATTAGTATCAGGCGTCACAAGGAAACACGGCAACTATCATATCTGCATTATCGTCAGGACTCGCATGATTTCCTTTAGGAGGACGTGCTCCAGCTACAAAGCTGGTCAAGAATCATACAATACACCTATACAATAGTTCCCCAGGTGCCTATGCTTGGTGGAAATTTGAAACGTCATTGCAAGAGAATAATCAGTCTGGAATATCCGCGGAAACAGATTGAAAGTAGAATTGCCATGAAAATCATATGAATGGATCACTAAAAAATTGTATATTAAAAACTGGGGCTGAACGTTTGGGTGAAGTGTCCTTTCTTTGATTTAACTCAAGTAGTAAACACTAACGATTCGTCTGCAAAGAGAAACATATCAGCTAGGAGAGAGACACAGTTAGTACGCACGAGGATACCTACTACCTGTCTAAATGTTCTATCCACAAATTTTACAAACTATGGTCAAGAGGCGACTCAGTGGATCTTGTGATCAGACTCGATGCCTTGGCTGACTGTCATCGTATGCTGGTTTGTCTGGTCAATCCCCGATTGTTTACTAACAATATTTCACGATAACCATCCTCTTAGTTTAGGTCTTCTATCCATGATCGTTCTCTCGTCCGACCTTCACGAAGTCATCAAGTACCGTATTCACCCCACAGCGGCTCTTCCCTGTCAGAGCGAAAGTCATTCTTTCTATGTGCTAATGTTAAAAGGTAAAACTGGCATTCAGACAAACCGGCATAGCATATTCCCGATTTTTCCATAGCGTTTCCTTTCTGTAAAGTGGTACTGAATTTGGAAAAGTTGGAGATAGTACGTCGGGCAGTTAGGTGATAAGGCTGGGGAATCAGTCACTGATGGGTCCAATCACTGACCTAGGATTCATCTGATCAAAACGAAAAAACATCTGGCCATTGTTTGATGCATCTTTAAACAAATGAAAATGGAAGCTCAGTGCATGTGGTGAAAATGATTCTGCAGCGTGGAGGGCCAGGGTCATGACGGGTATGCGGCAACTGGAATTGTGTTCTTGACATTCGTTGACCCTAACCTTTCTGGTGTCATCATCATCAGTAACAAGACCAATTGGTAAATGGTACCAACGAACAGGAAGATGTAAACAATGATAAACCCTGTAACTTCATTCTTTCAAATATATTTATTAATAATCTATGCAAAACGAAACAGATTTCTACTGAAGCAGTATTATAAAAAGAAATGGGTTGAATGTGTATCCAAACACATTAAACAATGACACTAAATAAAATGCCTTAACAAGCAACCAATATAGTGTAGAGCTTTTCTACATAGATAATATATTTCGGATATATAGCAAGCATTTAAACATCAGACTACAGAGATGTACTCATTATAGCGATACAGTAAGGAAGTGTAGACATATTCTATATAGAGATGTATAGCAAGCTCATCATTCAGACTCATTACAGACAAGATATTGTCAAACGCATGCCTATAATACATACCCCCGTTCATCGTCACCCTACACGTTTAATAAATACAGCACTTATAAACAGTTACATCTTATAAAAAATTGACATACATAACTTTTCTTAAAATTGTACATTAATAAAACATTCTAAAAACATTCCGTACTTACCACCGCGCACTAATATTATCTTTACATACTGTAGAATATATTAATAGTATAGCAATAAAACAACGGACGTGGTAGGATATACCTGTAGCATCAGAGTCCAAGATGGCGGGCCATGAAATATCTGCCTGATGACATGCCTCACTAAATGAGATGTATATTTTCCTGAAACATACTTTTCGATCTTAAACAAGCCTAACAAGTAAAATGTATTGTTTCAGAGCTTAAAGGGCAAGTAAAGTCAACATTGAAACTTTGCAGATGTTAATGTCTTTTTTTGGCATAATTAATCACAAATACTTGACAAAAATTAAATAGGCAAAAGGGGAAAAGCGTAAAACAGTCCTCAAAAAATGACAGGCGACATCGTCCACCAAATGAAAAATTCCGCCACTGAGGGGATTCCCGTTACCGGGGTTAAAACCAGTTCCCAGTGTTTGATACACTGCGCAATTGCAACGATCATGACGACCGGTCGACACTCAGTCTCGGATCTGTCAATACATGACGTCTATTTTCCGTCTGCTCATCCATTTCGTTACCTTGTCCGCAACTTATGTCACCTCAGTCACAACACTAAAGATGCCTTCAGTTGTTTACTCAGACGATTAATCCCTGACAGGCATTTTTTGTGTGGATTCGGGCCGAGGGCAGCAGGTGTTTTAGTTATTACCCAAACAGGATGTTACTAATAAAACACTAGTTGCCGATTGTTATTTGCTAATTTAATAATGTACATTGTCAAGATCAAGGGTCGTTTCACACATTCAACAATATATGCAATTTGGGTTTTTGTAGGATTATCAGAAATTATAGTAGAAATAGTATATGAATAACGGCTAAGAATCACAAGATAGATCAATACACTTCCTCCAAAATGAGTCTCGAGATCATACCTGGGCCGTTTTCGTTTGCAATTGATATCTTACTTTTACCCAATGTGATGTTGTTGAATACGGAAGATCTTGACCATTCATTTTCATTTGATTTTCTTGTCATTTTAATTTTATATCTGACATTATTGTTTAACAACAATGCCTCTGACAGTTGCAGTTGGACTTCACTGGAAATACTTCTCTCTAAGACAGTTGATACTTCTCTTTTAACCCACTTCTCAACAGTAGTAGATAGTCCGTAACTGTCATAGTGCTTTGTCTGCTGTTCTTCATACAGAGAAATGTTGTATGTGCAGCGGTCATTACCAAATGCCCAGAGGCCAGTCAGACGCATGTTCTTGCTGCACGAGAGAATGATGCTGGAGTTCTCCTGACCGTGTCCTGTGTGAATTCGATCTGCATACAGAGCCACCCCCATGTTAAGTTTTGACTTTATCTTGAAAGGTGCCACATCAGTATCAGGTGAGACGAGGTAACACAACAACTTTGTACATTCATCGCCCGATAATATCCCAGACGGTACAACTGTTTTAGCAAACAGTTTCATGTCCATTGAGGTAAAGTCAATTTCATACACTGTTTCTCCAAGAACAAGACGTTTGTTTTCCGGAGTGATCTCCCTTCCTTGACGTTTACATTCTGCCTCAGTCCATGAGAGGACAGCATTAAAAGTTGTATCATCTGAGGCTTTAAATTCCTCTGCACTTACAACTCTATGAAAACACGAACCGCAAAGACCGGTAGAGCCAGGGCTCCGAACAGCGACATCTCCATTCTGTACAATGACCTTGAGAGCCCTGCCAAAGAGTTCCTCCTCATCAAACACGTGGGCTTGTTCCAAGATGACACAGGCGTTCTCTGCTGTCAGGGAGGATTCCAGGTAAGTCACACACAGACGCTCAAGACCCACCACGGCGTACTTCTTGGCCAGGTACAACACACCTGTCACATTCTCAGCAGTCAGCGATGACGTGTCTGTGTACAGGTACCTGCAAATCGGTGCAAATAAAAGACTCACTATTGTTCAGGCTACGTGTTTGTGCATGCACCTTTACAACGTAGAATTGCCAAACGTTTACATACATATTTTGATATCAATCATGTCATAGCTCCACTTCTAAACAGTCGGTTAATGTTATACAATATATGTCTTCATATCAAAATTCACATCCCTTCCAAATAAAATCGAATGCTTTCAAGATCCTGAGTCTGTTATAACGTTAAATATAAAGAATAAAGCATATTGAAGTAACTCACTTGCTGCTAATTGTTACATGTTTGTTTAACGGCCAGTGTGTCATTTAAGTTGGCAAGTTATTCCAGATGGTCATATACATCAGGCAGATTAGTAAATAAGATAATACCCATTCCTTACCTTAACATTTCAGTGAATAGTTCTTCCTCCACGTCAGGTACCTTGATGTCTTCTTTCTCCGCCAGGGGGCCACACAACATGGTGTGGAACACACAACTCCGACTCATAAGCACATATCGGTGAGCTCGGACTAGCTTCTCTTCTTTCCCAACCCGGAAGTCGACGTCACAAGAGTCCTCGGAGGTCAACATGTGGAGGTTACACTGCGCTAAAGACTTCCCACTTTGCCAGTTGTCAACAAACCCGGAGTTGTCTCCCCTTACTTCCACAGTGGCCATGGTGTTTCTAATTGGTATCTGTTGGGACGATAAAAACAGAGTTTTATCGGACTCAAAACATTGCGTCCTATCCGAATACAAATTGAGAATTGTTGCACATAATTTATGTACTAATGGACACCAAAATGTTTGCCTGAAGAATCTGTGTTTCACATAGCTGATAGTTCTGTTATGGTAAAAAAATTCACTCAAAGTTCAGAGAGTCAATGGCTCTCATGTATAATCAGTTTAATCATTAAAATTCTTTGAAACGACGTGAAGCTTGCCACTTGTCGACTGGGAACATTATGTTTATGCCTTGGGCCCCTAATATCATATTGCCGAGAGTACCCTAGATTCCAAAATAGAGAGACACACTCACAATTAAGAAATAGACAGTCCTTAAGACATTCTTGAACAACACGTGTATTTTCTTTCCCGTTACTTCATCCACAAGGTACTTATATTTACGATCATGAATGTTTGCTGTTACTCTAGACATACATGGCCATTATATTTCAATTTGATGTTATCCTTTTTAATAAATACATAGTTGGAATAGTTTTAAAAAATTAATACTAGTATGCATTGTCAATGCAAGAGACTAATCAGTCTAGATCATCACACCGAAACAGATTCCACTTGAGTTAAAAGGCAAAATAGCTGTGAACATCATATGAATGAACCACTGAAAAAAGTGAGGGCAACAGGTGTTCGCGACTAACGGGATCGGGTGGTCAGGCTCGCTGGTTTGGTTGATGCATGTCACCGTGTCCCAATTGCGTGGATCGATGGTCATGATGTCAATCACTGGATTGCTTGGTCCAGACTCGATCATTTACATACGGCCGTCATATAGCTGGAGTATTGCTGAGTGCGGCAATAAACAATAAAAAAACAAAAGCATAAAAAGTAAGTATTTATTGCCTGACAGCAATACTCCTGCCATGCAACGTTAGCCTGTAAACAAACCAGACAATTAAGTGATCGATGGCGCAGACAATTTAATGACACGAGAGCGCATTTACTGGTTTCGTTGAAACAAATATAAACGATATGGTAAGTACGTCTGCTGTGTACAAGTGCAGAGATTCTGCTGCTTATAAGCAAAGTAAAACGTTTAAGAATTCTTGCCTCTTGAAACACCATGAGGGTGGCAGTTTTAATGTCTCCTCCCAAATATTTGTTTTTGTTGATAGCTACTTAGCTTATACGATGAAACTCGGGAACTTTAGTCCACCGGCAGAAACACTGACCCAGTTTAGAATAATATAAATTGTCTATGCAAGAGAATAATGAGTCTAGATACTATCCGCCGAAACAGATTCCATTTGGTGTAACGGGCAAAATCTGTGAAAGGTATATGCAATGACCACTGAAATTCAGTGATGACACCGGGTGTTCGCCAAAATGGTAAGCATTCATATCATCTTTCTTCCTTCACAGTGTGCGTGTTCACTTGAGTGTGAACCTTCTTCAAGTTATGGCCAAACTGCACGAACGCCGGGACTACTCTCTTGAGTGAGTAAATGGCTGAATGTTACTTTACGCCGCCTTGGGTAACATGACACGCATTGCTGCAACCCAATCCTCATTTATCGGTTGTCAACATATGCTACCCTAGACTCCAAAAGGGGGGCGGTACTTGGAATATGACAACGTTCTTCCATAATGATTGGAACCATTTGCCCGATAATCCCGAGATACAGAGAGTTCACAGAGCTTTGGGGCAGATTTCGTGACAACGTAAAGGAAATAAGCTGTTCCAACTGACCAACAGTGATATAGTAAATGGTCAACAGCCTATATATACGTCGAAAAGTCAGGAAAGCAAAAACACCAAGTACGGGGCATTATGGTCTAAGACCCTTGAGGGGTCACGGGTGGCCTAGTCGTCTAAGGCGCGGCGATTCGCTGTGCAGAGTTGCGTCCCTTGGGCACGCCAGAAACCTATGATTGTGGGTTCGAATCCCGGTTCGCCCCGATTATGTTTCTAGGTTTGTCAGCACCATAACCGTGCTCGTGGGTTTCACCGAAGTTGTAAACGTCTAAGACCTGCGTCACTTCGGGCTTTCCTCCTACATTAAGCTGACACGCCGCGATATAACTGGAATACGGTTAAAAGCGGCGTTAAACCCAACTCACTCACTCACTCCCTTGAACCCGCTGTGATCCGCTGATCGGAAGTTTGAACCCCTGGATTCATCCTAATTGACATGTTTTGTTTATTAACGAGCCTGGGTCAGACAAATCGGTGTCAGAAACACCATCGGTGGGGGAAAAAGACACATAAACAATCAAGTAACTAAGACTGACTACACGATTCAAGTTGTCAGGACCTTAAAAAGGTGCCTCGGCATTGTAGCTCACCTTGTTATGAAGTCAACAGTTTACATATCAACAAATAAATTTAAGGAGTTGTCAGCACTGAAACTGAAATGAATTCTGCATGAATACTACAACATAAACCTTGAAAGAAGTAGCATACATGCCAAAGTCCCAGCTACCTCAGTCTGGTAGTTACAGAGATGATGGCCACAGAACCAAATGTTGACAAAACGCAAAAGTATAAAATAACACGAACAGACTTAAACATATCGTGAAAAGCGAACCACACCTACACATGCTGAAACAAAATGACAGAGCAATGCCCCATAAAAGATTTCTCAATTTGACACTCTTGTCCGCCATATTGAATGCAATTCGTATTCGCACATCTTGACAATTTCAAGCGAAATGATTCGTGCGAACTAGCATGTGAATTAACTATTCAGCTACGTTGGTCGCTGGATGTTAGCAATGCGGGAAAAAGGCATTTTGAGAGAATTTAGGAACATTTTCAAAGTGAAACGGTCATGTCCAGGTTAGTATTTAAATGTCGCGAAGAAATGAACACATAAACTAAAATTCCATTACATTATGAGAAATGTCTGAGAAATACCCATAGACATTATATTTTCAATATGGCTGCCATGACGGCCATGTTGCAAATTGGATTAGAACCTCATAAACACATTCAGAGATATCATAAGTAGAACAAACATTTAAGTGTCAGCTTCTTTCATATCACGGTTTCTGAAACGTTACAGGGCCTTGAGCGCATTTTGAGAGAAATAAGAGGATGGTCGAAGTGTCAAATTGAAAACTGAAAAACTCTGAACAAGCATCCCACGACATAAGCTCACTTGACTTTATAATATGTGGATCTGAATGGTCGTAGTATTATTTAGCATACTGCGACGTAAATCTTTGCATTCGTTCACTTATTGAAGCTATCCCATAGCTATACCTGCAAATGTAGGGTATATTTTACCATAAACGTTGAAATAAATTTCGCGAAGCAGAGAATAAATATTACGTCCTACATTTGCATTGAATGTATCTATAGTGTATTACCTTCCAAGCTACTTTCCTTCGTGTGAATAATTCAAAAGTTTGTTTTAAATATTTGTCACTATTAATATATTCGTTGAAGTTTTAAAGTGTATAAAATACCCATGCTTGTCAGAAAGTCTGCCAATTATCGGCCTTGAATACACGTTTTACTTCCGCGTCTCAAGTGAGGAGAGACGAGGGTATAAAGAAAGGATATTAACTGTGTATTTTGACTGTCGTTAGGTAAAGGTTATCGTAATGACCTCGTCGGCCTCTGTAATTTCCCTGTATCCGAAATGAAAGTAGACTTCTTGGTATTGCATTGCATATACCGAAACCGAAAGTAAGATGTTGATACGTTAAAATGGTTTTTTTCTAACATTCACACGTTTAACAAAAATATGATTCCAATTTAAAACAACTGAGCAGGGTTCCAATCGTGGCCATGTATGGGATCCTGATTTGAAAGGAGATCTGTAACTCGCAAACTGCACCACATTCAACTGTCCCTTGACATGCTTCCATTACGACTTGTATTTGAGAACTATAATCTCATATATGTTTTTTACACATAATGGACTTATGGTCATGTAATTAGCCTGTTGTCATGGATGTTGACATCGCAAACACGTCAAAGTCGATCTGGCCTACTCACTTTTCTCAGCTTGTTGATCGTACAGCCAGTTGTCACATTTGAACTATGAATGCGTCACGTGACTGTTATCACGCAGCGAGGCAAGACCGACCTTTGAAACAGCTTAAAGGCATGTTGCTCGTTTTCTCGGTTTTGTGTTTGGTATTTCCTTGGATTTTGGGTAGTCATGCATCGGCTTCAAATACGTAATACGTGTAAAAATCAGCTGAAACCAGCATGTTGGATGAGACAGATAAATGTATTAAGGTTTTACACACACACTAATTCTCTCTCTCTCTCTCTCTCTCTCTCTCTCTCTCTCTCTCTCTCTCTCTCAGAAGAAGAAGAGGAAGAAGAAGAATATTGTGTCTTGAGTGAGTGAGTTTGATTTTACGCCGCTTTTAGCAATATTCCAGCAATATCACGGCGGGGGACACCAGAAATGGGCTTCACACATTGTACCCATGTCGGGATTCTAACCCGGGTCTTCGGCGTGACGAGCGAACGCTTTAACCACTAGGCTTTCCGACCGCCCCTATTGTGTCTTGAAGAAATGGTCCCAACATAACATTAAATAGTCGGTTCCTTATGGGATTGACCAACTGGAAAGCTTCCACTCACCCAATTGATATTATGATTGATATTACTGAGATTACAGATTCGTGTGATTACAGATATTCGAAACTTCTGATCATAGTTGACTTTAAGTCTAACGCTGCAGTTTGGTCAACTATTAAAACTAATGCAAATTTGCGGTATTTTTCGGACTCATTCTCTTATAATAGCTGGAAGGCAAAGGGATGCTCGTTTTGCTCACCTCCTGGGCGTAGCAGGAAAATAGCACTGGTAGAACTGTTTGTTTGTTACACTCCGCAATATGTCAGCTGTATGATGGCGGTCTGTTGACAATCGTGTCTTGACCAGACAATCCTACTATTGACATAATGAGCATGGATCCACGCAGATGGGATACGATGACATACATCAACCAAGTCACCGATCCTGACCACCCGTTTCGTCGCCACCCGGGGTCAATCCACGCCAGGAATAAAGGAATTACATGATTGAAACAAAGTTTTACATCCAGTCTGATATTTCATCTAGTATATCCTTTACTGAATCCTTAAAAAGGCGTGTGTGACCGACCATTTCATATCCTGAGTGTTAGGACAAGAATCGTGGTAGAGACATATTTTTTTTTTAAATAAAATACTTTTTTTCTACAGGTAGGAGCCAAAAACATTTGGGGACCTGCAACACATTATTTCTTGTACACATCCTGCATGTCCAGTGACCAGTTATCGTTTTGGGCTTGTTTGTTTGTTGTTTAAGGCTGTACTCAGCAATATTCCAGCTATGTGACGGTGGTCTGAAAATAAACGAATCTGGACCAGAGAATCCAGTGATTGACATCATGAGCATCGATCTACACAATTGGGATACGATGACATGCATCAACCAAGTCAGCGAGCCTGACCACCCGATCTCATAATTTGCCTCCCACGGCAAGCATAGGTTGCTAAAGACCTACTTTCTGCTTGGATCTTCAGGGTAAAAGTCGTATATTTCATCTAGTATATGCTATATTTAATCCTCATAATGGCACATGTTTAACATGTCTGAGGAACGACCATTTTATGTTCTGGGAGTGTTTGTCAAGAATTGAGGCAGTTGTTTTCAAAATATAAAACTTTGTCTCTGAATTTAGGAGCCACAACACATTATTTCGTTTATACATCCAGCGTGTCCAGTGAACATTTATCATTTTATGTAAAACTTGAGGACAAATTATTTTTACCAACAATTTAAGAATCAAATCGAACCAGGAATACCAAATGGTCAGTGCCTTGACACCAATGACTTGTATTTGTAGATGCTTGCAACATACTAACTTACACAAATCTACTGTATGCATTCCATGTATCATAACAATATCTGTATTGAAACTCTAGTTAATATGGCTTAGTATCTAGTACTGAAATATTCATCTCTTGTTCCACAACTATGCCTATTTAGCTGTTGAAACCACTGGTCACTGATTTGAGGGTTTTTTTAACACTTCACATTATTCAAAGGAAAGTAAGACAACAGAAGACCTGCAGTCGGTCTAGTCTGTATTCAAACTACACGCCTAGGCTGGCATATGACCTCAAAGGAAAGAAAGACAACAAAAGACGTGCAGTCAGTCTAGTCTGTATTCAAACTACACGCCTAGGCTGGCATCTGACCTCAAAGGAAAGTAAGACAACAGAAGACCTGCAGTCAGTCTAGTCTGTATTCAAACTACACGCCTAGGCTGGCATATGACCTCAAAGGAAAGTAAGACAACTGAAGACCTGCAGTCAGTCTAGTCTGTATTCAAACAACATGCCTTGGCTGGCATCTGACCTGAAAGGAAAGTAAGACAACAGAAGACCTGCAGTCAGTCTAGTCTGTATTCAAACTACATGCCTTGGCTGGCATCTGACCTCAAAGGAAAGTAAGACAACAGAAGACCTGCAGTCAGTCTAGTCTGTATTCAAACAACATGCCTTGGCTGGCATCTGACCTCAAAGGAAAGTAAGACAACAGAAGACCTGCAGTCAGTCTAGTCTGTATTCAAACAACACGCCTTGGCTGGCATCTGACCTCAAAGGAAAGTAAGACAACGAAGACCTGCAGTCAGTCTAGTCTGTATTCAAACAACATGCCTTGGCTGGCATCTGACCTCAAAGGAAAGTACCTGGTAAGACAACAGAAGACCTGCAGTCAGTCTAGTCTGTATTCAAACAACATGCCTTGGCTGGCATCTGACCTCAAAGGAAAGTAAGACAACAGAAGACCTGCAGTCAGTCTAGTCTGTATTCAAACTACACGCCTAGGCTGGCATATGACCTCAAAGGAAAGTAAGACAACAGAAGACCTGCAGTCAGTCTAGTCTGTATTCAAACATAATGCCTTGGCTGGCATCTGACCTCAAAGGAAAGTAAGACAACAGAAGACCTGCAGTCAGTCTAGTCTGTATTCAAACTACATGCCTTGGCTGGCATCTGACCTCAAAGGAAAGTAAGACAACAGAAGACCTGCAGTCAGTCTAGTCTGTATTCAAACAACACGCCTTGGCTGGCATCTGACCTCAAAGGAAAGTAAGACAACAGAAGACCTGCAGTCAGTCTAGTCTGTATTCAAACTACACGCCTAGGCTGGCATATGACCTCAAAGGAAAGTAAGACAACTGAAGACCTGCAGTCAGTCTAGTCTGTATTCAAACAACATGCCTTGGCTGGCATCTGACCTCAAAGGAAAGTAAGACAACAGAAGACCTGCAGTCAGTCTAGTCTGTATTCAAACTACACGCCTAGGCTGGCATATGACCTCAAAGGAAAGTAAGACAACTGAAGACCTGCAGTCAGTCTAGTCTGTATTCAAACATAATGCCTTGGCTGGCATCTGACCTCAAAGGAAAGTAAGACAACAGAAGACCTGCAGTCAGTCTAGTCTGTATTCAAACTACATGCCTTGGCTGGCATCTGACCTCAAAGGAAAGTAAGACAACAGAAGACCTGCAGTCAGTCTAGTCTGTATTCAAACAACACGCCTTGGCTGGCATCTGACCTCAAAGGAAAGTAAGACAACAGAAGACCTGCAGTCAGTCTAGTCTGTATTCAAACTACACGCCTAGGCTGGCATATGACCTCAAAGGAAAGTAAGACAACTGAAGACCTGCAGTCAGTCTAGTCTGTATTCAAACAACATGCCTTGGCTGGCATCTGACCTCAAAGGAAAGTAAGACAACAGAAGACCTGCAGTCAGTCTAGTCTGTATTCAAACTACACGCCTAGGCTGGCATATGACCTCAAAGGAAAGTAAGACAACTGAAGACCTGCAGTCAGTCTAGTCTGTATTCAAACAACATGCCTTGGCTGGCATCTGACCTCAAAGGAAAGTAAGACAACAGAAGACCTGCAGTCAGTCTAGTCTGTATTCAAACTACATGCCTTGGCTGGCATCTGACCTCAAAGGAAAGTAAGACAACAGAAGACCTGCAGTCAGTCTAGTCTGTATTCAAACAACACGCCTTGGCTGGCATCTGACCTCAAAGGAAAGTAAGACAACAGAAGACCTGCAGTCAGTCTAGTCTGTATTCAAACTACATGCCTTGGCTGGCATCTGACCTCAAAGGAAAGTAAGACAACAGAAGACCTGCAGTCAGTCTAGTCTGTATTCAAACAACACGCCTTGGCTGGCATCTGACCTCAAAGGAAAGTAAGACAACAGAAGACCTGCAGTCAGTCTAGTCTGTATTCAAACTACACGCCTAGGCTGGCATATGACCTCAAAGGAAAGTAAGACAACTGAAGACCTGCAGTCAGTCTAGTCTGTATTCAAACAACATGCCTTGGCTGGCATCTGACCTCAAAGGAAAGTAAGACAACAGAAGACCTGCAGTCAGTCTAGTCTGTATTCAAACTACACGCCTAGGCTGGCATATGACCTCAAAGGAAAGTAAGACAACTGAAGACCTGCAGTCAGTCTAGTCTGTATTCAAACAACATGCCTTGGCTGGCATCTGACCTCAAAGGAAAGTAAGACAACAGAAGACCTGCAGTCAGTCTAGTCTGTATTCAAACTACATGCCTTGGCTGGCATCTGACCTCAAAGGAAAGTAAGACAACAGAAGACCTGCAGTCAGTCTAGTCTGTATTCAAACAACACGCCTTGGCTGGCATCTGACCTCAAAGGAAAGTAAGACAACGGAAGACCTGCAGTCAGTCTAGTCTGTATTCAAACAACATGCCTTGGCTGGCATCTGACCTCAAAGGAAAGTACCTGGTAAGACAACAGAAGACCTGCAGTCAGTCTAGTCTGTATTCAAACAACATGCCTTGGCTGGCATCTGACCTCAAAGGAAAGTAAGACAACAGAAGACCTGCAGTCAGTCTAGTCTGTATTCAAACAACATGCCTAGGCTGGCATCTGACCTCAAAGGAAAGTAAGACAACGGAAGACCTGCAGTCAGTCTAGTCTGTATTCAAACAACATGCCTTGGCTGGCATCTGACCTCAAAGGAAAGTAAGACAACGGAAGACCTGCAGTCAGTCTAGTCTGTATTCAAACAACATGCCTTGGCTGGCATCTGACCTCAAAGGAAAGTAAGACAACAGAAGACCTGCAGTCAGTCTAGTCTGTATTCAAACAACATGCCTTGGCTGGCATCTCACCTCAAAGGAAAGTACCTGGTAAGACAACAGAAGACCTGCAGTCAGTCTAGTCTGTATTCAAACAACATGCCTAGGCTGGCATCTGACCTCAAAGGAAAGTAAGACAACGGAAATAAAATGAAATGGACAAGAAAAGTAATTGAATATTTATTACCCCTATTTAACATGTTCAACATGCTTCTCAATGATCATGATGATGCAGACAAATGTACAAAGTCCATGTTATTTAATACATAAGAGATAAACACCATGTATTTTCAGATATGCAGGTGTTTGGAGTATTTGATCTGGATATTGCATTTGGAACCACTGAATGATAGAATAATCAATAGCCCCCGCAAATCTGAAAACACATGTTTAACGCAAATTACAACATTTATCAGTGAGCTTCCATAGGACTCTCTCTCTCTCTCTCTCTCTCTCTCTCTCTCTCTCTCTCTCTCTCTCTCTCTCTCTCTCTCTCTCTCTCTCTCTCTCTCTCTCTCTCTCTCTCTCTCTCTCTCTTCATGAACTCCACAGACCGACATGACGTCACTCTGAAATGCCATGTGTTATGATACAATGATTGATGCTATGATATGATTGATGACACCATGATACAATGGATGACGACATGAAACAATCGATGACGTCATGATACAGACAAGGCATTTAAAAGCAGCGAAAAGTCCAAAAGATTTCTGGAATCCAATCAGATTACAGCAAACACAATTCATTTTGCAATATCTTATAAATATGGAGTAACATCACTATCTAAATTTGGTTCCCCACATACAGTCCTTGTGTGAAGCCCATTCCTGGTGTCCCTGTAACCATTGCTGCAATACTACTAAAGAAGATAAAACCCCATTTACTCACAACTCCTTGACAGCATGCCACTTGTGCGGAACATTTGACCTACTTGACCAAACATGTCGGACATTTTCAATATTATTAAGTATCAATACACAACTAGTATTAGCGAAGCTTACAATACTTACTGAAAGTAAAAAGATTTGAAAAGACTCAGGCTTTGGCCATGTTGGACAAGTGTCACCTCACTCCTGGGACTGTGTTCTCACGTTTAGTTGTATCACAACACCTGACAAGATACCGGACAGTGCCAAACAGCAACACATTGTTACTCATACCAACAAAAGTCTTGTTCTTAGTCCCTTGCCCTATTCTGTTACCAGGGAGAATATTAGGCTCTCATCCCTACGGTATCCTTCAGGCGAGTGGACATTCTCTTACGCTAAAGGGAGACTAGGCTTGGTAATTAGCAGACCAAGCAATTTTGATGCAAGCCATCCATTATAACACTGCCTTGTCTGTCTACTATTTCAAATTGTTTTATGTATATGAAGCTTACACTTACCCTAATTACATTACATCAGGTTCACGTAAGACACAAATGACGAGATCCAGACCTAGCAATTGGAACATGTCTCCCTTTACATGTTTACTATTTTTGCAAAATGTACTCATTATTAAGTGAGTGCAGATGAAACAAGTCATTTTCCCCTCTTGATCAAGTTCATCAAATCCTGGTACAATATCTATCATGAAGTCATTCACAACCGTGTTGTCACTTCACCATGATCACTAACTTACTCTGCTACTGGTTTATGAGAAAACATGTGACCCTCGAGTTCGCCTGCCTTGAGGAAGTCAGCTTGACATATCCCACACTTGAATGGTTTCTCTTTCAGGTGTGTCCGTATGTGTTTCTTAAGGTTACAGTTGAGAGCGAAGGTCTTCTCACACATCTCGCACTGGTAGGGTCTCTCACCAGAGTGCACTCTCACATGCTTGTGTAGTGAACTGCTAACGGAGAAACTCTTGTCACAGGTGTTACACTTAAAGGGACGTTCTCCCGTGTGTACACGCATATGTTTTTTCACATCGCCCATTCTCGCAAAGGACTTCTCACAAAGGCTGCATTTGTGAGGCTTGGTGCCAGTGTGAGTGCTCATATGTTGTTTAAGGTTGTCGAACTGGGCGAACGTTCTATCACACACGTCACACTGGAACGGCTTATACCCTGTGTGTGTGACCATATGTCTCTGCACGTGGCAAGACTCCGAAAAACTCTTCTCACAGATCACGCACTTGTAAGGTCGTTCTTTCGTGTGGGTTCTCACATGGCGCCTCAGTTCCACAGCATAGGGAAAAGCTTTTTCACACAACTCACACTTAAAGGGCTTCTCCCCTGAGTGTATCTTCTCATGACGTTTCAGATTACCAACCTTCGCGAAAGAGCTTCCACAAAGCTGACATATGTGTGGCCTCTGTCCCGTGTGGCTGTGCATATGGTCCTGCAGTGGACTAGCAGCACAGAACTCCATTTCACAGATTCCACATGTCCAAGGCGTCTTTCCATGCATTCTTTCGACTTGTTTTTTTAGGCTTTTGTCTTTAGAAAAACAGTTCCCGCAAGGGAAACATTCAACAATCTCTTTAGATGCTGAATTCTTTCCTAGGGACTCTGAATTGTTTCCTGTGGTGACTAGTTCATTAACTTGTTCGGAGGTTGTTGCCAGGTGTGTCATTTGGATTTCGAGGACTATCAGGATACATTGGCAGTTCTGCAAATATTGAACTGAATTTGTCAGTAAACACTATTGTGGCATCAGAAGGCAATTACAGTGAACAGGGTCAGTGACATCTGCTTGTATCTGTATCATTTGTATTTTTTCCCAATGTTCTATGCTTTGTCAACTGGATTCCTTCGGGACTTGTCACTGGGTTGGTTTAAGTACATAGGATGGACACACCCAGACATGGTGAATCCTGCTTGTATCCAACATCACTGTGTCTCGTTGCATTCGCACCTTCCTTGTGCTGCAAGTTAAAATAGATATTTCAAATTACAATTACTATATTTTATGGCGACATAAGTATATGAGTAACTCAAGAAACCAGGAAGCACTTGTTTACCTTTGGCTTAGGTAAAGATTTAACTTTCACATGAGGAAGTACGGTACTATGAACAGAGCTGTCCAAATTATCTCCCTTGAATGTTGAATATTATTCATCTGGCGATCTGGTATTGCAGGTAAACCCTTCCAGACCTATTACCGCTAGGGTTCACGGCACCAGTTCACTGTGACTCTGAGCCCGGGTTTGTAACACCACAAGCCCTGTTACAACAACTATTGTATTGTCGTGAATGCACACAATGAACTGGTTGAACTCAGTCTGACTCGAAGACTCTTGTTTCGGCTCGCGCGACCGACTGGCGCCGAATCGAATCTTATGCTCTACGCCAATGAATCGTCCTAAGCATCCTAGTGAGGCACCGTAGACTTCTTCTTCAATGTATCAGCTTATTTCAAAACTCACATAGATCAGAATGTTGACATAGCATCAACATGAGAAATCCTTCAGCTTGTTTTGTTCTCGCTAATAACACATGGTTGCATTAAAAATATGGATTTGAAAACGAAATACGATTCGTGGTTCCAACGCAGCCGACTTAATTGACTGTCTGTGCATCAGTGATCATTGTCAGTGTAAATTGGGTCTTCTATCATTTATATTGTCGTCTGTTGAAACAATTAGTTGACAGTAATAAACTTGTGAACCTATTACCACGTTTTCATTATTACTCTATTCTTCTTTAATGACACCCTGATCTCTAAAGCACAGCTCCGTGACAATCAGCAACCAACTCCATCAAGTAGAGATAATTTATGGATAACAACTTCTTGTCTTGCTTGACAACGGTATAAGGAAACGTCGCCTTTAAGTAAATAAAGAAGTTGTTATCCATAAATTATCTCCACTTTGTCATCCGTCAACTTCTAAGTAATGCCTATGAAACAATTCAACTCCATCAACGCAGTCCGACCACATGTTAACGCAGTCCGACCCCCCCAGTCCGACACATTTCAGTGTGGTAGCACATACTATATATGGAGTGAGGTGAAATCGTGATGTGTATCTATTTCGGGGAAACAATCGTGATGTGTGTCTATTGCGGGGAAATAATCGCGATGTGTGTCTATTGCGGGGAAACAATCGTGATGTGTGTCTATTGCGAGGAAACAATCGTGATGTGTGTCTATTGCGGGGAAATAATCGTGATGTGTGTCTATTGCGGGGAAACAATCGTGATGTGTGTCTATTGCGGGGAAACAATCGTGATGTGTGTCTATTGCGGGGAAACAATCGTGATGTGTGTCTATTGCGGGGAAACAATCGTGATGTGTGTCTATTGCGGGGAAACAATCGTGATGTGTGTCTATTGCGGGGAAATAATCGTGATGTGTGTATATTGCGGGGAAGCAATCGTGATGTGTGTCTATTGCGGGGAAATAATCGTGATGTGTGTATATTGCAAGGAAGCAATCGTGATGTGTGTCTATTGCGGGGAAATAATCGTGATGTGTGTATATTGCAGGGAAGCAATCGTGATGTGTGTCTATTGCGGGGAAATAATCGTGATGTGTGTATATTGCAGGGAAGCAATCGTGATGTGTGTCTATTGCGGGGAAATAATCGTGATGTGTGTATATTGCAGGGAAGCAATCGTGATGTGTGTCTATTGCGGGGAAATAATCGTGATGTGTGTATATTGCAGGGAAGCAATCGTGATGTGTGTCTATTGCGGGGAAATAATCGTGATGTGTGTATATTGCAGGGAAGCAATCGTGATGTGTGTCTATTGCGGGGAAATAATCGTGATGTGTGTATATTGCAGGGAAGCAATCGTGATGTGTGTCTATTGCGGGGAAATAATCGTGATGTGTGTATATTGCAGGGAAGCAATCGTGATATATATCTAAATATATAAATTGCAGGGTAACAATGGTGATGCGTGTGTGATACGTACTCGTAGTGTGGGGGATTGTGTTGCGTATCGTATTGTGGGCTGTGTGATAAGTATGGTATTGTCTTTTTGTGTGATGCGTATTGTATTGTGCCTTGTGTGATGCGTATCGTATTGTTGTGTGTGATGCGTATCGTATTGTGCCTTGTGTGATGCGTATCGTATTGTGCCTTGTGTGATTTATCGTATTGTGGGCTGTGTGATGCGTATCGTATTCTGCGTTATACAAAACACGGTGAAAAGATTACACTGCATAGTCGAGGATAATACTCACTGGAATATTGCTCAAAGCGGCGTAAAACCATACGCACTCACTGTTTAGAAACACGACCCGAGGCTATAAATAGACATCAAATCAAATTTCACAAACTCAAGTTCTAACCATGCTCGGTATGCACAGTGAGCACCCGATCCACACAGACATGGGGTACGGTACCGATGTTCAAACACAATGGAGACGTTTGCTACCGCTGTCCTTTTATGGTATAAAGCTCGCTGCCCCCTTTGTCTCTGTCGTAGCGAATAAATCGTGCTGGATGACACACGATGAAATCTAAGGCGACCACGCCCCCGCGTTGTGACTCGACTTGACTGCTGTGTATATAGCTGATGCAAGCGCTGTAGATACATATACAGTCAACAAAACCAGTCATACTACCACGCTATGGTCCGGAGTAGCATTAACTGAAAGATGGACGCGCGACGTGCATTAGCATTGTGAGGGCTGCTGTATTTATGTATTTTTAGTACTAAGAAGGCACAGTATTGTTTGATCAATTTTTGCATCAACCAAGTCAGTGAGTCTGACCGCCCGATCCCGTTAGTCGCCCCTTTAATATGACAAGCATATTCGCCTCTTACGGCAATCATGGGTGGCTGAAGGCCTATTCTCCACCCGGATCTTCACGGGTTTCAAGACAAAGAGGCGAACCGTGTTGGAATTGGCTCCACCAAACCATCCTTTCGCGTGAATATTAATATAATTCACGTCGCTTAGTAAATGCCATCGTCGTTTTTAGCTTAAAAGAAACCGTTTAAGTTGTAACCCGTGCGGGTAAGATGACACACAAGTGCAGCTAGCCTGATCAACAAAGCACGCAACGTCCATTTCAACATCTGGGCAAACAAGATGAGGGGATTTCGAGAAAATAAAAAAAACATTCATACGGATGGGGTCGCAGATATATCTTATTTGGGAATGGACTAGGGACATGTTGGAAGCTTTACAAATTCGACCCATATCAGAACGGACGTTTCATCAATATGAATCTATTTTCATAATGGAATATAAAAAATACTACCTTGCATTTCTTGGTCAGTCACGCTTCTTAGGCAGTTAAGGAGAAGTCGGATTCATCTCGTGAAATTCAGGCATATTACAGATATAAGATAATGTTGTGGAAGAAAAGGTTTATTCGAGAACTACTGGAGATAAGGGATAATACTTGTTATGTTAATCCCATTCACGTTGCCTCAAACACATTGCATGATATACGTAAATTGCAAGGTTTCTAATTGTGCTTTGGTCGGAGGAAGACCTCAGCTCATGAAATTTACGAGATGGATAAAAATACATATTTTGACAAATATATAGACCTAATGTCATTAATAGCATTGCAAATCATAATAAAGTTGACCCGTGGAGATCCCGGTTAGAAGAGGTCGACAGCAACCCATGCTTGTCGTAAGAGGCGACTAACGGGATCACACACTCGCAGTTCTCTTGGTTGCCGAATATATGTTCCTGTTTCTTTTGTTGGGCGGGGGATATAGAAACGGGCTCCGTCTGTAGGTCCGTCCGTACGTCCGTCCGTCACGTTTCGTTTCCGGAGCATAACTCATAAACCTTTCAATATTTTTTCATCAAACTTTGCAGGTCTGTCAGGTACATGCTGAACGGATGCCTTTTGCTATTTAGATATTTTAGAAAAAACAACAAGATGTACTTAGGTTCCAAACTCTTCTTTTTTTACAATTTCCATGACAAGTTCCACCTCGGTTAAAAAAGGTTAGGGTTTGTTTAGATTTAACTATGTCATAAATTCTGCAACAGGGGCTGGGGATATATCCACGTTACTTGCGAACTCTTGTTTTGGTTGGTGTGAACCACATCGGGGAGCCGTTTGTACTTTTATGTGAATATTAATATTGTTGTGTAATAAATCCATATCATCTTATACATACCTAGCTTACTAAACTAATGATAATACTGGAAATGCTATATATTTTTTCGAAAACAACGAGTGACTTAAACATGAATTTATAAGTGTAACGTCATTAGTGACTGTAACCATTAGAGTCCATGTAATAACTAAAAAAATATATATTTACATATTTAACAGGTAGTGTACAAAAAATATTAAAAGATCCGTAATTAATTCATGTAAAGCTGATATTAGCGAATTTAAATTAAACAAATAGGTCTATTAGGTAAATATAAAGCGCTTCAATGCAGGAGGTTTCGGTAAGATCATTGTTCGTAAAAGAAATATTCCAACATTTAACAGAAGGGGAGATCACTCTAATTTACCACGTGCTTACTCAAAACATCAACATACATTGTGGAGCTTAGGTGGGGCTCACTGTGTGTAGCAATAGGATAGCTGCAAGTGGGTTGCAATTCAAATGTAGTTAACAGGTATCGCTCGTTAAAAGTACAATTCATTTCTTTATATAGTGTCAAATGAAGAACGTTGCAAATTCCATCTTCATAGGAAACTGTCAGAAGTTGAGGGACTTCAGATAAGGCCATGTTGTGGTGGGCTACAACATTTGTGGACATTTGGGTTTGGTACGATTTATCCGGGTAAACAAAAATACCACTTGGGTAGTAGTCAAGCTTGTCACACGTGTCACGTGTATATTGTATTGCCAAACTGTCATCAGTCCCTTGGTAACTTATCTGCATATTACAATCACTCAATGAATAAGATCACTAAACGAAAGTATTCCATTAATCCTGTCATTCTGTTGTACTGACAACAAGACTTCACTAGGTGGTCAGGTGGTGGGTGAAGAACCGATACATGTAAATAAAGTCATTGACTTTCACGTTTCTATTTCATAAAAATAATTTTTAAAATACCCCATCTCTGGATTTAATTTATACGGACATTTGCAAACTGCATGAATTGTAACATTTTACAGTGCATCAATAAAATATGTGTTTGTGTGTGTTGATGCCATATATAATGACTACAAAATAACGTTAAATACGTTATCTTGTAGTCATTATATATTGCACACCAACAAATTAGTTTGAGCAGTTTTAGAATTCAGAACGATGTCTGGTGTAGGTCTAAACAAAAGCAAACATCAAATATAAACTGGTACTTGCTGAAAGAAGCACCACAACAGGCTACATGTTGTAAGAATATATTGAAACACTGTTTATCATACTCAATTGCATAGCAGGTGACTATGCTTGTCGTAAGAGGTGACTAACGGATCGGGTGGTCATCAGTGCTCATGATGTCAATCACTGGATTGTCTGTATTGTCTGATCCAAACTCGATTATTTACTGACCGCCGTCATACAGCTGGAATATTGCTGAGTGTGGAGTTAAACAACAAACAAACAAAGTAATGGCATAGCATGTGAAATCAGAGATCACTGAGAGGAATTTATGTACAGTGAATGCTACCCATCCCCACCCCCAAACTCACATCACAATGATTATTTTGATGCTGTAGTTGCCACAGCAGCCAGCCAGGCTGGTTAATGTTGATTATTAATAAAGTTATTGTTCTAGTTCTCAAGAGGAGATGGAGAGAGAGTGTTACTGTGAGAAGGTGGAACCTGACCAGAAGCCCTACATGCTCATATGTGGTGAATGTAAAAAACACTTCCATGCAGGTATGTTATACATTCACATCACATTGTCGTTCATGGTCAAGTTATCATCATCATCATTGTAGGACCCGTCAAGATGCGGGTTAGAATTGATTAGTAGCAACCCATGCTTGTCATAAGATTCCACTAACGGGATCGGGTGGTCAGGCTTGCTGACTTGGTTGATGCATGTCATCGTATCCAAATTGCATAGATTGGCACCCGTGAAGATCCACTTTAGAAGAGGTCTTCAGCAACCCATGCTTACGGGATCGGCTGATCAGGCTCTCTGACTTGGTTGATGCATGTCATTGTATGCTAATTGTGATATCAATCACTGGATTGTCTGGTCTGGACACAGATGTTTGCAGACCGCCATCATGTGGCTGGAATATTGCTGAGTGTGGCGTAAAGCAACAAACAAACAAAAACACAAACAAAACATAGGTATCAATTAACCTGTGGGAATTTCGAATTAGAACAGGTCCGCAGTAACGTGTACTTGTTACATACGACGAAGAGATGACTGAATGAATCAGGTCATGATCTTAACCATGTTAACAGACACAGCTCGAATATTGCTAAATACAACATCAGACAACAAACAAACTCGACATCATTGTTGAGGTTGTTTTTTAAAAGAAATTAACAGCCACCGTACACTGCTAGAATATATCTACATTAATAGTTCATCATGAAAATTAACATCACAGCATATGTTTTATTCAACCCAAGGAACACACATCTTCCTTGTCCATGCAATAAAAGGATTATACTGTTTCAGCATGTTTGGAAACAGGCAAACTGTCGCCGCTAGATGGCGACATATTCTATCACTTCAAGTGCCGATGCTGTGGAGACGAGGGGAAAGAAGAATTTGACAGGATGAAGATGCAGTGGTAATAGACTCGTGTAGTCTTAATTGTAGAGTGTTAAGCCCTTGTCGGGTGTTCCCAGCTGTGATATTGCTTGAATATTACTAACAGCAGTGTGAAAGATGTGCTCTTTTATCCAGAGTTGAAATTAACTTGCTGGTTGAAGACATAGTGACTATGTGTTATGAATATGATTCCATGCTTCAGTGGGGGCCTAGGTGGCCTAGTCCTCTACGGTGCGTGATTCGCTGTGCAGAGATACGTCCCTTGTGTACGCCAGAAACCTATGATTGTGGTTTCGAATCCTGGTTCGCCCCGATTTTGTTTCTGGGTTTGTCAGCATCATACCCGTGCTCGTGGGTTTCACCAAAGTGGTAAATGTCTGAGACCTGCATCACTTTGGGCTTTCCGCCCACATTAAGCTGACACGACGTGATATAACTGGAATACTGTTAAAAGCGGTGTTAAACCATACTCAATCACTCACTCACCATGCTTCAGTGGAACCTCATTTTTTGAGATCATGTCTCTTTTCAGGCACATTGGCGCCCCTTGTGGTTGTGCTCGATTTGTATAAGCTTAATAATGATATGCTCATTTGTGCTATGTACTTGAAGAAATTCACCCAGAAACGCAGGAAACAATAGTCGATACATATTTACTTTATTCCACTTCTTGTGATCAACAGATCAACTGACTTTGAGATAGAGACACAATGGGCTCAGAGCTCAAGAACACACCATCCATCTTGCACCCATTACGAAAATACTAACTGCCCCCCCACGTCACACAATTATATCACAAGCTCATGGAATATATATACATGCACAATACAGAATATAAGGAATCCAAAGAACCTCATGCATCAAAAGAAATTGATAGTAATATCATTTGGAATGCAAATGGAGATAACTCCATAATCATATCATGTGTAGACCACTAGAAAATATAGCCAAAAATGTAACTTCTCTCACTCAATCATGATATCATTTGTTAAATGCTCTATTCTGCCTTGCTGATTTATCATCTGCTCGCAGAGAGCGGAAGGTCCGGGGTTTGATCCTCAGCCGCGTCATTCCAAAAGACGTTGAAAGATGGTACTTGTTGTTGCCCTGTCTGGCTCTCGGCATTAAGGGGCTAAAACAAGGACTGGTTGGCTCTGAGTCAGTATACTGTGTCTGAGTTGGGTATTTATGTTAAACTGCAGCATGTTATCTCAGTGGCCTAGCACTATAAATCGGCACTAGTCCAGACTAGTACATGCACAGGCACACACATGCACGCACGTACAGGAACACACATGCATACACACATGCATACACGTCGCATGATAAATACAATAATCTTGAACACAACGTAAACCCCATCTCACCCCACCTCACCTATTACATGCTTGATTGTGACATGTTCAGTCATGATATATAAGTGTTATTGGTTCACTCATTCCAAAACCCCGGGTTCGATTCTCCATATTATGCACATAGTATAATGTACAAAGCCCATTTTGTGAGTCTCTTGTTAAATTGCAGGAATATTGCTAAAACGGTGTGATAACAGATGTAGTGTAACGGTTATTTGCCCGGCAGATGCTACATGGACGTTTGGTATTTTAGGCTTCAGGTGGTCATGCTCACGCTCTACAATCTACAGCTCAGCGGGAACGGGAAATGTGGGTATTTCCGGTGGAAAGAACATATATGTGCATTCATAGACAAGCACTGGTCCCTGCTGTTTGCTGCACACAGGTAGGAAGAATGCTATTCTTTCTTGGTTGATGATGTTCTGACAGACAGTGTGTGCTCTGGGCATACGTAAATCTGTCAATTGAAACAATTGATGTAAGGGAGATAACTCTCATTCCTGAAGTTCCTGTGTTGTTATGATAGCACATGAATCGTGCCTGTGAAGTTGACAGTAAGAATAGAATGTTAACTTTATTGTGTTGTGTGTTGTCATTATGTTTAAACGCCGTGATATAACTGGAATACTGTTAAAAGCGGCGTTAAACCCAACTCACTCACTCACTCACTCACTCACTCACTCACTCACTCACTCACTCACTCATTATGTTTTAGGAATGATTGTGTGTGGAGACGATCATATGTCAGTTGTATAATGAATTCTTTTACAATGTTTACTTCTGGTGTCTATCACAATGTAAGGCCAATCTTGTTATAAGTTGGGTCCCTCTGTGCATGATAAAATGAGTGAAAAATAAAGGATTGCTGGTTTTTCCATGACAATATTTTCATAAAGGGTTCATTTGTAACAAACAGTGTAAAGGTTTGACAACAAATAAAACCAAGTCTTTTTCACCCTGGTGTATATTCTGGATTAGAATTAGCATCCTGCAAGTTCTGCCTGTTGTAGAGGGGACATAATGAACCAGGTGGCCAGTTGATTGTGTGTCATCGTATATCAATCACTGGTTTAATTTGTTTGATAGGCATTACTTAGAAGTTGACGGATGACAAGGTAGACACAATTTTATGGATAACAACTTCTTTAATACTGTAAAAAGCCACCATATCAGCAACTGTCATAATCACAATATCAACTGGGACAACGTCCAAATCCTCTCCAACAACCTCCATGATTTCACAAAAAGAAAACTAACAGAAGCAGTCCACATTCGTCACCACAAGCCATCAATCAACAGAGATCAAGGCTATTTCATCCCATCTGCCTACTATGAACTCATCAAGCAATAATCACTTATTCTGTTTAGTTGGCTTCATGTACCATTGGCTTCCCCCAATCTGTTCTCTGTCATTGATAGAATAGATCTTCAGCAACCCATGCTTGCCGTAAAAGGCGACTATGCTTGTCGTAAAAGGCGACTAACGGGATCGGGGGGTCAGGCTCGTTGACTTGGTTGATACATGTCATCGATCCCAATTGCGTGGATCGATGCTCATGATGTCAATCACTGGATTGTCTGGTCCAGACTCGATTATTTTACAGGCCGCCTCCATATAGCTTGATTATTGCTGAGTGCGGCGTTTAACAACAAACAAACAAACAAACAAATCTCTGTCATCGTGTTGTGACAGTATTATCCCTTTGTTGTCACACCTACCCATGTTATCCCACTCATGTTTGCCATTGTTGTTACTGTTAATCCTCTACTGTTAATCCTCCACCTACTATGTATATTCTGTACTATGTCCCTCATTCAGTCTTGCTTGACAACGGTATAAGGATCTATACCAAAATGTCGCTTTTAACAGTAATAAAGAAGTTGTTATCCATAAAATTGTGTCCACCTAATCACAGGTTTGCCTGGTTCATAAATGAGTATTTTACACCGTCATATAGCTGGAATATTGTTGCGTGTGGTTTTACACAACAAACAAGAAAGTATTTAAGAATAATAAGAATTAGAAATTGTTGGCTTGCCTAGAGATCTATATTCATGATATTGTAAAGGGCATGCATGTTACATAAAACACTAGTATTTAGCATGTTCAGGGGCTAGTGGGGATAGAGAGCGTGGGTTTAGGCTCCTTGTGAAGATGAGTGCTCATTAAACAACAAACAAAACAACATGTTAAGAGCATGCATGCTACATGAAACATGTCTTTCAGGTCTGATAGGTAGAGTGTGTGTTTGGCCTTAACGTATGCATGTGTCAAGATCTTTGATTGAGTGACCTGACATGACTCCCCTGACAGGAAGAAGACGTCGCTGTGGCACGGGACTGTGGCCGGCACTCTCTCCACAGGGTGTCCGGGCTACTTCACATCGGGGGCCAACGTCCTGGGAGAGGCCGGCTGGTGGAAACTGACCGACATGAAACCTCCCATGCTTAAAGTTGGTCAGTCATGTTTGATTTAGAAGAGAGTTGTGTGTCTGTCTCTGTCAGTGGAACAATGCATGGTTATCTACAATACGCTCTTGTTTGGTCCATCAGTATAATTAAGGATCTTCATGTTCGATAGAACCATGCCCTTGACTTCATCGTTAATGCTCTGGCTCTTGTTACTGTCATTCTGAGTAAGATCCTGCTCTTACTTGGTGTCAGTGAACATTGTTAACAGACTTATGTTGTTGGTAATGTCGATGTCATCAAACAGTATTTGCTTGCTATCACTAGAACTCTGTTGGTTAGGTTTCTATCTTATACTTTGGTTTGAGCATATTGAGTAGAACATTTTTTTTTCACTTAGGTCATCACTTTTCATGACCCATGAGTGACCTTGTCGTCTAAGTTACTGTATTTTGTTGTGCAGACGCATCTTGCTTTGAATAGTGAGCATGGTGAAAAGACAGTCGTAACAAAGAACATCCTGGTTTGGGTGAACTGTAGACTTATCTTTGACTGATGTCTTATCACCAGACTCAGGACTTCGTCCGGCACGTAAGAAGCATGATCCGACGTCTGCCATTGACCCTGCTGCGGTCATCAAGGTGGAGGGTCTGAGGTCAAGGCGAGGCAAGTCCTCCATACAGGCGGCCATGGAACTCAAGAGCAAGAGGTCAACCTTGACGGTAGGCTGACCTCCAATGAGAAATGTGGAGTAAACTGTTGTTTTTTCAGCTTTCAAGTGTTACTTAGTATTTGATGCCCATGAAGTTCATTCTTAGCCTGGGCCCTGTTCCACAACGTGATCTTAGCGCTAAGTCGATTGTAACTCCCATTCTGTAACACTGACTTACAACAATCGTAGGGCTAAGATCACTTTGAGGAACGGGGCCCAGGTGGTTTAAAATGATACAATTACAACAGGGAATCTGAACACGTATTATGTTTATTGACAACTGATATTTTGGTAACCCAATCTGATGCGGCACCAATATAGCATCATGATTGAAGCAGCATGTTATAAAACAATGGATTACATCATATAATAGCTTCCATGAAAACTATGAACAGTGTAGTTAGTAGGAGTGAGTGAGTGAGTATGGTTTTATGCTGCTTTAAGCAATATTCCAGTAATATCACGGCGGGGGACACCAGAAATGGGCTTCACCCATTGTACCCATGTCGGGGATCGAACCCGGGTCTTCGGCGTGATGAGCGAACGCTTTTTGACACAAGGCTACCCGACCGCCCCGTAGTTAGTAGGATGCAGAGAAAATAACCTCAAGTGCACGTTAACCATGTTTGTAGCCAATCAGATTCACTAAAAATTCCAATTCATTATGTCGTTACTGTTAGGTTAGTATCCACCAACTTATTTCTTTACGAAAGTACTGGGAGATCACTGTGTCCTGTTATGTAATGTCTGTTAAATTGTAATAGTTTCCTCCTGAAAACCAATTGGATGCACTGATCAATTAGTCCAATATTTTCCAACCAGGAAGCCAAAGAGATCCGTAAAGCTAAAGCCAGCTGCAAGACACCAGAGTCAACGCCACCAAGACCATCTTCTTCAGGCACATCCAGTTCTACCTCACATAAAACAGCTGCCTCGCCAGCTGCCACATCTCCTCTCCCAGACGTGGAGACCTTCGGACTCTTCCAACACGACAATTTTCATAGCAAAGACAATATGAAGACTAAAATGTCTGACACCATGAAAAACACAACAGCTTCTGATGTTGGATCGAAACGATCCAAGAAGTTGTCAGACTGTGTGGTTAAGCAGGAAACTGTGGACACCAGTTACACAAGTACCGAGGGCAAGAGCGTTGCCATGGTTACTGTGAAGGAAGAGCCTCCTGATTCCGAGAGCAGCTTGGCGTCTGCTTCCTTCCAGTCCACCTTCAGTTGGTCCATCAAAGCGGAGGCAGACGAGGACAGTCAGTTCTCCCGCTCCAGCAGCCACATGTGGTTCACGGACAAGGATACCAAGGCTCCAGGTGATCATTACAATAAGCACCCGTGAAGATCCGGGGTAGAACATGTCCTCAGCAACCCATGCTTGCCGTAAAAGGCGACAGTCAGGCTCGCAGACTGTGTTGATGCATGTCATCGTATCCCAATAGCATGGATTGATGCTCATGATGTCAATCATTGGATTGTCTGGTCCAGACTCGATTATTTACAGACCACCGTCATATAGCTAAAATATTGCTGAGTGCGGCGATAAACAACAAACAAACTAACATTACAATATATCATTTTAGTGAAACCTTCTTAACTTGAACAACCGCCTCCATGGTGTAGTGGATAGAGCGCCTCTCCAGGTAGTTGAAGGTCAGTGGTTTGATCCCCTTGTGGAATTAAAACAAAAAGATGACAAAAGATACCACGTGTTACCCAGGCTGGCGCTTGCCTTCAGGAGGATAACACAAACTGGTCAGCACGGAGTCAGTATACCGTGTCTAAGTGGAGTATCCAGGGGTATCCAACTGCGGCATGGTATTTCAGTGGGCTAGCACTATTAAACCAGCATAACTCCAGACTAGGACAAGCAGCCCTACACACACTTACATGCACGCTGCTATATAAATGAAATATGATCTTAAACGCGACGTTAAGTCCCTTTTCACCTCACTTCCTTACTTGAACAGCATTTATTCAATATGTAAGTTTTGGTGATGTAAGCTGAAGGTACTCGCTAATATTGGCATGCTGGAACCATAGATAACTATGGTTTTCAATGGTTCTGGTAACTTCAAGTACACAAGGTAGTACTGAAGTCAAGTAGCACTGAAGTCAAGTAGCAATATAGGTGATTGAAAACAATGCGTCAACTTATCCAGAATTCTTATCCAACACATGTTATATATACCATTGACACATAGCCATAGAAAACAAAACGTGAAAATGGATATTTACATATTATTATTATTGTTGTTCTTATTGTTCTTGTTCTTGTTCTTGTTCTTCATCATCATCATCATCATCATCATCATCATCATCATCATCATCATCATCTTATAATTAACTAGATCAATCATCTTGTCAATGGGCTTATGCTCAGGGTTGAACTGGACATAAATTGGCCAGCTCATTTTACATTGCTAACATTCACTCAAGTTTCCCATTGATGTTAGACCTGCCAAGGAAAAAAACCTTAACTTTCAAATGTGTTGAATATTTCCAGATACCATGCCAGAGTTGTTTCTGAATGATGACTCTGACAGTGACCTTGAGATTGACCCAGGAAGAATGTCCCCTCCGACTGCGATGTGGTCTGCCGGCTTCAGAGCGTCTCCCTCGGTGCAAGATATCCTGTCTTCCATAGATGGTAAGTAAAGTACCAGTGTTCAGTCCTAACTCAATATATAACTATCGGTTTGTCCATCAATCTGTAATTATTTAGTTCTCGAGCTCAACATTTTTAGTATATAAACATTTATCCCTTGAATTGGATAAAACTATCGGTTTGTCCGTCATTATTATTTAGTTTCTTGAGCTCTTAAAAGCATACTCAAATATTCCATATTTCTTGAGTTTGGAGATATGACATCCTATGATGACCTTGTATCCCTATGAGCTAGGTCAGATCTACAAATTACCATGAGCTGTAAGTTGGATCTGCTCCAATCTCATTATTTCAGACAATTCCCGACTGTCGGAAGACTCCACTTTGACCCACCCAGGTTCCAAGCCAGCAGTTATCAGTATCAAATCGGAGACGGAAACCCCTGGCAAGTCTGATAACGAGGCTGAGCTGGAGGGGGAGGAGGAGTCCGAGGAGTCTGACAGGGACGATTCCTCATTTCACAAGAAGAGGAGACTGGATGGAGGAGAGGATGAGAAGCCCGAGGAACCTCCTCCACCAATGTAAGGAATACTGCGTGTGGGTCAATGTAGACTGGAAGCAGTCTATGTTTCCTATTCTAAATTAAAAAGTAAAATATTTCAAGGTAATTTTTATTCCTCACACTTGGTGTGTTCTGATTGCATGAAAATCTCTTGAAATATTTTCAAACTATTTTCAAATTTTGTAAAATAATATTTGCATTTTGTTTGCTTGTGTTGGGTTATTTGATACATTATTTACATGATAATATGTAAAATGAAGACTGCTACAGTCTAGGGTGGGTGTTGAGGACGGAGACAAGTAGGGGTACAGTTCCATGTAGTTGGGGGGAAGTTTGGCAAGATATGTCTTGAGTTTAGGACTTGAGTTCTTCGGGAGGACAGAGCTTCAGATAAGCAGCGTATTTGCGTAAAATACCCCCCCCCAAAAAAAATATTTGAAACCTTATTACTTTCAATTAATTTGCTTACAGAAACGCATGAATTAAATTAAAAACTCAAATGTATAAAAACAGCACGTGTAAATACCCAATATAGCTTTTTCAGCATGCGTACAAAGGAGCTAATTTCGAAACATAAATACGAGCTAATTTACTTACCAAGCCAAGCCTATATATTTAGAACAGTTATATAAATCTAAAACATTATTTAATTTTCTTAAAATCTTAAAATGTTCATTAATTTTGGGAAAACTCAATAGAGTGAAGAATAGATGAGTGAAAAAATATTGGTTACCCAACGAAAACTGTAATAACCCAATTGAAATAGAAACGCTAGAGTGAAAACTCAATTGCTCAAAAAGTTATCTGGAGTGCTGGGAGAAGTTTGCCTCGAAAGATCTTGAGTTTAGGATTTGAGTACTTAGGTAGAAGTTTGGCTCAATAGATCTTGAGTCGAGTACTTTAGTTCCAAAGGAGAAGATTTTCTTTATAGGTCTTGAGACAACAGCAGTAGGTCTCAAGTCAAGGATTTGAGTAGTGGAGAAGATTGGCTCTATACGCCTTGAGGGGCGGTCGGGTAGCCTAGTGGTTAAAGCATTCGCTCATCACGCCGAAGACCCGGGTTCAATTCCCGACATGGGTACAATGTGTGAAGCCCATTTCTGGTGTCCCCTGCTGTGATTCTTGTGATCTCAAATTGCTTGCTATTGATTTTCATTACCATATTACCAACCAATCAAATGTTGAGATAAAGAAACAGGAAACGGGTAAGGGAGGTAAATCGTCTTGCTAATACTAAAGCAACTGCGAGTTGTAATGAACGTAAAGACATCCTTCCCTCTCGGACCGCCTCCGTGGTCTAGTGATGGAGCGTCCGCCTGGAGAGCGAAAGGTCCAGGGTTCGATCCCTGGCCGCGTCATACCAAAAGACGTTAAAAGATGGTACTTGTTGTTACCCTGTCTGGCACTCGGCATTTAGGGGCTAAAACAAGGACTGGTCGGCTCAGAGTCAGTATACTGTGTCTGAGTGGGATATTCATGTTAAACTGCGGCATGGTATCTCAGTGAGCTAGCGCTATAAATCGGCATCAGTCCAGACTACTACAAGCAGCCACACAAAGACACACACATACATGCACGTCGCTATATAAGTGCAATAATCTTGGACGCGACGTTAAACCCCATTTCACCTCACCTCACCAAACTCTCTTTTAATCAATGGGACTGGCCACCATGTTGTTGACACCGCCAACCCAACACTGAGGCTGGTTTCTAACTCGCATTTGGTGGGGAAATCAGGGGCAGGTAATTTGAGAATGAGCGAACCACGGGTATGGATCCAGAGGTTAGGGTAAGTTAGCCGAAATGAGAGCCTTGGAGATAAAGAGGTTGCCTGATCTATTTTGCCTGCTTTCACCATGACAGTTACGCCCCGATGAGTCTGTACGATGAGATCCAGCTCCTGAAGAAACTAAACATGGTGGCTGAGAAGATGACATTGGAACCCCAACTGAACCGATTCCGCAGGAAACTGATTGTCAGACAGGTGCCAGCATCCTTCACTTACCATATATTGTTGTGTTAAAGGCGAGTTTTTCGTACCTAGAATTAGGGGGCTTTCAAGGGGGGTCGTCTTTCAGCAGGGTTAAGAGTTTTGATGGTTTTTTTCCGCAACACAAAGACATTACTTTGTTTGTAGTTTTACATCAAGTTTTTGCGAGCCTGGGAGCATCTACGGTGATTGGTCAAATTGTTCCATGCGAAAAAATATCCGGCAATAGTGATCAGCTGTACCAAAGTGCTACGCTTATGGTATATTAATTTATTATACCCCCGACCTTTTAGGTCGGGGGTATATAGTTATACCAAGGTTCTGTCAGTCCGTCCGCCCATCCGTCCGTAAACTTTGGCCGCACAATTTCTCTTAAACTATTCAGTGGATTCATCTCAAACTTAGTACATATAATCTGTGTCATATGGAAGGGTGCAGTCAAAAGGAAAATTTTTTTTTAATAATTTTCCATTTTTTTATGAATTTTTCAAACCCTAACCCTATCCATTATGTAATTTGAAACTACTGACACCCTAGGCGGGTCAGGGGTATTAGTGAGCCACTCTCACTTTTGCCCTTGTTTCAAATATATATAGTGAAGCTGCAACTAAAATAACATGATATTGGAATAAATTATTCCTGATAAGATAATAGTTTCAGATACAATTCATACAATTATTGTGTCAAAATTCTTTTAAGTTATATTATTGGGTAATTTTTAAATGAATCACTGGTATATTCCGAGAAATGTGTGTACAGCTGATTGGTGCTTCCAGCTTAGTTTACGAGACAATACACATGGTAATCTTAATCTCTGCATATAATACAATGTATATCAGAACAGGGAATACAATTTAATCGGTACATCACCATGTCAAGGGATGTTTTATCTCAAATTTCAAATTTGTATTGATCAAGTTTAAATTGTTATGATCTGTTCGTTTCCCTGTATTTGACGATGTAATTTTTTTCTGCAGAAAACAAACATGTTTTTATTGCAAAATGAGGGATTGTGTATGCGCAGGTGACATGCTTCATTCCGATTCGTTTTATAGACGGGGTAAATAAATTAGCATCGATTTTGAAGGCTTGTACAGGAGGGCTGCCTTTTACGTGGGGTTGCTTTATAGACAACGATATACGGTATATCCTGATTCAGTCTCTATGATTGACAATTACAAGCGTGCACCCTAACATCCCCCTTGGATATGCCCACTGCGTCATGGTTTTAGTGACCATGGTAACAGTACAAAAATTACGAAAATGTAAGAAAAGGGATAAGTCTATTTTAACGATGATTAATATTTCTTTGTGGCGGTGGGATAACCTTGTGGTTAAAGTGTTCACTCGTCACACATTGGTACAATGTATGAAGCCCATTTTTGTTGTCCCTTCCTTGATATTGCTGGAATATTGCATAAAACTATACTGATTTACTCTTCAACCTTTTCAACAGCTGAAGAGGGAGAGGGGTATGCCTGTGTTTGACCTTGACCTTGAAATGAAGAAGATAACTCAGCAGGACTTCCGGCAGCTGCAGGACATGGATGTAAGTCTGGGAACAACGCTGTCGGGAGGAGAGCCTTCAGCACAATCATCAGGCCATGATCCACACACCATCACCACACCAACCCACTTGCAACCACCATGTGACATGATCCACTCTCCACCATCTTTACATGATCCATCAGAGCCCTTTTGAGAAGGATCAACACACTGTAACCATGTGACAGGATCCACTCTCCACCATCTTCACATGATCCATCCGACCCTTTTTGAGAAGGATCAACACACTGTAACCATGTTACATGATCCACTCTGCACCATCTTCACATGATCCATCCGACCCCTTTTGAGAAGGATCAACACACTGTAACCATGTTACATGATCCACTCTGCACCATCTTCACATGATCCATCCGACCCCTTTTGAGAAGGATCAACACACTGTAACCATGTTACATGATCCACTCTCCACCATCTTCACATGATCCATCCGACCCCTTTTGAGAAGGATCAACACACTGTAACCATGTGACATGATCCACTCTCCACCATCTTCACATGATCCATCCGACCCCATGTGACATGAATATTAATATTTTTATTTTATTATATGGCCTTCAGCAACCCATGCTTGCCGTAAAAGGTGACTATGCTTGTCATAAAAGGCGACTAACGTGATCGGATGGTCAGGCTTGGTTGATGCATGTCATTGATCCCAATTGCGTGGATTGATGCTCATGATATCGATCACTGGATTGTCTGGTCCAGACTCGATTATTTACAGACCGCCGTCATACAGCTGGAATATTGCTGAGTGCGGCGTTAAACAACAAACACCAACAATTATTATATGGCACTGTACTCCATGCATAAGCATGCTCTAAGCGCTTAGATATTATTACCACGGTCAATGGATCAGTGCGCACTCAACTATCATTCTCAGCTCCCTGGGGAGTATACAACCAGAGCTGCCTGTGAGGCGCTAGAAGGTTATCCACGTTGCCATCTCATCCTACCGGGTATCCATTCACTGCTGGGTGTACAGAGGCACATTTCAAACAAGTCACTTGCCCAAGGAGACACCACATGTTACATGTGTTTCAGTGTCACTGTGGGGCAGGACCGAGGCACTAAAAAGTCTCACAAGCCCAGCTGGCGAAGTCATCACCCATCCAAGGATGCTTGACTTCGCCTGATTTGTGACATGTGCGCTGTACGCAGGACCACGCACCACCACCACATCACATCACATACTCCTTGACATGAAAATGACTCCACACCAAATGACCTCACATCACATAGCGGAACTTAAAACGTTTTGATTGCCGTACAACGAATTGTTTTTCGACGACATATTTTAAAAGCAAGAAAATGTGAACAATTCAGAGATACTCTTTAATAGCGACAGTTTCATTGTTGCCAAGATTCGGAGGTTTTTACAAATTCATTTTTCTGAACCTGTTGCAGGATGGATTTGGTCCGAGGTCACAAATGAGATCGTTGATGAAACCAAGGGGAGCTGATCTCCGCATTCTGGACAGGTTCCAGGTGAGTGTTTGTCTCCATTATTCATAAGATTGGAGTAGCCTAGTGGGTAAAGTGTTTGTTCATCCAATCATGTGGCGGTCGGGTAGCCTAGTGGGTAAAGTGTTTGTTCATCCAATCAGGGGGCGGTCGGGTAGCCTATTGGTTAAAGCATTCGCTCGTCACGCCGAAGACCCGGGTTTGAATCCCGACATGGGTACAATGTGTGAAGCCCATTTCTGGTGTGCCCCGCTGTGATATTGCTGGAATATTGCTAAAAGCGGTGTAAAACCATACTCACTCACTCATCCAATCAGTGTGCGAAGCCTGGTGTACCCTGCTGTTGGGATATTGATGCTGTACTCACTGGTTTGTTTGTTTGTTTGTTTGTTTATTTAACGCTGCACTCAGCAATATTCCAGCTATATGACGGCGGTCTGTAAATAATCGAGTCTGGACCAGACAATCCAGTGATTGATATCATGAGCATCGACCCACGCATTTGGGATCAATGACATGCATCAACCAAGTCAGCGAGCCTGACCACCCGATCCTGTTAGTCGCCTAATTACTCACTGGTAATCACATCAAATCATTATTGTTGTTAAACTTGTTGTTGCAAATTTAAGATGTTGTGAAGTGTTCCATTATGTTCAGGGAAAAAAAACGTATTTCGTAGTCCCAAATCATGTCCATCATTTGTTAGTTGCACGTTTATATGAAATGTGGTGGGGAAGGGGGGCCCAGTCATCTAAGGCATTGGAATTTGCTGTGCAGAGTTGCAGCCTTTAGGCACTCCAGTCCGGGTTTGAATCCCATATTCACCCTGCTCATGTTTCAAGGTTTGTCAGCCTACAAATGTTTGTGGTAAACGTCTAAGCTGTGCATCACGTTCTTCCCGTGATATAACTGAAATACTGTTCAAGGCAGTGCTCATGTTTCAAGGTTTGTCAGCCTACAAATGTTTGTGGTAAACATCTAAGCATTGCATCACATTCTTCCCGTGATATAACTGAAATACTGTTCAAGGCAGTGTTATACACAACTTCCTCATTCACTCACATGAAATGTTTATTTATTACTGCAAGGTTGTATGTTCCAGTGCAATCCTATGAGATCCAAGGCTTCGTCACAGCATTTCTCATCATTCATGAACAGACTGGTCGGCGTGGACGATGATCAGCTCCAGTGTATTACAAGTCCCTACACCACAAGGTAACATTATCAACTGTTGGTGGAGTCGGCTTAATCTTACCACTGTAGAAATGAATTGTAGAGACGAATTGAATATTTGGGGGTAGAGTTGGTCTTTGGCCGTAAAAGGTGACTATGCTTGTCGTAAGAGGCGACTAACAGGATCGGATGGTCAGGCTCGCTGACTTGGTTGATGCATCTCATGATATTCCAATTGCGTGGATTGATGCAAACAAACAAACTAAACGAATTGAACCCAAGTACACTGTGGTTGACCAAAGTGTGTATTCAGGGTAGAGTAGGGCACCAGTACTCCACAGTTGATCTGTGTGTGTGGTGCAGGGAACCAGTACACTGTGGTTGACCCAAGTGTGTATTCAGGGTAGAGTAGGGCACTAGTACTCCACAGTTGATCTGTGTGTGTGTGTGTGGTGCAGGGAACCTTTACACTGTGGTTGACCCAAGTGTGTATTCAGGGTAGAGTAGGGCACCAGTACTCCACAGTTGATCTGTGTGTGTGGTGCAGGGAACCAGTACACTATGGTTGGTCCAAGTGTGTATTCAGGGTAGAGTAGGGCACTAGTACTCCACAGTTGATCTGTGTGTGTGTGTGTGGTGCAGGGAACCTTTACACTGTGGTTGACCCAAGTGTGTATTCAGGGTAGAGTAGGGCACTAGTACTCCACAGTTGATCTGTGTGTGTGTGTGGTGCAGGGAACCAGTACACTGTGGTTGACCCAAGTGTGTGTTCAGGGTAGAGTAGGGCACCAGTACTCCACAGTTGATCTGTGTGTGTGTGTGGTGCAGGGAACCAGTACACTGTGGTTGACCCAAGTGTGTATTCAGGGTAGAGTAGGGCACCTGTACTCCACAGTTGATCTGTGTGTGTGGTGCAGGGAACCAGTACACTGTGGTTGATCCAAGTGTGTATTCAGGGTAGAGTAGGGCACTAGTACTCCACAGTTGATCTGTGTGTGTGTGTGGTGCAGGGAACCAGTACACTGTGGTTGACCCAAGTGTGTATTCAGGGTAGAGTAGGGCACCAGTACTCCACAGTTGATCTGTGTGTGGTACAGGGAACCAGTACACTGTGGTTGACCCAAGTGTGTATTCAGGGTAGAGTAGGGCACCTGTACTCCACAGTTGATCTGTGTGTGTGTGTGGTGCAGGGAACCAGTACACTGTGGTTGACCCAAGTGTGTATTCAGGGTAGAGTAGGGCACCTGTACTCCACAGTTGATCTGTGTGTGTGTGTGGTGCAGGGAACCAGTACACTGTGGTTGACCCAAGTGTGTATTCAGGGTAGAGTAGGGCACCAGTACTCCACAGTTGATCTGTGTGTGTGTGTGGTGCAGGGAACCAGTACACTGTGGTTGACCCAAGTGTGTATTCAGGGTAGAGTAGGGCACTAGTACTCCACAGTTGATCTGTGTGTGGTGCAGGGAACCAGTACACTGTGGTTGACCCAAGTGTGTATTCAGGGTAGAGTAGGGCACTAGTACTCCACAGTTGATCTGTGTGTGGTGCAGGGAACCAGTACACTGTGATTGACCCAAGTGTGTATTCAGGGTAGAGTAGGGCACTAGTAGTCCACAGTTGATCTGTGTGTGTGGTGCAGGGAACCAGTACACTGTGGTTGACCCAAGTGTGTATTCAGGGTAGAGTAGGGCACCAGTACTCCACAGTTGATCTGTGTGTGTGTGTGGTGCAGGGAACCAGTACACTGTGGTTGACCCAAGTGTGTATTCTGTGTAGAGTAGGGCACCTGTACTCCACAGTTGATCTGTGTGTGGTGCAGGGAACCAGTACACTGTGGTTGACCCAAGTGTGTATTCAGGGTAGAGTAGGGCACTAGTACTCCACAGTTGATCTGTGTGTGGTACAGGGAACCAGTACACTGTGGTTGACCCAAGTGTGTATTCAGGGTAGAGTAGGGCACTTGTACTCCACAGTTGATCTCTGTGTGTGTGGTGCAGGGAACCAGTACACTGTGGTTGACCCAAGTGTGTATTCAGAGTAGAGTAGGGCACCAGTACTCCACAGTTGATCTGTGTGTGTGTGTGGTGCAGGGAACCAGTACACTGTGGTTGACCCAAGTGTGTATTCAGGGTAGAGTAGGGCACTAGTACTCCACAGTTGATCTGTGTGTGTGTGGTGCAGGGAACCAGTACACTGTGGTTGACCCAAGTGTGTATTCAGGGTAGAGTAGGGCACCAGTACTCCACAGTTGATCTGTGTGTGTGTGTGTGGTGCAGGGAACCAGTACACTGTGGTTGACCCAAGTGTGTATTCAGGGTAGAGTAGGGCACCAGTACTCCACAGTTGATCTGTGTGTGTGTGTGTGTGTGTGGTGCAGGGAACCAGTACACTGTGGTTGACCCAAGTGTGTATTCAGGGTAGAGTAGGGCACCAGTACTCCACAGTTGATCTGTGTGTGTGTGGTGCAGGGAACCAGTACACTGTGGTTGACCCAAGTGTGTATTCAGGGTAGAGTAGGGCACCAGTACTCCACAGTTGATCTGTGTGTGGTGCAGGGAACCAGTACACTGTGGTTGACCCAAGTGTGTATTCAGGGTAGAGTAGGGCACTAGTAGTCCACAGTTGATCTGTGTCTGTGGTGCAGGGAACCAGTACACTGTGGTTGACCCAAGTGTGTATTCAGGGTAGAGTAGGGCACTAGTACTCCGCAGTTGATGTGTGTGTGTGTGGTGCAGGGAACCAGTACACATGGTTGACCCAAGTGTGTATTCAGGGTAGAGTAGGGCACCAGTACTCCACAGTTGATCTGTGTGTGTGTGTGTGTGTGGTGCAGGGAACCAGTACACTGTGGTTGACCCAAGTGTGTATTCAGGGTAGAGTAGGGCACCAGTACTCCACAGTTGATCTGTGTGTGTGTGTGTGGTGCAGGGAACCAGTACACTGTGGTTGACCCAAGTGTGTATTCAGGGTAGAGTAGGGCACCAGTACTCCACAGTTGATCTGTGTGTGTGTGTGTGGTGCAGGGAACCAGTACACTGTGGTTGACCCAAGTGTGTATTCAGGGTAGAGTAGGGCACCAGTACTCCACAGTTGATCTCTGTGTGTGTGGTGCAGGGAACCAGTACACTGTGGTTGACCCAAGTGTGTATTCAGGGTAGAGTAGGGCACCAGTACTCCACAGTTGATCTGTGTGTGTGGTGCAGGGACTAGTACACTGTGGTTGACCCAAGTGTGTATTCAGGGTAGAGTAGGGCACTAGTACTCCACAGTTGATCTGTGTGTGTGTGGTGCAGGGAACCAGTACACTGTGGTTGACCCAAGTGTGTATTCAGGGTAGAGTAGGGCACCAGTACTCCACAGTTGATCTGTGTGTGTGGTGCAGGGACTAGTACACTGTGGTTGACCCAAGTGTGTATTCAGGGTAGAGTAGGGCACTAGTACTCCACAGTTGATCTGTGTGTGTGTGGTGCAGGGAACCAGTACACTGTGGTTGACCCAAGTGTGTATTCAGGGTAGAGTAGGGCACTAGTACTCCACAGTTGATCTGTGTGTGTGTGGTGCAGGGAACCAGTACACTGTGGTTGACCCAAGTGTGTATTCAGGGTAGAGTAGGGCACTAGTACTCCACAGTTGATCTGTGTGTGTGTGGTGCAGGGAACCAGTACACTGTGGTTGACCCAAGTGTGTATTCAGGGTAGAGTAGGGCACTAGTACTCCACAGTTGATCTGTGTGTGTGTGTGGTGCAGGGAACCAGTACACTGTGGTTGACCCAAGTGTGTATTCAGGGTAGAGTAGGGCACCAGTACTCCATAGTTGATCTGTGTGTGTGTGTGTGGTGCAGGGAACCAGTACACTGTGGTTGACCCAAGTGTGTATTCAGGGTAGAGTAGGGCACCAGTACTCCACAGTTGATCTGTGTCTGTGGTGCAGGGAACCAGTACACTGTGGTTGACCCAAGTGTGTATTCAGGGTAGAGTAGGGCACCAGTACTCCACAGTTGATGTGTGTGTGTGTGTGTGTGTGTGTGTGGTGTAGGGCACAAGTACACTGTGGTTGACCCAAGTGTGTATTCAGGGTAGAGTAGGGCACCAGTACTCCACAGTTGATCTGTGTGTGGTGCAGGGAACCAGTACACTGTGGTTGACCCAAGTGTGTATTCAGGGTAGAGTAGGGCACCAGTACTCCACAGTTGATCTGTGTGTGTGTGTGTGTCTGGTGCAGGGAACCAGTACACTGTGGTTGACCCAAGTGTGTATTCAGGGTAGAGTAGGGCACCAGTACTCCACAGTTGATCTCTGTGTGTGTGTGTGTGTGGTGCAGGGAACCAGTACACTGTGGTTGACCCAAGTGTGTATTCAGGGTAGAGTAGGGCACCAGTACTCCACAGTTGATCTGTGTGTGTGGTGCAGGGACTAGTACACTGTGGTTGACCCAAGTGTGTATTCAGGGTAGAGGAGGGCACTAGTACTCCACAGTTGATCTGTGTGTGTGGTGCAGGGAACCAGTACACTGTGGTTGACCCAAGTGTGTATTCAGGGTAGAGTAGGGCACCAGTACTCCACAGTTGATCTGTGTGTGTGTGTGTGGTGCAGGGAACCAGTACACTGTGGTTGACCCAAGTGTGTATTCAGGGTAGAGTAGGGCACCAGTACTCCACAGTTGATCTGTGTGTGTGGTGCAGGGACTAGTACACTGTGGTTGACCCAAGTGTGTATTCAGGGTAGAGGAGGGCACTAGTACTCCACAGTTGATCTGTGTGTGTGGTGCAGGGAACCAGTACACTGTGGTTGACCCAAGTGTGTATTCAGGGTAGAGTAGGGCACCAGTACTCCACAGTTGATCTGTGTGTGTGTGTGTGGTGCAGGGAACCAGTACACTGTGGTTGACCCAAGTGTGTATTCAGGGTAGAGTAGGGCACCAGTACTCCACAGTTGATGTGTGTGTGTGTGTGTGTGTGTGTGGTGCAGGGAACCAGTACACTGTGGTTGACCCAAGTGTGTATTCAGGGTAGAGTAGGGCACTAGTACTCCACAGTTGATCT